CTAACTAACCCTAACCCCTAACCCTAACTAACCCTAACTAACCCTAACCCTAACTAACCCTAACTAACCCCTAACTAACCCTAACTAACCCTAACTAACTAACCCTAACTAACCCTAACTAACCCTAACTAACCCTAACTAACTAACCCTAACTGACTGTATAAGTGACTGGACAAGTGGCTGGATAATAGTTAAAATGCTAACATTATTTTACCGGTATGATTGTTTTATACGATAACGTTAAAAATAACAAAAAAAGAATTATCTTGTCGAAATCCTTACTCTTTTCTTTTATCGTGTAAAATTTATTTCATTGTGGCGTTAAGACTTATCCTCCTTTGGGTGGGAGAGGCCATTGCACCTTGCTTTGGTCGCCCCAACTCCACCAGCCCTTCCCACCGTTTCTAGAGACGGCTTGCCTTTTTTCCCAAGAATTTTGCATATATCCCAGGTGTCGTTCAGCCTCTTGCTCTTCAAAAATTTCCTCCTCCCTCGACCTAATCAGATTCTCCATTGGAGTTTCAAAGATGCCAGTTGCCTCCAGACGCGCCCGATCCCACAGGACGTATCCCCACCGACGCAGATGGCTACGATCCTCTTGGTATACCCAGTTTTGCCAGTTTTCATCTATATGTGCCCAGCGCCAGACATCCGCCGGTCCAGTATCAGGGTCCGTAAAGAATGGCGTATGGAAGTAGCGAGCTTCGTCCTCCGGCTGTATGTCATCGTAGAAGACAATACTGTCATATTCGTTTGCTGCCATTTGTAGCCCTTCGTAGAGGAAAGAATACGTGGGCGCTGGGTTTCGGCCGGCATCCAAGAGCCGGTACCGTTCCTCATATGTTTCTGCTTCCGTAAGATGATACAACCTGGCAAGGCCCCATGATAGGACGTGTTCAAGAGGAGGTGAGCCCACCCCGACGCCGTATGGCACACACGAGACACCCCAAGAGATATCATGCTCAGCAACGTCATCAAAAGCTATCGTTGTTTTCTCGTCAGTGCAAAATATTTAAGCGGAAACAGCTATCTCTGTGTGGGAAACTGACATGGCGACACAGCGCGTGCGAGGAAGTCGTGTATGCAGCCAAGCTGCTCATTTTCCCAGCGCGCAAAATTGGCAAAGAAGAGCTCTTTTTGCTCGGCGTACAATATCGACGGTGTTGTTCGGGTCAGACTGGTAATCGACTGCTTCGTCGGGACTTCCCGGAAAAGGTTGCAGTAGATTTCATAGCGGTACAATGCTCGCTCGATGCGGCATATCTCTTGGTACGTCGCGGCCGATCCTGGCTGGGATTTGTGGAGGGCATCTTGGCCCAAAGCCGCAGTCACAAACTTGGCGGCCCAGCGGTCCACGTAGACATGAAGTCGCCCAAGCAGAAGCGCGTCCCTCAGCGACAAAGACCGGGGAGGCGTCGGTCTCCGGCGGAGGCTGTTAGCGACGAAATCCTCGACCGCGTCTTTGTCATTTTGCTGCGCACCGTGGGGCCGCAGCTGCAAAGAAGCAGCGGCGGCCATCGCTTCAGGAAGAACGCTGTCATCGATCTGGTTCCGCAAGACCAGTGCTGAGGTGGATGCCTCTGCCTCCAGAAAACAACCATAGAACAACGGACACGACAGGACGGCGGCGCGCAGGGATTCGACATCTGGCACGGCAGAGAGGATCAGGCGCACGAGCTCGACCGACAGTCTCTCGATGGGACTTGATCGATTCTGCCGGTCTTTATCCATGGCGGTTGTCGAAACTTGGGACGTAGTAATACAGGTTGTGTAAATATTTTGTAAAAGGGAGAAATGTGACGATGTAGCGCATTCCCGGCACAGAATTACAGAAGCAATCCAGATCAGGTGACGATTTGTTCCCCAACATACGCTAGCCCCAATTAGTCAATGGTGGCAAAGTGGACAGGCCCAGGTACGGGCCGTTTGACATTGGTGAACTTCAATCGGCGCTACCGCTGTCTGTTTGTGGGCGCAGACGTTAGAAATCTTGTGCAATATGGAGGATATGTGGTTTATGATTGGTTGTTGTTTTGGGAGGGCGAGGTGTCTGTGCTTTGCGTTTCAAATTGCGGCGCTTAAATGTCCAAAATTAGGACGTTGAAACACTCCTTACTCCGTTTTCCTGGCCAGTTTCGCGAGTTGTTTTGCTTCGATGCTCCTAGTCGTCAATTCCTAGTTGTTCTTTGGCTCGATGGATCTTGTATCTGTCGGCCTGTTCTAGACCGTTGGCCGGTGTAATTTCGCCGGGCCGCGACCGCGTAGGAGTTACTGCGACTTTTCACCTACAGATATCCAAGTAGTCCTTGAGCAAGGATCTAAGCGAGATCCTCCACGGGCGGCTGTGTCATCGAGGCTTTGTTAGAGTTGTAATCATTCGCCGTCAGTCTCCTCAGGCGCGACTGTCCTCGGCCGCTCAGGCCGTTGGAGTATCAAAATTGCGGTGAGACCTGTTGTGGCCACACCTCGAACGGGATAAGAAAAGGCGGAGGTGGTAAATTCCCTCCATAGGTAATTTAGATGCCTCTTCCCTTTACCCCTCCGTGCAGGCCGGCTGTCAGGTCCAACATGGCCTTCGTGACATTCAAAGAATGGTAATAATAGTAGTTGACCTCTTTATTGGCCACAGCCGCGACGTCTCGCAAGCACCCAGATCTCGCACTACACGGTTACAGAAACGTAAAAGAGAGTCTCACTTTGGTAATCGTATGAAAGTTTTATACAAATATCACAAGCCATCTGCTCGTCTTGATGATTGTTCTCGTTTATTGTCTATTTTAGTTTCATTAATCAACTACTTTCAACTAAACCAATTGCATTCCACTTCCGTTATCGCGATGTCGCACACATTTGTGACCACAGGGCCCCATTTCACTACAGATGACCGCCTCTACTACATGGTAGATGGATGCCGCGTCTGGGGATCTGTTGGGCAGGCAAATCCTGCGTCCATTGGCTCGGCAGAGGGCTTTGCACCTTCGGTTGCCTCCAGATTTGAGACGAACGCCCCCCGAGCTCCTGTTCCGAGCTCGGTATACGGCTCTTACCCACCTCTCACGCCCGCGAGCAGCATGAAAACGAGAATGACAACTGGGTTTCCAGAGTCCCGTTTCTCCGTCGGTGCGGCCCAGGGAAGCGCTCCAGGAGGCGGATACCAGACACTCGACCCCTATCGGGATGCTATGGTCGAGAGAACATACACGACTGGCCCTCCTCCCAATAGTCCCTTCTCTCAGCAATACACGCGCTACAAAGATCTCGACACGGCAGCCTTAGCGTCTGAAGCTTATTACAAAAACCATCTCAAGTCGGCTCCCAGAATCTCGGCAAAGGCGCGAGCCGCGAGCCCTAAATTATACGACGGTGATCCCAAACAGACGAAAGACTGGCATCAAGAGGCAGCCAAGATAGCGGGTCGTGCCAAGGATAAATACATAGAGTAAGTGAAAACTTAACGAAGAACTTATAGGACTATTTGACTAAAACAATTCCCAAGGGCTCGAATCGAACGCGAGCGCATGGCTACCGACTACGTCGGTTACGACCAGTTTGACGACTTCCGTGGCCACAGGGACCGGGTAGAGACGCTACGGAGAGGAGAGACATATATGACCAAAAAGTTTAACATGCACTCCAACACGCATCGGTGGTAGTAGCGCTAGATATTCCACATCTCTAATGTCAGGTGAAAGAAGGCTGGGGCCTTCTCGCCTTTAGGCGAAGACGCGAGAGTATATGATGTTATTATCTCCTTTTTGAATAGTTTCAAATTCCTTATTTATTATCTACCAAAAAAATATTTTAAGCCGGTTTATCTTTATGTCACGTATGTCGTCCACTTCAATGGAAAAGACAAACGCGGTCCGGCGGTCTGGTATCGTATGGGCCACCGTCTTTTCGACCGTCATTATCGTCGACTTGGGGTCGTATGCGTCATACGGTGGGAGTATAATAATGGAATGGTTAATCTTAGTCCTTTCATTAAATAACAAGACAAGGTTAGAAGACGAATTGTATTGTGTCCTCGCCTCTTCGGGTATAAAATAAATATTGTGGTCATGAACATTCGAAACGTTTTCTTTCTTACTCTCGTTAAACATTCATTTCTATTTAGAAAGTATCTATCACAGTACTTCTCTTAGAAAAAAAATAATAAACTTAAGAAATATAACTCACAGGATAAGAATTACTTAGTTAGTAAACAAGGGTATAACGTGTTTAAATATTCCTATTAAGACTTTATTCCTCTACGTACGACTCGTAGGCGTACTTCTTTCCAGGATGGTCATTGCGAAGGCCTTTTTGTCCTTTTCCATAAATCCGTTCACGTGCGGTGAGCGCTTCGCCTCCGTCTGTTGGGAGTTCAGGGTAGATACCACGCTTCCGAAGCTCAGGAATCAAGAGGTCCACAATGTCCTCAAAACTTCCGGGCGTAATAACATAACCAAGATTGAAACCGTCCACATCTGCCTCACGAATCCATTTTTCCAGCTCGTCGGCTACTGCTTCCGGACTACCGATCGAGACGGGTCCCAGACCACCGATTGAGGCACGCTCAGCAATGACCCGTGGTGTCCACTTGGGGATCTCCTCACTCGTCATAGAAAAAGCATCAAGGATGCTGTGCACGCGGTCCGGAACACTCGCGTCATCACTAGTGATCTCTTTATCGAGCGGCAGGGCAGATAGATCAATTCCTGTCCAGCCACTGACAAGGACAAGACCCCCAATGGTTGAAGCATACTTTTTGAACTCTTCGTGCTTTTCCTTGGCTTCTTCGTCCGTGTGGCCAAGCACCGGTGTGAACGTTGCAAAGACTTTGATTGAGCGCGGGTCACGGCCGGCTTCCGCAGCAAGTTTTCTGATGTTGTCGATCTTCGGGCGAAGCACAGCAGGAGCGTGGCCAGACACAAAGATTGCCTCAGCATGCTGTGCCGCAAAAGACGACCCGGCACTGGATGTGCCTGCCTGGAACAAGAACGGCGTGCGTTGCGGAGATGGGTCTACGATGTGTCGAGAGTCGAGATTGTAGAAACGGCCATGATGGTGGATGGTACGGACTTTGTCAGGGTCCGCATAAGTATCCGTTGCGGTATCTTCTGTTACAGCATCATCGGCCCAAGACCCTTCCCAGGGTTTATACGTCACACGCAGGTATTCGTCTGCCTGCTCGTACCGAAGATCGTGTTCGATGGGTGCATCGATACCAATCGCCTGAAACGCCGACTTCTTCCAGGATGTGACAATGTTCCAAGCAATTCGGCCGTCCGTCAAGTGGTCCAGAGTCGAGAACCGCTTCGCCAACAGGAAGGGCGGCTCAAAGGAAGTGGATGCCGTGATACCAAACGACAGGTGTTTGGTGACAGCTGCCATTGCAGTGATTGGCTATGGTATGTTAGAGTTTTGGTCTGCCATTAGATTGCGTTAAAAAAAGTATCATCATACAATACTGGGGTCCGTGATGGGCCACTGTGCAGCTCTGCGGATGCAGTTGTCAAGACTGCCCTCGTAGGTATCGTAACCGCCGTACGTATCGGCGAGGAACAACGCATTAATGCCACCTCGCTCAAGCGTCTTCGCTAGATCAATCCAGTAGTCAAGTTTGCGCTTGGTCGCAGATTTATCTTTTGGATTCTTGTATGCATGTTAGCAATTTTGCTAGCCACTCAAACCGAAGATCCGCGCATCCGTATTGCACTCACCTTCCATTGCCCCGGCGATAGGTGGCCAACGGTGGACATATCAAATGCATTCAAAAAGATTTGGGTTTTCCCGTTGCCCAGATCATGGGCCGCTTTGGTTCCTGTGTCTGCCATTCTGAATCGTGTACTGTCGGCACTGTCCATTCGATGTCAGCTTACCCTTTTCCTAGTGCACGGGCAGCAACATGTTATATGCTTTTTAAAAGACAGTGAGCCCGATATCGCAAACACCACGCGGGAAAAGCCATCGGGGTGTCATGCCACATACCAAAACCGCTCATTGTTTACTAAAACTAAACAGCCATGTCGTGATTCACACTCCTATGATCTAATCTGCAACAAATCCGTCAATTAAAAAGCCGGCATGTTTTGCAAAAACCCTCAAGTATACTACGCCCCGTACGTTAAAGGAAATAGCCATAGCTGGGATGCGATGCATATGGTGATGTGCTGGCGCCTTACAGTCTAGGGATAGCGCCATATGGTAAGTGGGGGGCATCGACATTGACGAACAGTTCAGGTCCCGATATACCCGAGGGTGGCAATAAACATATACCATCTAATTCCGCCAGGTAGAAGTCTTTCCATACTATTTACCTACGCGCATAATGGGTATCTAGGCATTGACTTGCGATCGTGTTGGATACATCTTCTGTAGCCGTGTACATATATACTCGAGGATATCTCACATTAAAAACAAACTCTCATGTATGGTACCAACAACAGCATATAGCAACCAGCAACACTTAATTTCCTTCTTTAACATGTCCAAGGAGATCGTGCCACAAGTTCTGTCAATACGCGATGTTGACGTCAACGCCAGTTCCGCTGTGCCTGAACCACCACAGGTGGCTCGCCAATCCTTCGAGGGGCGGTCCCGTGGTGCCGGTATAGAGCTGCGGGATGATCCCGAGGCACGCGTTGCTTTCCTCGAAACCTTTACTGCTGAAGAGGAGAGGTCAATCATGCGCAAAGTTGATTATCGTTTTTGCGTTTTGATTGGCATGATGTACATGATCAAATCTGTAAGTCGTCATTATCACCAACACTCACTAAAAGCGGATGAAATATTAACACTTTAAGATTGACGTAAACAATATGTCGAACGTTAAGGTGCTCCAGGTAGGCCAGCTAAGCAACATCTTGAAGGAGCTGCAGATGACTGCCGACCAGTACAACTGGTGTGGCTCAATCAATGAAGTAAGTTCTTGCCTCTGCCTTGAAATGGTGAACCACAGACTACCCAAGTTGCAGATCGCATACATTATTTTCGAAGCGCCGAGCAACCTTTTGCTCAAGCGATTCTCACCCCATGTCTGGCAAGGCCGTATTTTCCTCACTTGGGGTATTATCACGGCGTGCCACGCGGCTGTTAAAACGCATAATCAGCTCTGGGCACTGCGTTTTCTGCTCGGGTATGTTACAATCATTGTCTTCCGTTTACATATCTTAATTATGGAGACAAATTTGGAGGCAGTTTTTTGTCTAACACGATTTCAGCATGTTCGAGGCCGGCACGTTTGCCGGTGTCATGGCTCAACTATCAAGCTGGTACCGTACCGACGAGATTGCAAAACCAGGGCGTGGTTCTTCGGTATTTCAAGCTTGTCATCCATTGTGGGCTCTCTTCTCTGTTATGGCATCAGCTACATGAATGAGGTCCGTGGCATAAGTGCTTGGAGATGGGTCTACATTATTGAAGGCTGTGTCACGATTTTGTTCTCGGTTATTGTGTTTTTAGTTCTGCCAGACTATCCAAAGTCCCTCGCTCACACAAATGGCTCACAGAACGCGAGCGCGAGTTTATCGAAGCACGACTGCCTGAAAATGCGCCGTTGACGAGCGACCCGAATTTTTCTCGTAAAGAGATCCGCGCCACCTTGAAGTCACCTCTCATTTGGTCCTTTACTCTTTCACAGACGCTGGTCAATCTTGGCGGCTGCTCGCTGACCTGGTATCTTCCAACGATCATTACAAACCTGGGATTTGCGGCTCTCCCGAAAAACCAACTGCTGAACATCGTGCCTGCATTTGTTGCTATTCTCGGTCTGATCTTCTCTGCCTGGTTTATAGACCGCGCTTACATTGTTCGCCCTGCATACATTATGATCATCATGTCGGGCATGGTGGTTTGTTTTGTCCTCTTCTTTACAATTTCGAATCGAGTGGGCATATACATTGCTTGTATTCTGAGGAGCTTATTCTATCAATCCTATTTCATTCCCTTTTGGGCTTGGCGATCGGCAACCTTGGTCGGAACTACCGGCACTGCACTGACATATGGTCTTCAGTCAGGAATAGCACAGCTTGGAGGAGTTGTTGGTCCACAGCTATTTCAGAGCCGCTGGGCTTACAATGGCTACAAGACCAGCTTCGCTATAGCTGCTTCGTGTATTATTGCTGGTTGGCTTGCAAACATTTGGACGTGGTACCTCACTCGCAATACCGAGTATGACGTCTTGCGTGTTTAGCGGAAGGCCATCAAATCTCGCAAGCAAGGACGAACCGTATTTGAGGATGACATCCGCGTCTATCGTGAGCGCCAGTTCTATCAGGGAGTGCATTTTCAAAAAGACGTCGAAACAAAGTCTTCGGACTCCGTTTAGTCCCGAGGCAACTAGATCCTTTAGTGGGACATACGTTAGTTTATGGGCGTGTTCCCCTTGACAGCCCCGAGACGGGGTTGATTTTATCCATTGGTTTAGCTCCGTTGTAGCACCTTGGGGTCGTCCGGCTTGCACATGAAATGGGTGGCAGTAGATGGCTGGAACACTGTCACCTCAGTCAGAATTTTAGATCTATCATGAAAACATCATACAAACGAAACACACGACTTTTTATGTAACCGACATGATTTAAAATGCTGTCGTAATCAAGTTTAAACACTGGGTCTTTTATTTGTTTGATGTTACTTATGATCAACTTTTGCTGAATTTCTTTCGGCTATTGGATGGTAGTTATCGAAACCACATATTCTTAATAGATACGGTGCGGGCCCGTATAAGAATTTAGAACTATTATCTATTCAAACCATGGTATATATACAACATATAACCACAAGGAACACTGATGCCATATTCCCCGAACTATTTTCAATTATAATTTATGGTATCTTGACAGATCGCTGGCCGGGCACTCCTGCACGTGCGCAGTATTTCCGATTCTGTACGATATTGAAGCCCGAGTACTGCGCCAGTGAAACCATAAACTGTCATTCATGACATGTTAAAGCAAAGAATGTTGATGCTCCACATCGACAAGCCTGTACTGGGCATAGCTTCATTTCGGGTCTCCACTGCCGCTGTTATTTGATTGGCTATCGAGTCAATCAGGGCTCGCCATCTTGCAACGTTATGTCGCCGAGTTGCAGTCTACATGTCACCACTGCACCCGTGGTCGCGCAATTGCTATGTGACGCGTCCCGGAGAACAGCGCAAACTCCTTTTACGAATCGAATTATAATGTGCAGTAAACCAGAAATAACAGATGACTGGAGATAAGACCTTCACGCGGGCATTAATTGCTATGTTGCGACGGATGAAATAGGCTCTACAACTACAATATAAATACGATATAAATATTTCAGCACGTCCCAATATGCCTCTCGTGAGTACACGACATACACCGCCATCCTTTATACCCACTGGTATCGCTACCGCTGTACGCTACGTTGACCTTGCTAATTGACCAAACATTAGGCCGTCCCTGAAAGCAATATGGCTACTACCGAAAAGAAGAAGTGGTGGAAGATACAGTGGTTTGCCGAAGACGACACTCCCGAAGAGCGCCGATTTTTAACCAAGATGGACTCATTTGTCATCCCTTACCTGTTTGTCTCTTTCTGGGTCAAGAACCTAGATCAGAACAATATCAGTCAGTACTTCTGTCTGCGGTCGCTTCTGGCTATGTAAAACACTAACCCGAACTGATAGACAATGCCTACGTCGCCGGCTTAAAGGAGGATCTCGGCTTCTATGGCAACCAGCTTATCCAGCTTCAGACTATGTACATCGTTGGTGCCATCGTGGGACAGGTGCCGTTCCTTTTTCTGTTCACATACATACCCATGCATTGGCTATTGCCCGGCATGGATATCGGCTGGGGTATATTCACTCTCGTGCAGTATCGTTCCACCTCCTTTGCAGAGCTGGCTGCCTATCGCTTCCTTGTCGGTATTTTCGAGGCCGCGTATTTTCCCGCCGTTCACTACGTTCTGGGATCCTGGTACAAGCGGCAAGAAATCAGTCGTCGCGGTGGGATTTGGTACCTCGGCGTTCCTATTGGCAGCTTAACGGCTGGCCTCGTTCAGAGCGGCATCACTACCCGCCTTGACGGTGTCGGTGGTCTTTCTGGCTGGCGGTGGATGTTTATCATCTGCTCCGTCATCACTCTTCCCGTTGGTTTGATGGGATTCTTTGTTGTTCCGGGTACGATGGAACAGCCCAACCGCCGGTTGTTTAGCGACGTGGAGCTCGAGATCTCAAGAAAGCGACTCACCCGCAGTGGTCATGCTGTTCAAGGCAAATTCAAACTAGCACATATGAAGACCACGTTCACAAGCTTTTATTTTTATGTGGCTGTTCTTGTCGATGTGCTATTTTGGAACGGCGGTGCCAATAGCGGCGCCTTCTTGCTATGGCTCAAGTCTCTCAACCGTTACTCAACGGCAAAAGTTAACCAATACGGAACTTTACCTTCCGGCCTCGGTATCTTCTACACACTCGTCGTTAATTTCTCCTCGGACTTGGTTTGGGGCCCGGCATGGGGCATCACGTTTGCTGCGACAATGAATGCGATCGCATTGTTAATTTTAGTATGTTTCCGCTCCAGTGTATTCTTAACAATCTTTTTGGGACCGATGACTAACAGGCTTTACAGACAATCTGGGACGTACCTGAAAGTGCCAAGTGGTATGCATTTTGCACAACATCATTTTCATATGCGCTTTCTAGTTCGCTATATGGCTGGATCAACAACATTCTACGCGACTCCCCTGGAACACGCTCATTTACATTGGTGTTTATCAACATCATAGCCCAGTCGTCGACGGCATGGTAAGTAACGGTACCCAAACTGCCTCGTTGTCCCAAGAAAGCTTTTCTTGACACTTTTCGATCAACATCTAGGCTCGGTATTCTCACCTATCCCACCGTCCAGGCCCCTCGGTATAAGCGCGGCTATGCGTATAGCTTGTCCTGTGCTGTCGCGTTGATTATATTTACACATGTGTTAGACAATGTTGTCCGCCTGAGAAGGTATAATAAATAGTTATGCTTTTTATATCTATTTATCTTGTAGCGATTTACGTATGTTGAATATTACTAACTTCTGTCAGAAAACACGAGGCCCAAAGAGCCGCCGAAGCCACTGACGAGGTACGCGATTTTCCGACATTGGTCGAAAGAAGCGTTAACGACCAATCTAAAGAGGACCCCTCCACCATTGTCACAATTCAAAGTACAAAATCACCTTAAAAATAACAGAGACGAAGGAAAGGATAAAAACGATACTAAAATAAAAAACGGGATTTTGTTACTAAAACGTTCGTGTACTAAATTACGTAAACGAATACTATTAAAGAGAGTAATACTATTAAAGAGAGCAATACTATTAAAGAGAGTAAGGGTCACGGGCATATAACTAGCACACGTAACACTTAATTCAAGGGTTGAAATGGTAAATCCAACACTACCTAGGACAGAGGTAACTTGATACTCTTTGTGGCAATACCAATAGTATTCTGAGAATGAGATAGCAGGGCTACATGCTATCAACCCATTGTCAGCAAACTCAATCCTCTTCCTCCTCCGGATCAAAAATCTCCCCCGCAGGAGTCTTATCCAACTGTATCCTATCCTCCGTGACAATCGGCAAAGCCGGTACAACAACCACAAAGACTCTAGACACTGTCTCGCCCCGGTTCACCCAAGCATGATTCACACCTCTGGTAACAATAACATCATGTTCCTTAAGTGTCTTCTCCTCCCCGCCATCGGTAATAAATGTAACAGATCCACTGAGGACAACACAGTAATCCAGACTGAGCGTGCGATGCATCCATCCTCCTTCCTGGTGGGGAGGTAGATCTATAATTCGTGCCGAGGGACCTTTTGTGTCTGCAAGGGGCACAAGGGTTCTGTGCGGATCATTATTCTCTAACGGACGTTGATTGTCCGCGGGGAAACCGCGTATACGATGGAGTTGTATTATACCGAATGCGGATTTTTCAGTTGGAAGAGAGAATTCGGGCGCCGTTGTGGGATCGTAAGGTGTAAGAAGCTCGTCGGAAGCGAAGTAGCCGTTTCCTTTTGGGTCATTTGCGGTGAGAACGCGGCGGATTGGCGTTGACAGCTTAGTCATTTTGTTTGTATATTGAAGAAAAGATGTTTGGTAGTCGATAGAATGATGAACGAAATCGATATTCGGGAGGAAGTCGTATCTTAAATACATTTTCGATCTGATCAAGTCGACCTGTCAACAAACTGATTTGTAATGTACGGCTTTATACGGCCATACTGTGTAAAGAACATACGATGGATTAGGACTGTAAGCTTAGAAATCGAAGTTTCTTATTGTCTTCCTAATCGGATTATATTAAATTAAATGTCTGATTGGCCAAAAGAATAGTGAAATGGGGCGGAGTGCCGTACCCACACAAACACACGTACACAACAACTAAAGACGCGATGACGAGTACTGTAAAGAATCAGATACTACTGAAAGCATTCCATTTTTGGCGGCTTCTCGACATGGAGTCACATACTAGGAGGTATTGTTTTCATATACATCCTTTGTTTCTACTTGGTGTGTTGTTAACCTATTCTTTTATTAACCTACCTCCCCTTTTTTTGTCGTGAAAGGGTTTGCTTGTTTCTATCTATTATAATGTATATATCTCTTTTTCTTTAATCCTTTTCTTTACCTCTTGTCTTAACTCTTAGGTAGAAGTGGTCCTTTACCCCTTTTGTCGTCTCGAGGGCGAACGGACTTTAGTTAAAGTCTTACTAGTGGTCAGTTTATTTAGTTAAGAGGGATCTACGCGGGCAGTTCGACTTTTTCGTAATTCCCTTAAATTTCCTTTAACATAGGGTCCACGGCCAGGTACGCCTGGATGGCTACCATGTTCTTCTTAGAACAGCCTATGTCAAGCCAGTATCCCTCGTCGTTTCGGAACATGACCGTCGTGTTGACTGTAAAATAAAGTCAGTTGGGGTTTTCAGCTGTCCCGTCGTAGTAAAGAGCAACAAGAATGTGAGGGAGACATACATCGGCGCGGTGTGCTCCGTTCTCCGCCGCGGCCCAGGACAAATACCTCGGGTTTCGTACCCTGGTGCGTGTGCTTTTCTTTTTCCTTGAGCTCGACGGCGTTGGTTAGGTCCAGCCCCTTCCACGCGGCAGACCAGCTGATGACGGTGTAGGCTTGCTCAAGGGCCTCGCAGATAAATATACGCTGTTTACGTCGCACCATCTCGCGCGCTATAGCCAGGTTAATGTCGGCCTCGCCGGCCATGAAGATGCTTCGCACGGACTGGCGGTTCATGTAGGCGATCTCGCTCGTGGGCATGTCGGGCTTGTACTTGAAGCGGGACGACGCAAAGGTGAGGCCATTGTGAATAAACCCGTCGAGCACGGAGCCGGTGAGGCTAGGGAGACGGCCTCGCACTGTTGAAATGTAAGATACTTCGTTTCAAGTGACTCTGGCTGATTTGCATTTTATCCTTATCCGGGTCGGTGGCACACGTACGGTTGACAGTCTGATTCAAAGTCATCATCTTCGCGAACGGTTTGTGTAAGCGAGCGAACTGGAAAGGCAGGATAATCAGCATTAATCCAACCACCCCGACAACCCACCCAAGCATCCACTGCGGCGTGAAATACAAACCTTTGTAAGAATGGCCGTGATAACGTCATTGTCTGAGATGCCCGGATCGTTGCCGTTCTTCTCCAGCTCTTTGGTAAACCGTTGGCGCACCGATTTCACCAAAGAATGCGGCATGAAGAGAATGTGATCTACCTCCTCCTTGGAAAACACTAGCTCGAAGAGGAAGCCCAGAATCATGAAAAACATCTCGCCCCAGCGCCGGACATGCATTTTCCCCACCCGCCTCGCCTCCACCGGCCTGAGGTCGCCAAACTGCCTCTTGTACGGCAAGGGGTCGTCAATCAGAGGTGGTGGGGTCTGCTCAGCCAAGACGCCCATCCACGCGTTGACGAGGGTCGTGAGTCCCATCTGGTCAGTGACAATGTGCGGCACGCTCATGGCAAGCACGCTGGCGTCCTCATAGAGCGTCATGTGAATGTAGAGGATAGGCGAGTCGCTTGGGTCGTCTGCAACATGAAACGGCCAGCTAGCCGGCCGGAAAGCCGCGTCGTACACCGTTACGGGCGGCAAAAACACCATGCCGCCCACAGTGCCTCCGCTTGCGCTGCCGTCGGTTTCCGTTGCCGTTTCCGCTTCCTTGGGAGCTGCTGACGGAGCCTTGAGTGATGGGACAGCCGTTTCAATCGACTCGCTACTCTTGTCCGTCTCGGTCCATGTGAATAATTCGTAGCCGTCCGTAAACGTTTGTGGCACATGGTATTCGAACACACCCCTCGAGTCTCGTACGAGGCGCCCTCCGAGTTTGCGCCAATGTTCCCGGATCAGCTTGTCGAGGCCTGCTTTCAGAGCGGCGCCATCTAAGCGACCTTTGACAACGAAATGAGTCCGGATCCTAATGTTGTCCAACGGCTTCTGCTGGTCGGTCAACGCAATCGGTATGACGTCCATTCTGTATTTGTATTTGACTCCTTTTCTTTGCCGGTTTCTTTCTCTCCCGGTTCAATGGGAGCCCCAGTACTGCAGATATTCGTAGGTAGTCGGTTGTCCGTTCCTGCAGTGAGGCGAAAAAGTGTGAGAGGCTGAGAAAAGGGCGGACGAAGGAGTTACCCATCGCACAATTAAATACGAAGTATTGTTACTGATATTTTAGGATTTGAAGCCTAAGCTGCAGACGCACAGACATTGTGTGGGCCGTTATTATTTACTAAGATTACAGAATAGATCCATAGGAGCTGCTAACAGTGGTGGACCTGCGGCCACATTGGCCAGATATAAGGCTGGCGTACCTGAAGCGTGCTGACGGGGGACGTAAGCTGATGGTCGCCCTAATCTTTTAATGCTTAAATTCGACCTGATACGCAGAAAGAGACAGCTTACGTTAGGAACGTACGCAGTAGTGCTGTTTACATGAAGTTGGGTGTTGACCTAACCCTTGCGTGCGCGTTTATTGGCAGCAGTGCACACTCCTGCAACCAGGATTGCCAAACGACAAGATTTGCAGGGCTGTTTCGTGTGGCATACAAAGCTGTCAAGTGAAAAAAACTTTCCGACTTGGAGGGCGAGACCGTGCACTAGGGACGCCAGCACGTAGTTTGAAGCAGTTTGAAAGGCAAGGGTTGAATGGAGATAAATTGATGTACGAGGACCGGTCTAACCGACATTGGCAAGTATGATCACGAACGTAATTAGCTGCTTCCTTCAGAGAACAGAGTGTACAAAGTAATTACGACGTACGAATTTTCCGAACAAAAGACACGGTCAGCATAACGCCCGGGACAACAGAGATCAAGATACCATCCTACCCCCCATACGCTATTTACGTGGCAGAAGCCGTCCGTCGCTTCTATCAAAGAAAGACCGTCGTTATCTTATCCAGCAGACTCGTCGTAACCCACCGATCTCTCTCGATGACCTCGCGGGGTCTTTCGATTAGGATCCATCGCCAAGGACAGTACGTCGTCTCTTGAAGAAGAACTGCATTCACAGATGGACCGCTATTGAGAGGATTCCGATAATTGTAGACGATCTTCACGGATGAAAGTAGCTGTCAAACGACACAAACAGCCCAAATGCCATGATTTTTCGTCTCCTTTCTCAGTAATACAAGCCCCGGTTACGTTAACTTGAGAAACCATATGAAAGCTCAAATCTGGTTGATGTGTTTTTTTGGGGGGAGGGGGGCGGCGCGGATCGAGATGCTTCCTTTTCGGCCTGCCCATAGCCCCGATTTGAATCCAATTGAGTACGTCTGGGTTATGATGGAAAAGCGCCCTCGAAAGAAGTGCCCGAATATTTGGATGCTTAAAAAAACAATTTGATGTGGCTGTTTTTTAGGTTAGAAATTGCTAGAAAAGTCGATATTCGACGACTCATGGAAGTAACTTTGCAATCCTGCCAAAAAATTGGGTGGCTGGGGGTGGGGTCCTAATACTTTTGGCATAACCGTAACATATTTGGAGTCCGTTTCTGTGCATAACTACGGAATAAGTTTAGCGCCACTGGCTATTATGGGGATGGTGCGTTCTTTGCCTGGTATAGCCATAGCTGGAGGTGATTGGCGGGTGGACGAGGATATGAGCAGATTCCGTTTTGTTGAATAACACGTCTCTGATAAGAAAACGTCGCAACACAGTAGCGAATACCAGCATTCGATAGCACCTCTTGGATATGTCGCAAAATGTAAAAGCCCGTACTCATAGATAAGGTAACTGCCTGGAAAGCCTCGGTGGGCCCCCCAAGGCCGACGAAAGCGTGTGAGTTGGGGCCAGGAGAGTGAACCTCTTCCATCGCTTCGCATGTGCTCCGAGTTTCCTTATTGTTAGTTTTGAACTTTTTTTTTGAATTCTAGCAGTATACATTATGGATCAACAGGTGACGAGTCTGACTGGCTTGCAAAGCCCCAGCGAAATAGCGGCCGCGCAAGTACCTCCACTGCACCAAAAACAAGAGTAGAAGCAGCAGCACCCACGACGAGCGGCCACACATGGCGAACGGTCATGGCCCTGCCGCAGATGCAAGCTCAGATGCGTGCGCGAACCTGGGCAAGAGCAGTGCGTGCTGTGCTCTTTCCACCAGCGGGAGTGCACGTACCTGAATGCGCCACAACATAGACGCAAGAGGCCAGGAAATAATGATAACGGTGAACAAGCAGGCACCTTAAATGTGAAAGACAAGTACGGCGACCATCTTCCCGTCGTCCGAAGTCACATTGACGTTTGTAATCGCTAACTACGGTATATTGTACGCAGTCCCGGCAAGAAGAGGCGTTCCAAGCAGATCGAAGTAGAAAAATCAGTCACCGTAGGCGGCCGCAGAGACGATGCCAATGACGACGATGCCGGCCCGGCCCGCCTCAGCCAGACGCTCGGTCTGCATCCGACGACTTCACTTCAAGTACATTAGCCCCGGCTCGCTACACGAGGACATGTTGCTCGACTTCATCGACCCGTCGTTTCGCTACCACAACGACTCGGACGCCTCCAAGTTCTGCCCTGTCGCCGAAGGTGTGACGTTCTTGGCGCGTTTAGACAGTGCGGGCGGTGGAGAAAGTGAAAATAGCGACGCCGAAGCCGTTCAGCGGTTGGTGCGGCCGCACGAAACCGGGTTGGTGGATCTGTACTTTCGCATCGTGCACCCCAGCCACCCGATCCTGCACAAGGGCGTGTTCCTGGAGAGGTACCGGCGCATGGACCGAGTGATCTTCCTGCCGGTGCCGTTGCTGGCGGCCGTGTACCTGCTGGCAATGGACTGGTGGGACTACGACCAGGCACCCCTGGCTAGTGAATCGTGTACTGCTTCCAGGAGCTTACAGGATATAGAACGTTCTTGAACAGTAGGTGAGATTTGTTGTAAATATCGTTTGGCATTTCTTCTGCGATGTCTGACCGTTACAATCTGCAAAAAAAATGCAACATCAATCTCTCTTGCCTTGTGGCGGACACGGCCCGCTCGAACTTGAAGGTAATGTCAAACAGCCGTCCATCAATGCCCTTGGCACACACAAAGCACACACCGAACGGCATCTCATCCTCGGGAAAGCCTGCGTTAACGCTCATGACACACAGGTCAAGCACGTTGCCGGGATGCGCAGTTTGGCGTTGAGCGCGACTGGGTCCGCCTGCGTCTGGGCAATAGTCGGGTGGAAGGGTACCGTAGGCAAGATGAGGACGTCCACCGCAGTGCTCTCACCGCCAATGCCCGCACCGACACTACCCAGGCTACCCGGCCGCCTGATAGAAGCCGCCCCGCCTGTTGTGTTGCCGTGGCTTGCACCAGTTGGTCGCCGTAAACATCCCAGGGCTTCGCATCGCGCTCGAGTGCCTTCTCGAAGAACGCCTTGGTCGTCGGATGATAATTCATAATATGGTCGCGCGCAAAATCGACGCCCATGCAGGCGATGCGCTCGTTGACTAGCGTGCCGTTGTACAACAGGTCCGTGGCGTTTATAAATGGCCGGTACGTGGTGGCACTCAGCGTGTGCATGCTGCCGCGGATGCGCCTGACCACCGGCAGACCTGCTGGTACGTTGGCGAGCACGATGCGACCGCTAGTGCGGAGTTGCCAGGCCCGTATTACGCCCGCTTCCGTGTCCCAGCATCAACTTAACAGGTAGTAATAGGAAGTAAAATTTAGTTATAAGTGTCAAAACAATATCCCCTGATAAAAGCATAAAGAGGTGGCGGTGATGATACTCGTTGACTATTCACATTACAAAACACGAGAGAGATAAATAAATGCCAAATACAGCGACAACAGGATGCCTGCAAGAGGATGTCGGGATCTAGGGTCTGGTATCTAGAAAAGAAATGTACCGGGTACGAGTAATGTTCGAGACGAGCCAAGTGCCAAGAGAACTAAAGAGGTGTTACATTTTCATCATTTATTTTCTTTATTCGTTGTTATTTTTTATGTTTTGATTTCAGGTACTGTTTTCATTTTTACATCCCCTGTTTCCAGCTGGAGTGCTGCTGACCTATTCCCTTACCAGTCAAGGAAATCACATGTTCTGTTATTGCCCTTTGTCAAACAATGTCTAATTTTCAAAACATATAATCATCAAAAATAAACAGACATGCTTGTTTGCTTGCCATGGAAATCAAGGGATTCCATGTCCCAGTAACGGTAATGGTGCCCGATTCTACAAGAATGAAATCACAATACCTCTAGAAACATTGGCAATGTTACGATGCGCGTCACATCCTTTTCTAACATATTTCCGTGATGCATGGGATGACGTGGCCCACTTTTTCGTAACTGCCAATTTCCTATCCCTTCGACCCTCCTTAACAAGTGTCCTCGCTCGCGCATTTCTTTATCCCTCTCACGCCCAATCGCGTCGATTTTCTTGTCGCGTTTTGGCTGTTTTTTGCTATGTCTTATTTCCGCAAAGAATGAAAGAATCTGTTTCACAGGGGCCCTTATTCATCGAAGGCGCCACGTTTTCGACACATGTCCGTGGATCCCCAACGCCTTTTGTCTTGCCCTGGAACTTTACGTTCTCGCCCTGGCAAGCCATCTCTGCTAAAGACGGCCTAGCGTACACAGTTAAAAATGACAACCTCCCTTACCATGCACAACCAAAACAGGTTGTTCTGTATCATTTGTGATGTACAGTCATCTCCAGCTGTAGTCGTTTTCAGCCTTGTGTCTCGAACACCGCGCATGATCAAAACAATATCCGTTTTGACCTGTTGTGTTGGCCGTTTTAAGAGAATGCATCTGGGGACACAATTCAAATATTGAATTCTTCAGAAGCCACATTCTAATCGACCTGCAGCATGTTCTAGCTCTGCCATGCCGTTGCTTTTCGTTTCATATCGTCCTGTCCATTCCTCCCAGAAGCAGCACGATGGCGGTTTCTTCGTCGTGGAAGCTCCGGACGAGCATAAAATGCGGCCTATTCCTTGTTTGCTTCATCACTTCTTTTCATTGCTGTTCGGTCTTGTGCTCCGTTGTCATTCATTTCACGTCAATCTTTTGACCTTTGGTGGTCGCACTTTTACTCTATTCTCCCTCTTTAATTCCCTCTGTTAACTCAGTTCACCAGTGTCAGCACATGTTCACTCTTTATATTCTTGAAAACTAATTTTTATTTGCGACCTTGTTTAAATCGCCACTCGTTCCCAGTACATCTGTCGACGCCATGACCCAACTTCGACTTTGCTCCGTGTTGGGCCTTCTTCTGCTGGCCACAAGTGCCATTGCAGCAACCGTCTCATACGACTGGGACGTGACGTGGGTCAATGCCTCTCCCGATGGCTTTGAACGCCCAGTCATCGGTATTAACGGTGCTTGGCCATGTCCCACAATTGCGGCCAATGTCGGAGACACAATTGTTCTCACGATCAACAACCAACTTGGCAATGAGACAACTGGCATTCACTTCCACGGCATCGACCAGATCAACACATCGTGGATGGATGGTGCCAACGGTGTCGCCCAGTGCTCAGTGCCCCCTAATTCATCTATTACGTACAGTTTCTTGGTAGGCTACACAATGCATCGACCTCTCAACATCAAGCAACAGTGCCAGCTAACTATTGTAACTGATAGGCCGATTCTCCGGGTACTTTCTGGTGTATGACAAACCCTTCCACATTTACGGTTGGTCTTGATTTACTGATAAAGTCTTACTGAAACTCTTCAATCCAATAGACCACTCTCATGACATGGGCCAATACCCGGACGGTCTCCGAGGACCCTTGATTGTCTATGACCCTCTAGACCCGTACAAAGGACAATACGACGAAGATGTGGTTTTGACTGTCTCTGATTGGTAAGTATCTCTTCACAACGGGCCCTGGCAACCACAAGGAAGCTCTCGTCCTTCGTATCTAACTGCTGCTTATTAGGTATCACGACCAAAGTATTACACTCGTCAGAAATATGATAACGACGACCAACACGCACTTCGTTCCTCCGTTCCCGGACAGTATTATCGTCAACGAGGGTCTCGGCGCCAATGTAACATTTGACAATGATAAGACATACCGTTTTCGCATCATCAGCTTCGCGGCGTTTGGTTCGGCCATGTTTAGCTTTGACACCAGCAACATGCAAGTTGTCATGATTGATGCCTCCTACGTCGAAAAAGCCCCAGCGACACAATTGCGCATCGCACCATCCCAGCGTTATGATGTGCTCATTTCCGTCCCGCGCCGCAGAAACTGCAAGCCAGTCACCTCGGCCAATTACCCGTTTCTGCTGTCTCTTGATATAAACCGCGACTATACTAATGATCTCGCCCAGTCGGTCTGGCAACACAACTACACGGGCTACCTTGTGACAAATCCTACTGGCGACTTCCCCGAGGAGGTTGTAACTTTGTGGCGGCCTGCTGATGATGCTACATTTGTGCCGCTCGATGGTGCAGTTGCCCTGGGTCCTGTCTCTCAAGAAATCACGCTTGATTTCGACTTCTGTAGAGATGAAAACAACCTACCCCGCGCCTGCTTCAACAACAATACCTACATTCCGCAAAAGGTGCCCACACTCTACTCGGTGGCGACGACTGGGTCAGACAACACCAACCCGATTGTCTATGGCGATGTTCTCCCATATATTCTACCCTTGGGGACGATCGCCACAATCGTTGTCAACAACTTGGACGCTGCGATTCACCCGTTTCATTTGCACGGCCACCAGTTCCAAGTGCTAGCTCGGCCGGAAAGCGGCGCAGGCACATGGGACGGCCAGGAGAGCAACTTAGCAGCCACACCGCCGCGGCGAGACACGATTGCCGTTAATGCCAACTCTTATGCGGTTCTTCGCATCCAAGTTGCCCATCCAGGCGTGTTTCTTTTTCACTGCCACATTGAGTGGCATGTCGAAATGGGCCTGACGGCGACATTTATCCAGGCGCCGGAGTTGCTGCGTAACATCACGTTCCCTGCTGACCACATCGACAATTGCATTAAGCAGAACATCCCGTACCAAGGCAATGCCGCCGGTAACACTGCGGATGTGCTTGATACGAGCGATTTCAACACTGTGCCACCTGTACAATACGAGGGGTAAGTTCTTTTGCGTTCCAGTTTTCCGTCATTGATTTTGTCCGCTCTGCTAATAAACTTGGTAGCTCCTTATATCCATCAAGTTAAGGTTCTCCTATTGAAATAGAATACGTCTCGGCCCCACGAGAGCAAAAGTTTTCACACCATTACATTCGGAAACCCACGTGTTCAACTAATCTAATTCTTGTTGTCGTTATATGTACCGTTGTTGTTGAAGAATAAATGAAAATTTGAATAGCCAAATTCGAGAAAGTTGACGGAGTGAAGAATCAAAGTAATGTCCACTTTTTTAACCGCATGACCGCACCGGTCCTTTAAAATAGCCACCGGTGTCACCTTTAGCAGTAAAACCGTTTGTTTTTAGGGCAAGGATGGCCACACCCGTAATTTAACGTTTAACGACACTCGCCAGTAGCACAACATGTTATCACGAAAACTAACCAACGAGCTCGGCATCGCCACGCTGTCGCTTGGCAACTGGCGCGAGCACAAACTTGAATCACGCCTCAAAGCGGCAGCGCGGGCGGGCTTCCAGTGGATCGACCTCTTTGACGAGTGCTGGTCGGCCTACCTCGCGGAACATGGCCAGAATGGAGAGGGCGCAGCGGCGTGGGAAGCGAGCGAGAGTAACCTGGCCGTGGCGCGGAAGCTGGGTGTACTTGTGAAATCGCTAGGGATGCGCATTGCCTGCACGCAGCCGTTGCGCACCATCGAGGGCATTCTCGACCCGGTCGAGCGGCGGGCAACGCTGGACGGTGTGGCGCGGCGGTTTCCGTTTATGCGGGCGTTTGATACCGACCTCGTGTTTATGTGCTCGTCCATCCGGCGTGACGCTGGCGTGGCGCCGGCGGATTTGAAAAGGGTGGCGCGCGATTTGGCCGAGCTGGGCGACATGGCGGCCGCGTATGCGCGTGCTGACGGCGGGCGGATGCTGCGGATCGGCTACGAGGGACTGTCGTGGGCGTCGCGCAACAACACGTGGTCGTCGTCGTGGGAGGCGGTGCGGTTCGCCAACCGATCCAACGTCGGGCTGGTCGTGGACGCGTTCAACGTGCTGGCCGTCGAGTTTGCCGATCCGTACAACCCGGCGGGTCACGGGCGCATCTTTTCCACCCTCCGCGAATCTCTGTGGGTGCTGGCTAGGTCGATGGCCGCCCTTGTCGCCATTGTCCCAGGCGACAAAATTTTCTTTTTCCAGTGCGGCGACGCGGAGCACATGAACCCGGCCACGTTTCTGCCGCCCACCGACCCGGCGGTACCGGTTCTCCTCCCATGGTCACGCAGCCACCGGCTGTACCCATTAGAGCAGAAACGGGGTGGCTACATGCCGGTCGAGCTGGTGGCCGCGGCCGTCGTGGCCACAGGCTACAAGGGTCCTTTGTCACTCGAAGTCTTTAGCCACACGCTCAACCTGCCCGGCGAGAATGTCCCAGACGACCACGCGCGCCGTGGTATGGACAGCCTGCACGCGGTTGCGGATATTATCCAAACGCTTCCTCTGTTCTGGAAAGATCCCACTGAGTTGGAGCGGGCTGTGGATCGTGTCGTGCAGAGGCTAGAGACGACAAGTGATCCACGGGCGGCCCGTTTGTAGACCCATAGCTAGATGTAGAGACACGCGCACATCAAAGAACTGAATGGTGCACAGTTGAGCAGAAACATGACAGTGTCTCAGTGTAGCAAAGCCATCATCGCGTTCAAAGTTTCAATTTAGTTCTATTGAAGTGTATTCATCACCATCTGTTTCTTTGTCTTGCACATTCGTGCATTGCTCGACCGATATCTTCGCTACATCTTCGCCTTGCCCTCTACCGCGTGCAGCCCGCCCTCGGCTACGACATAGTCTTGGCCACGCTCCCAGCCGGTCCACGCGTACATCAGGTGCTCGCCACCGCTGCCAGCCTTGAGTGTTTGTGGTGTCCATCCATCGCTTGGTGCCTGCGATGGCGTGTCGCTTAGAGCCACCATGGCCCGTTGCTCGTACCGTGCGGCCTCCATCTCGGCATAGGTCAACACGGGCGTGCAACATGCATCGGTGCCGTCAAATACAGCTTCCCATTCCACGCGTGTGCGCGTCGTGAAACGGTCGGCAAGCAACTTGTGCAGGGCCGGCCAGGCAGCGCGGTCGTCACGCGGTATTCCACCCCAGTCTTTGTCGGACACACGCAGCCCCTTACACAACGCGGCAAAGAACTTGGGCTCCAGCGCGGCCACGGCCATATACCGTCCGTTGTCGGCGCACTCATAGACCCGGTAATATGGACAGCCACCATCAATCAAGTTTTCGCCCCGAGGACGGTCCCACTGACCGGGGATTTTTGAAGAGACGCGCGGCGCCGTCGCCAGGTACGACACACCGTCTACCATGTTGGCCTCGACCACCTGGCCCCGACATGAAGTCGCGCAAGCCTGCAGTGCCAACAGAATGCCCGCAAAGCACACCAGCCCGCCGCCGGCAAAGTCGGCCAACAGGTTTCCTGGAGGGCTGGGCGGGAGGGGGTAAAGTCCCCCTAACGTAGAGAGGACGCCCGATACGGCGAGATAATTCAAATCATGTCCTGCCATGGGGGCGTATTTGCCGTCGCGTCGGTAGCCGGTGAGACGGGCAACGACGAGGCGCGGGTTGCGGGGCAGCAGAGTCTCGCGGGGTCCGAGTCCCAGCCGCTCGAGTACGCCTGGCCGGAATGGGTCAATGAGCACGTCGGCGTGTTCTACCAGGCGAAGGAGCAAATCGCGGCCGCGGGGGTGCTTGATGTCGATACAGACGGAGGACTTCCCGTGGACCAACACGTCGGGGCTGGGTATGTCTCCCTGGGCCACACGGTCGACCCGGAGGACGTCGGCGCCGTTTTCAGCGAGCAGCAAGCCTGTAAAGGGACCAGGAGCAAGCCCGGCGAGCTCAATGACGCGAATGTTTTCGAGGGCAGACATGATCGTGTTGGCACAGGTGTCGGTGTAGTGTATTGCACAGGAAGGGCAGAGACTTTGGCCCGAGATGCAGGTGGTAATTTACAATTTCGAAAGGACATAAGCAATACGGCCATGTCATATAATCGCATGGCCGATTTACAGTACAACAAAGGCCCGGGGCGTATTTGAATTGACCGGGTCCGGACAGTGGTGAACAGCGGCTTGAAACCGTGTCCTGGACAACGCAAGCACCTCACAAAACAGGGTAAACGCAATGTTCCATTCCCATGCAAGGCCAGCCATGGGATGCCACTGCCTTTGACTCATGTTTGAAGCTTTCAAGATATAGACGATTTGCTTTTATTGGTTGTATCTACTGCCTATTCGCACCGGTCCTATCTCCGTTACCAGCTGCGGTGCCTATAACAGCGCCTTCGTCTGCGCAAGCTTGCGCAGCTCCCGCCGCAGCAACTTGCCCGTTGGGTTGCGCGGTAGCTCATCCACAAAATACACTCCACCGGTCAGCTTCTTGTAACCAGACACTTTGCTCGCCACCATATTCTTAATGCTCGTGGCCAGAGCGTCCGTGCCCTTGCCCGTACGCGGCACCACAAAGGCGCACGGCAGCTCCGTGGCCAGGGCGTCGTCCCACACCGATGTCACGCCAACGTCTCGAATGGCGGGGTTCTGGAACAGCACCTCTTCAAGCTCGCTGGGACTGACCTGGAACCCCTTGTATTTTATCACGTCCTTGAGCCGGTCCACAATTACCAAGTAGCCGTTGGCGTCCAAATAGCCAACATCACCCGTACGAAACCACCCGGGCTCTAACATCGCCGCAGCCGTTGCGGCTGGGTCGTCCTTGTAACCCATCATGATTGTGGGCGACGACACGCAAATCTCACCTGGCACGGGTGGCACAACGTCCTGCCCCTGCTCGTTGACAAAGCGGACGTGCATATTTGCCAGCAGCGTGCCCGCCGCAATGAGTGGTGCTTTGTGGCGGTCACGCACGCCGCTCTGGGCGACACATGACGCTAGCTCGGTGCATCCATAGGTCTGACACAGGCCCACGCCGGGGAACTGGCGGCGCAGAAGGTTGGCCACGGCAGGCGACAGTGGCGCCGCTGAACACGAAAAATATTCGAGGTCGGGGTACGCATAGTTTAGAATAACAGGCGATTGTGCGAGGGCCAGAGCGACCGGTGGCACCAGACGCGCCAGGGTTGCCCGCTTCTCGTGCATGAGCTGTCAATATGTCTCGACGTCGAATGACGGCACCATGCAGACGTATGAGCCGAGCCACGGCGCCATGAGGGCACACACATACAGGCCGTAGATGTGGGAGACTACAAAAGTCAGCGTATATACACAATACGGAGGAGGGCAGGGGGGCCACGTACGTGGCGGAAAGAAAATTTCTCGTTGGTTCCCCCGCCAGTTGTCGGGGTTGTGCGCCCGCAGCATCTCGGAAATGCAGACCAGGTTGTGGTGCGACAGCATAACCGCCTTGGGCAGGCCCGTTGTGCCGCTCGACAGCACGACGGCTGCACAGACAGTGCGTGCGTCGCGGCCGTCGAGAACATAGGCTGAGGGATCGATGCGCTCGTTCGCTAGCAGGTCATAGGGGAAGAGTGGCGTGTCTGGGATGCGCTCGACCAGGGTCATAACCGCGGGGCTTACGTCGAGTCCCGCAAGTGCACGCCACACCTTGTCCAACACGGCCACGTCGACAATCAACAGACGTGGCTTGATAATTTGTAGGGCGTGTACAATCTCTTTGGGCGCTGAGGAGTGGTTGACGGTGCTCACAACGCAGCCGGCGGCCCAAACGGCGTGCGCGGCCAAAACGTAGTCAACCTGGCTGCGGCCCATTAGGGTCACAGTGTCACCGGCTACCAAACCATGCTGGTGCCGCAGAGCATGGGCAGCTGCAAACGCGTCTGCTCGAATACTGCCGTAGGTGGCCGTTTTGCTCGTCAATGTGTCCTCGCAGACAATGTTGGATGGGTCGGCATTGCACGGGTTCTCGAGCATCATCTGCGTCACGGAGCGATCCGTGCGCATGTGAACAACGACGTCTGAGATGATCGGGGTCATGGTGAAAACGTGCAAAGAATCAAAGAAGAATATCAAGAAGAATATCATGCACCCCATTAAACTTCAAGCTTGCGCCGCAAGATAGGCTGAGTATTTAATTTACAGATCACTTCCCAGCCAAGCTATGAAAAGTAAACAAAGACAGCTGCGTTCAGCAGGCCCGGCTGACAATTTAATGAGCCGACCTAGCAATAAGTGCGACATCGTACCTAATTTTGTTTTTACTTTTTATTTTTAGTTTTTAATTTTCAAATTTCAATTTCAATTTCAATTTCAATTTTTTATTCTTTTTCTTTCCTTTCTCGTAATCATTTACTAATTTCAATTGATTTACAGTGATACATATGCCGGTGTTTGTCTCACTGCCCATGTTATTGTTTATTTTCGTCGTCTTCTTACCATCTACAACATCAGCCTCGAAAATCGTCCCACCCTGCCATGGAGGGCCTCCTAGCGGTTTTGCCTGTCGTCGAGGGTGAACACAATATCTTTGTTGACACGAATCGACCTATGCCAGAGCTCACTGGCGAAGGTGATCGCGTCTTTGGCGGAATTACACTCGGCCAGAGTCTCAACGCCGCCCAGCAAACCGTCTTGCCTCAATTCGTCGCCCATTCCATGCACTGCACCTTTGTTTCGGGGCGAGGCGCCACGGTTGCCGTCGAGTACCACATCGAGCGTATCAAGGACGGCAGGCAGTTTTGTGTACGCGGTGTGCGTGCCGTTCAGGGAGGGCGAACGTTTTTTGTGGCCCTTGTCAATTTTACTACACAAATCCCTGGCAGCCTGCATTACAGCAGCCGCTTTCCACACGACGTGCCGATGCCACCGTCCGAGAATGACGACGACAACAGCAGCGTCAATTCCAGGATACCGTTTCTGCACCACAGCGTCGGACTCAGGTCGCCCTCCGGCGAGACGCTCGCACAGATACACCAGTGGGTGCGCGCCCGGGAACCCATTTCAACCCAAAACAGTCCCAACACGCATGCCCACCTGGCAGCACTGGCCTGCATATCTGACAGCTACTTGTTGGCCGGCGCGCCGCACAGCCACGGTATCTATGACTTTGCCAGCCCGCCCGTGTCAGAAGTGTACAACGGTGGCCACGGGCTATCATTGTTCTCGGAGACGCACCAGCCAATCCCGCGGCCACACCTCAACTTCCCAGGCAGTGCTCCCTCGAATGGACGGGTGATCGTCATGGCCAGCCTCGACCACAGCCTCTACTTCCACGACCCGGCACGCCTGCGATCCGACCAGTGGCTGCTATCTGAAATCCACTCGTCCTGGGCCGACAGCGGTCGAGCGCTCGTGCACATGAAAATATGGTGTAAGGATGGTACGCTGGTGGCCAGTTGCATGCAAGAAGGGCTGGTGAGCGTCGAGGAACTGTCACGGGCGAGAGACTCTCGGTTATAGAGTTCGGATAGATGTAAAAGCAGAGAATATATATGTGGAGGGTCACTAGTAATACGCTCTCGTCGTAAGAAGAAACGATGTAAGAAGATAGGCTGGACCATCAACGATGGCTCGATTATGCGACCATTAACACGCATTTGTTCCACCGCCCTCAAGCCTCTTCAACCTCCTGGACGCTGGATTTCCCCTCCACGCCATGCGGCAGTCGGTTGACCAAATTGACATCCTTGACAAACAGGGCATCGACCTCCTCGAGCGTCTTGCCAGTGGGATCTGGGCACATGAAATAGACAAATGCCACTCCGACAAAGTTGAAGACGAGCGGCCAGATCCAAATCTTCCAGCCGATGGTCTGGATGCCGATGCCACCGGCAAAGACGGTGACAAACGTAAACAGCCACTCGCCAAACAGTCCAGCCGCGGCACCGACATGGCGGTACTTGAGGGGCGCAATCTGGACGTGTTAGTGGTGGTCGGTTTGTCTGGGAGACCGGGAGTCGTCCTACCTCTGGACCGTAAAGCCATGGACAAGTGACCCAGCCCCAGCCGTAGAAAAAGACGTATGGAAACAGGATGGCCGCCGCGGCCCACTGCGTGGCATCTGTCTTGTTGGGCAGGCCAAGAAGCACGACAAATATGAGCATGCAGACACTCTGGGCGGACGACGTCAAGAGCATAATGTTGCGCCGGCCCATGCGCTCAATCGTGGGGATACACAGCAAGGCGCCACCAAACTGGACCGTCAGACACACCGCCGCAAGGAGGGATGACAAGAACGCGGACAAGCCGATGCCCGTGAAGGTTAGCGTCATGTAATAGACCATAATATCGATGCCCATCATCTGCTGGATCGATAGAATAATGAAAGAAATGCGCACGCGCCGTCCCACGCGCAGCGGCGTGTTGTCCCACACCAGACTAATCCAGCTGAGCTTGTTTTCTTCCTCGGCCTCGAGCTGGATACTCTGCATAATCTCTGCCTTGACCTGTTGGATGACCCGCTCGTCGTCTCCTGTGAGGCGCCTGCTGGGGTCATAGACACCGTGCAGCCGCGCCAGCGTGGTGTCACCCTCAACCTCGCGGCCCTTGGCGTAATACCAGCGGGGCGTGTCCGGGCAGAAAAACATACCGACAGCGGGAACAATGGCCCACAGGGACTGCAGGCCGATGGGGAAGCGCCATGAAAACTGTGTCGTCATTTGCGTAAAGCCAAAGTCGACCCAGTACGAAATGGCCACACCGGCGAGCAGCGACGCACAGTTGATGGCCACCTCGGGTCCTCTCTCGCGGGCATGAATGCTCATCTCGGACTGCCAAAGCCAGCTGTGAGCCTTTATGCAGACGGGATCAAAGTAGGGCACGGAATACTAACCATGTACATCGCCACGTTGCAGGTGATCAACTGGAGAGAGGAGGGTTAGCACCGAAAAGAGGAACCACACTGAAACAGGAGACGTCTTACGCCGATGCCGAAACCCTGAATGTTGTTAGCTTTGTTCCCACATACGTATCACAAAGAGGTGGTTTGCTTACACAAATGACACGTGCAACAATGATCTGGGCCACAGAGAAGGTCGCCGCTTGGATGATGCCGCCGATGATAATCAAAATATTACCGAGCATGATTGAGTTGCGCCGGCCCAGCGGCATGCCCACCACGACTACCATGACTGACATGACCGCCGCTGCCAGAGTGTAGGATGAAGCAATCATCGGAATAACATAGGTGCCGGTCGGGTTATCGATGGCATCCAGGTACTGCGATGTGTCCTGGACGCCACCGAGAATGCCAGCCTGGTAACCCTCAATGAAAAAGGACTAGACAGTGGTCAGCCATGTCAGGCAAAAAGGAAACGGAAATGTACATACCACAGAGCAGCAAATCCGCGCGAGCCAGCGCAACCGCTTACCCTGGAGGAAGACGTCAAACATGGTGAAAGTGGATGACAGATCGCCTCAATAAACAAATCGACGAAAATGCAGTGCGGAGGTAGATCGGAGTGAAACGAATAGATACATAGAATGTGACAATGAACAACACGACAGCTGTTACTCGTATTGCCCATCTCTCGGATCTTAGACGGCCCCTTTATATTTTCATGATGCCCAGGCACAAAATCGAGACTTAATCAACACCGAACCTATAGCAAGGACGGCAAGGAACCCTCTGCGGGGGCAGAGACGCTGATCACTGCTGCCGGGAATTTTTTGAATTGACCGGAGCCGGTTGTGCGAAACAAATCCTGCCACTCTGCCGCCTCCACCCCGCAAATCTCGGTTGTTACGGTATGGGGTTAAAATCCGGGGTAAGCCCAATGGAGAAGGCGCGAGCGACTGATGAGGGCCAGGCTGGAAATAAGCAGCGGGGAAAAGGAAATAAGCAGAAGAGAGGAGAAAAGGAACCCTCAAGGAAGGTGCCTCCGTTTACGCACCTGGACATTGAGATGTCGTCGAAAGGTCACGTGTTGGCAACCACATGCATCCAATACTGTGACTTTTAAAAGGCAGTGTGCTTCATTACATACCGCAGGGTATCCAAGTCGGGTACGACGCACTCTACGACATCATATATGGAGTTTGGAGTTCAGGTGTGGACGGTAGAAATAGTGCTATGCCGCCAGCTCTGGCAATCGTCTAACAAAAGGAGAATACTAACAAGAGGCAATCTATCCGCACCAAACTTAAATCAGTACCAAAAAGCACCGAAACATGGCTAACCTCAGTTCTTATTTATTTATTTAGTTAGTCAGTTTTACCATTAAGGCCAGCTCTTTATCGTCCCTTACGCTGGTAGAGACACCGGCACACCGTTGCCAGCCTCGAGGGCCAGCAAAATAGCCTCGCAAACCTGCACGGCGACGAGACCGTCCTCGCCAGAACATCTTGGGGCTTCAAGACCGCGGACAACCCGGGCGAGGTGCTCGGCCTGCCGCTGAAAGGGAATGCCCTCGGGGACCTCTAGTGGTTCGCGCGTCATGGGCAAGTTCCAGCCAATATTATTGGCGGGTTTCCCGGCGGCAATAGCAGCGTCGTAGTTCCACAGAACGTTGTCAGGGACGCTGAGCGAGCCGCGCGTGCCCATTATTCGGTACGTGTCCACCTGTACAGACGTGGGCAAGTAACTGGGGTTGTCCCCCGAGGCCGACTCCCAGCCGAAGGGGCTCGGCGTGTTGTCGCAGATGACAAAGGTAACCACAGTGCCATCAGAAAACCGTGCCATAACGGCCGCGCCCTCTTCTACCGTCTGGCCGACATCTTCACGCTCGCGCCGCGTGGGGATGGCCCAGAGTTGCACGACTCGTGATCCCGTCAGGTAGTGCAGCGCGTCAATGTTGTGCACCATGTTGGTCCATACAGGCCCACCGCCGGCCGAACGCTGCGATCGCCAGCCTGCACCAGCCACCTGGAAATAGTCGTCGCTCTTCTTGGCGGTCCACAGGGCCGATACAGCTGTGATCCGCCCAATCCGGCCCGCCTCAATGGTTTCCCGGGCGCTGGTCATGGCTGGATGGAAGCGGCGGTGGTGGCCGACAAGAATGCGACAGTTGGCTAGGCGTGCTTTTTCCAGAAGGGAGGCAGCAGAGGCAGAGTCTGTGGCGAGTGGCTTCTCGACCAGCATTGCCTTGGGTGTGGCCTTGGTGAGGATGTCACTGGCCACACTAACGTGCAGGTGGGATGGGACGCAGACAATGTACGCGTCCGGTTGTGTAGCAGAAGTCGTCAGGAGGTCACCGACCGACGCATAGTGCGGCACGCCCAGCGTGTTAGCCAGTCGCTCACCGGGCGGGAAGGGGTCGATAATTGCGACGAGCTCGCAGTTGGGAGAGGACTGGAGGTACTTGGCGTGCAGGGGCGCAATGGTGCCGCCGCCGACGAGGACGACGGTAACTTTGGGGTTTGACGTCATGGTGAGCAAGGCATGTGTTGGGCATGCAGTAAATGCAGAGATGGGGAGATGGACAAGAAGAAAGCCGATACAGCGTGGCCGCTGTCGGTATTTCAAGGCCGCTCAGGGCCTCCGCATGCGGCCTATTTGGCATTGTATCCACTTGCTTACGGTCCGCGGCCGGAAATTGTGGTTCGGACTTTTAAAGAAAGGGCCGGGGTTTGGCAGGGGGGAATGGAGGAGTCCATTTCCCGTTGCTGTAATCAGTGCGGAGGCCACGCCAGCAAACAACAGCAAGCAATAGGCAAAAGGTAGCCAACAGGCGAACGAGACAGCAACACGACAGTAACAAAGGCATCATAACAACACGACACGTCACATTACGATGGACATCCTCGAACAATCCTACGCCTTTGGCCGCTCGCCGCTGGCCGAGGATCTTGCAACAACACCGCGCGACGCTTACATCTTTGGCGGCCACATTGCCCAGTCGCTCTCGCCGCGCCTGCACAACCTCATGTTTGCGGCGCGCGGCGTGCCTTGGCATTTTTTGCTGTGCCAGACGACGGACACCGATCGCTTCGCCGAAAAACTACAGGACGACCGCTGCTTGGGCAATTCCATCACAATGCCGAACAAGGTGGCCTTTATCCCACGGCTGGACGAGCTGACCGACGAGGCCCGGGCCATTGGTGCTGTCAACACGTCTTTCGTCAGGCTGGACGGCCGCGGCCGTCGCAAGTGGATTGGTGCCAACACGGACTGCGTCGGCATCCGTGAGGCGGTTCTGGCGCGCTTTCCGGATGCTCCAGCAACTACACGGGGCCGCACGGCCATGGTGCTGGGTGCTGGTGGTGCGGCGCGGAGTGCCGTCTATGCGCTGTGGCGGTGGTTCTGTGCCTCCGAGATTTACGTGGTCAACCGGCTCAAGTCGGAGGTCGACGATCTCATCACATCGTTTGAGAAGTCGGTGCCCGGGATACGTCTACGCTACGTGTCCTCCCTCCATGAAATGGCCCGCTTGGAGACGCCGCGCATCATTGTGGGCACAGTGCCGGACCTGCCGCCCCAGGACGAGGATGAACTGCGCTGCCGGGCGCTGTGCAATGCGGTGCTGAGCCGACCCGATCAGGGTATGCTTGTAGATATGTGCTACATGCCGTCGCCGCAGACCGCCCTCTACACTACCGCAGCGGGCAAAGGCTGGCGTGTGATTTCAGGGACAGAGGTGGTTGCGCGGGTGTGCATTGCGCAGAATATTCTGTGGCTGGAGCAAGATGTGAACGAGGCGACAGTACGACAAGTGCTGGCGGTGGTGGAGGAGACCGTCGGTGGGAAAATGTTGCAAAATATGCCGGGTGCACCGGCTGCAAATTTGTAGACAAAACGAACCTGACTAGATTGATAGAACTGAGAGAAGACACGCCACACACTATTACTACCGTTGTTCGATGTAACATCATTTTGAAAGAGGGGAGATCCGGGGGGCAAGACCGGTTCTGTCACCGTCGACGCCGGTGGAACCGGCATCCAGATCAAAGGACCGGTTGTGGCGTGTGGAGTAACTGGGCGGTGCATCTGCGCGATGCGAGAGTTGAAAATATGACCCGAAAATAACATCTAGAAGGATCACCAGAAAGTGCGGCTCATAGGACGACTTAGAAAGGGGACTTGAAAAGAGCCAACGGACCTGGCCGGTCGTTACTTGCTCCAAGAACACCTCATCACAAAATTACATCCACGCCATACACCATGTCTGCATCATATGTTTCCCCGTTGGCTCAGGTAGGTCCCGCCTCATGTTTACTGATGGAATCTGTTCCATACTGTTTTCCATACTAACACCCACATCCACAGCCAATCACCCTCCCGCTCTCGGGCAAGATCATTTCCAACCGGCTCTACCGCACACCGCTCAGTGAATATGCCGCGACGCACGACGACAAGAACATTGAACTCTGTGGAAAGCCGCTGCCCCGCTATGCCGAACTCTACCAAGAGATGGCCGATGGCGGCGTCGGTCTCATCTGTACGGGCAACATTCCCATCCACCGCGAGCATTTAGAAAACTACAGCAACGCCGTACTGGACATGAACAACCAATGGGACGCGGTGGCGGCGTTCCGGCCGGCCGTGCAGGCAGCCAAGTCGCGCGGCGCCCTGTTTCTCGGCCAGCTGCAGTTTCCCGGCCGCCAGGTCCCGAAATTTTTAAATGCCCACCCAAAGTCATCATCCAACGTGCAGCTGCGGCCGTGCCTCGATAAGACGTACGGCAAGCCCACGCCCCTGACGCACGCCGAGATCCAGGATATGATTCGGCGCTACGTCTGGGCCGCGTCGGTGCTAGCCGAGGCCGGTGCCGACGGCATTATTTTACATGCAAGCCACGGCTACATTATCAACCAGTTTTTGTCGCCCCTTATTAACAAGCGCACGGATGAGTACGGCGGCACCCTGGAAAACCGCGCCCGGTTTGTCCTCGAGATTGTGCGGGCCATCCAGGCCAAACTGCCATCTGACGGCTTCGTCATCGCCGCCAAGCTCAACTGCCACGATTTCATCGAGGGCGGCACCAGTTTTGCCGAGATGTGCGTCGTCGCCAAGTGGCTTGAGCAGGCCGGCGTCGACTTTTTTGACATTTCTGGCGGTACCTACGAGTCGCCCGCCTGGCGCGGCAACATTATGACAGAGCTCGGCACGCGCTCTTCGCAGCGACTCCGCGGCAGCTACTTTATCGAGTGGGCGCAGGACTTGAAAAAGGTGCTGTCGCGTGCCGTCATTGGCACCACAGGCGGATGGCGTGACGGCTTCCGCATGGCCGAGGCCGTCGAGCGCGGCAACATTGACCTGTGCGGTCTGGGGCGCCCGCTGCGGGCGGATCCGCACTTTGTGCAAAAGGTGCTGCGCGGCGAGACGCGGATCAGCAGCAATTTGTAGGGAGGTTAGACGGGAATCTGAAAAAGATCAGGGACTAGTTTTGTGTGTTTGGTTTCTTCCATTAAAAATAAAATTAACTTTAAAATAATTTTGATTTTGATTTTGCAATTTTCGTAACCTTTTATTTTACTTACTTCATACTCTGGTCTTACAACAAAATCATAAACAACGCAGATGCCTCAAAAGACACCCCCGTATCCCGGCCCAAACATGTCTCGGAAGCGGTCCGCGAATCCTTCGCCTGTTAGGTCGCCCTCGGTGGACATGACAGCTGTTGTCCAGAACGGATTGTACACCGAGGCGCTGGAATCAACCACGGATGGTGTCATGCCCGCAATGGTGTCATGGCTGCCGTCGTAAAACGTCGTCTTGCCGGACCAGCTCTCCATATCGGCGGTGCCAATATCGATCTGTGGATTCTGATACGATGGGTAGGGTCGGTGTTGATAGCCACACAGCGCCATTGTCATGGGCAGTTGTAGCACCTGATGCGATGGGTGGGGCTGTTGCTGAGGCTGCTGCTGCACTGGTTCCACCGACAAACTGCGCGTGTGCAGGCGCGTACGCAGGATGGACTCGAGGTGGTGGCCCATCAGAGCCGCGATGCCGTAGCGGTGGGAGGGAGTGGTGCCAGCCCGCTCTAGTTGCAGCGCCACTTGGCTAACCAGAGCTAGCAACTCGCTGTCGGCAGAGGCGGTATCGGCAGCCGCGTAGCCGTTGTCGTGACCAGTATTGCCAGGACTGCTAGAAGTCCCTCGACGGCTGCCGCCGTAGAGCGTAGGAAACAGCGACAGGGCCAGCACACTAGCATACGATATCATGGCCCACGTCGGCGCCAGCATGCAGTACAACGGCTCACCGAGCGCCTGCAGGTCACGCACGGCGGCCTCACAGCAGCCCACAGCCGCCTCGAAGCAGTCATGGCGGATGGCGTGCAGCTGCGTGGGGTCGCAGCTGATGGACCGGTGCAACGCAAACGAGAGCGTCCAAAGACGGCCGTGCAAAAAGACGTGCAGCAGATACGCGTCGGCCACGTCACTGTTCACGTCGTCGTCGGGCGGCAGCCACGCCTCGCGCCACGGCTGCAACGTGGTGTCGACGAGGTTGCACACCCAGTGGGCGTCCGTGTGGGACGAGGATGCCTGCCGGCGAATGTCACGCTGCAGGTCGGCCAGTGTTCGTCGGAGCAGAATAAACGCGCAGGTGTGCTTGTCAGCCGGGTGGGCCAGCGGGTGGCGCCACCAGCGGTCGACATTGAGCGTCAGATCTGTTTCGGGGAAGCTGTGCATGCGGCCGCGGGCAGCCGAGTTGGCGCGTTCCCACAGCAGGATCCGCAGCCACGTGCGCTGGCGGTTACGAGCCAACCGGCCAGCCAGTTCCCCATCGGACTCGGCCGCATGCGTCGTCTCCATTGCCTCCGCTGCCTTTGGTGCTGGCGACTCTTCCTCGCGGTCAAGTCCCAGCTCCGATCCCAGGCCAAACGCGTACATGGTGTACAGCCAACTGCACTCCTCGGCCAGCGTCGCCGCCGGGTTGGCCGACAGCAGCGAAATGTAGTAGCCCTGCACAATTTCGACGCTCTTCAACCCGCAGGCGTGGACATGGTGCGACAGCTTCTCGCCGTGCAGCCGCAGCCTCTTGGCAATCGCGGCCGACGCCGGCCCGTGGTCAAACTGGGCCGTGAGGGCCAGGATCCACGTGAACAGCAAGGCGGAGCGCGCGCGCACAAACGCGGGGGTGTGTAGGATGGGATCCAAAATGCCGTTAATGGGGTGCAGGCGCGAAAAGTACAGAGGAAAGAGCGTGGCGGCCTCGTCCATCGTCACCAATCCCAAATCGACTGGGTCAACGTCGGGCCCGACGTCGCGTAGCGGGGCCCGCTGCGGTCGCTTAAAGTAGTTGGCGTGTGACCGAGCCGCGGGCTTCGGCGCAAAGAGCGCGTCCAGGCCCTGCTCGAGCGCGTCGCGACTGAGGCGCAGGCCGAGCGAGACGTAGCCGGGCCGGCGCAGCATCCGCCGACCAATGCCGATACTGGAATGGATGCTGGTGTCTGTATTGTCTTCAACGTCGCCCGTGGCCTCGACGAGTGCATTTGCCGCGTCCGACGAGGCGTCGGCCAGCAGAGCCAAGGGATTGCTCATGGGCTCCGGGTCGGGCTCGGGATCGGCCTGTACGGGCGAGACGAGGTCGATCGGCATGTCGGCCATGATGCCAGATTCTTGACGGTCTCGGGTGTCGGGTGGCGCAATTGGCACGCCTGGAACGGCCGTGATGGTTGGCACGTCCGTGACGTGACATACGTCCAATTCTGTGGTGTCCGTAAAATCTGATACTTCCGGGACAGCTGGGATCTCCGATACATCAACCATATCGGGCAAGCCTGGCAGGTCCTGCAGTGTCTCTTCAATGGCCGCCTCGACAGTTGCAGCACCGACTGCGGAGGCGCCCTGCATATCCCCTCGCATCTGTGCCTCTCTGAGCTCTGTCTGCATGCGGCGGTAGGCCTTCTCAAGGCCGTGGTACCGACCCGTGGCGCCGTGACGCCGTCCCAGTGGCCGAGTCTCGGGAATGGTGCAGGCGCGTTTGTTTCGTCGACACCGCTCGCAGGGCTCACCGGCGCCCTGTTCTGTGGGCCGGATGCACCGCATCTTGAGCTTGCGACACGCCTCACAGGCCGTCAGCGCTGCCGGGCGGGTGCGGCCGCTGCTCTTTCCAATGGTTGAGGACACCGACGACATGTTGAGCTGGGTGGTGTCTGCATTTGAAAACAAATGAAAAGGAGAAGAGAAGAGCCGTGCGGGGGAATGCCCCGGATTTTCTAATAAGTGATGGGGCTACATGGTCGGTCTTGGTCCCCACTTTATTAACTGGGTGTGTTTGGCGGCTGCTGATCTATTCTTTTTCTCTTATTTCTGCTATGCCTATTCTATGATTATTGGCCCTTCAAGATACCCTGTACATTGAGAACTGATTCAAGAAAATAATTGCGTATTAAAATATAATGAATTAACATTATTGTCCACTCAACGACTCCCCCCTTACACCCCCCGTCCACCGTCTACGTCTAAAATCGTCCCCGTGATAAACGAGCTCTCTTCGGAGGCCAAAAACCACGCTGCGTTGGCCACGTCGTCCGGTCCGCACAGTCGCTGCATCGGCAGCAGGGCCATCAATTTTTCAAGTTTCTCGGCGCACTCTGTTTCGTTCTCGCCCAGGCTGGCCTGCAGCATAGCCGTGTTGCCCACCGAGGGGGCAATGCCATTGAAACGAATCGTCGGCGCGTACTCCAATGCCATGGTCTTGGTGGCAATGGCCACCGCCGCCTTGGACGCATTGTAAATAGCGAATCCCGCGCGCGGGCGAGTAAAACCGGTGCTGGTGATGTTGACAAAGGCGCCGTGGCCTTGTTGGAGCATGAACGGAGCGATGGCTTGAGCGCTCAAAAAGACGGGCCGCACGTTGACGTCAAACGTCTTGTCGTACTCCTGCATTGTCTTTGTGTGGATGAGTGCGTTGTCAAATGCGATTCCTGTTGGTCAGAGTTTTGTTGTTACACTTTAGTTTTTATGTATTGGAATGTTTTCTCGCTGGCTCACCCGCATTGTTGACAACGATGTCGAGGCGGCCGTAGGTCGTCTCAGCAAAGACCAATGCCTCTTCCCAGGACGCCCGTATCGTCACGTCTGCTTTTTGGTAGTGCAAATTGTTGTGCTCGTCGCCCGCCTCTAGGTCGAGTACAATAACTTTGCAGCCTTCGCGCGTAAACCGTTTCACAATGGCAGCGCCGAAGCCGCGGGAACCCCCTGTGACAATCACCACCTGTGATGCGCTGGCGTGTGGCAAGAGAGGCATGGCGAGCACTGTATGTGTACAAATAGTTGTAAAAGAAAATTAAAGAAGTGACGATATGAAAAAAAAGGACATGATTGATTGTTCCCGTCAACTCTATACACAGTGGCTAATAATCAAACTGACCGCATAGCATCCTGCCCCATGCACCCAAGTTCCCCACACGCCGATCTCCGGTTATTTATTCGTTCCCAGACTGGTATCAGCATTTATTCTACGGTTATTTATTTAGGCTCCGGCTTCCGATCGGTCTACATTGGACGACGATGACGAACAAAAACCGGGAGTATTACTCCGTTGACGGGGATGAGAAGTGATATGTGAGGAAAGAACAAAGGAGATAATAACGGAAATAATAAGTGCAAGTAGTTAGATTGACAGTGCCTTGCCTTGATCCCAAGCAAACGACACCATAAAAAACAATTTGGGGGTCAAAAAAAATCAACGACAAGGAATAACACAACACAAGGAAAACTGGGACAAAGGAACAAATTTAAAATGCCCATCCAAATCGCCATCGCGACCAACTCACTCGGCAAGTCGACCGCGGGCCACTCAATCCTCCGCAAGCTCGACGCCGCCAGCCATCACGGCTTCGAGGGTGTCGAGGTCGCCATGGAATGCTTGGAAGCGCATGCCTCTACTGCATTTGGATCGCTGCCGACACGGCCTGCCCGTCTACGCGCCGCCGCTGCCAATGTCCGCAAGAAGGCCGACACGCTCGGCCTTCAGCTCGTGGTGCTGCAGCCGTTTGGGGCCTACGACGGGCTAAAGGATGCCGCCATGGTGGAAGAACGCCTCGTCGAAGCGGAGTTGTGGCTTGACCTCTGTACCATTCTGCGCGTCAGCATTTTTCAAATCACCTCGGCGCTCTATCCTCTTGATGCTGCTTTCCTGTCGCCGAATGTCGACTCGCTGGCCAGCAACATGCGCCGCTTGGGACTGCTGGCACAGAAGCGCGGCTTGCGTGTGGGCTACGAGGCACCTGCCTGGGGCATCCATCTTGACACGTGGCAGCAGATTGACGAGGTGCTTCAGATGGTTGACTTGGAGAATGTCCAGCACTGCCTCGACACATTTCACATTGCCGCCCGCGTCGCCGGCGATCCTCTCGATAAACAGCACCCAGTACGGCCGGGCGGGATGGCCGCGCTGCAGCACAGTCTCAAGGAGATGAAGAACATGCTGCTGCCACAGCGCATTGCCTACTTACAGCTCAGCGACGCCAATGCGGCCGATGCCGACCAGCCAGGGTATCCCCGCCGCGACCTCGCTCAGCCGGCTTACATGACGCAGTCGCGCAACTGCCGCGTCTTTCCCGGGGAGGGTACGCTGCCCGTGTTTGAAGTGGCTAAGGCGGTGTTTGACCTGGGGTTCAGCGGCTGGGTGTCCATGGAGGTGTTTCACATGGACCACTGGGATGCGCGGTCCTCGGTGCCGGACGAGTGGGCGCGGCGGGGCATGGCCTCGTGGCGCAGGGTGCAGGAGTATTGCGGGCTGGACAAGACGGGGAGGAGTATATGTTTAAAAGGTTCACGGCTATGATAGACGGCGATGTAGGCATCATTTTCAATTGGCACACGAACAATGTTCTCCAGTACCGATATTTAGTCATCTGATCTTGATTATGGAGCAATGCTCGTATGTTGGGATGCACGGCTCCTGCAGACGTGTCCCGTCGGTACATGGCCAGTGACATTGTCCACGCAGACGCAAACGAGGAGAAAGCACTAGGTTTGTTGGACAGCTAAGGATAATCTGCCGGAAGCTGGTCGGTGACTGGGTCTTGATCGGACAACGCCACTCGTCCCGTTGGACCGGTCTATTTTTTTTATCACCGGGTCCGCAAGATGTGACGTTTTCGAGACAGGGACAGCTTTTCAAATAGAATAAAACTTTTAAAGATTGTGTTTGCTTGTTTGATTTCGACTGCGTGACTCAGTATCAATGCACGATTTACCGAATTGCCACGAAAATATGTCTACCATGGAAAGTTTGACGGTCGACGTTCTTGTGTGCGGCGGCGGCATGTCGGGCCTGACCTGCGCCTCGTTTGCTGCGCGCGCTGGTGCCAAGGTGCTGGTCGTCGAAAAGCAGAATGTCGTCGGCGGCTCATCTAATTACTCAGCCGGCATGTTCTGGGCCCCTCAAAACTATGACAAGCTGCGCGCATGGGTGCCCTACGGCGATGCAACGCTGCAAAAGGCGTTTCTCGACGAGTACCTCCCGGCCGTGCAGTGGATACGCGACCACAAGGTACCAACGGCGCCGCGCTTTGACGGCATCATGACCATTGGCATCGGCTTTCCCATTACCATCGGTGCCCTCCAAAGTACACAGCGCGGCTGGATCGAGTCCAGCAACTCACAAATTTGGACGGGCGCGTCCGTCGTGAAACTTGTCCAAGAGACGCCCGGTGTGGTTGGATCGCGCGTCACGGGGGCTGTCGTGCTTCGTGACGGCCGCCTCTACAATGTCACTGCCAAAACGGTCGTTCTCGCAACCGGTGGTTTCCAGGGCTCGCCATCGCTGACATCCCGCTATCTCGGCCCCGGCGCCGACAACATTTTTGTGCGCGCCAACAAGGGGTCCGTGGGTGACGGACTGCGTCTGGCTGAGGGTGTCGGCGCCGGCACCAGCCGCGGCATGGACACCTACTACGGCCACCTCATGGCAGCTCCCCTGCGCGCCGAGAACGTTGACCCCAAAGATTATTTGCCACTGGCGCAGTACCAGAGCAAACACTGCTTGCTGGTCAACGAGGCTGGCCGCCGCTTCGCTGACGAGACCACTGGCGACGAGATCATCAACCAGTACCTGGCCCGCCAAGAAAAGCGTCGCGGCTTTTTGCTCTTCAACGAAAAGACACGCTTGCAGCACTGCGTCCGCGCCCTCTTCCCCAACGCTGGCGACATTGACCGGCTGCAAAAGGCCAAGGCACACAGGGGATACCGCGTCGAGAGTGCGCCCACGCTCGATGGTTTAGTGGGTATTCTGCACACCTGGGGCGTCGACGCCGCCCAGGCGCGCCGCACGATTGACGACTACGACCGCGCCGTGCGTTTGGGTGACAAGACTGTTGTGCTCGATGCCCCAGTTGGTGGAGGTGCCCAGCATGGTGCTGCTCCGCCCCCGGCCCTCGTCGACGGCGACGGGCCGTTCTTTGCCATGGAGGTCCAGCCGAGCATCACCTTTACGTACGGTGGCATCGCCATTGACGCCGAGGGCCACGCACTAACTAACGACAAGATCCGCATTCCCGGCTTGCATGTCGCCGGCGTCGATGCCGGTGGCTTCAGCAACACGGGTTACGCCGGCGGTTTGTCGCTGGCCTTTGTGACCGGCTTGTGGGCCGCGCGCCGGGTTGCCAGGGAGCTTAATTTGCCAGAGCCGAAACTGCCAGCTCCCCATCCGAGCGATGTCAAGGTTACGACCTCGGAAGCGAAATTATAAAGATAAGTCCGAAGAACGCTCTAACAACGCCGAGTAAGGCGTTGGAAACGACGGCGGCGGGGGCAGAAGATGCGTCCATGGTCGGCTGGTGGACATTAGATATGAAATGGATTCTTATCTTGAAAGAGCAGCCCGTTACCGTTAGAGAAATATAATTTTGCCACATTTACAAGACTGCTCGAAATCTACACGTTACTACGAGGACCTGGCAACCATTGCCCTGGGACTTGTGCCACGTTTTCCAGAAACAGATAAATACGTCTTTGAATTTTGGGTGAATAAGCCGGGCCTGTTGCCATTACCGGGGCCGTACAGAGCCGAGAAAAGGTTGGTAAAGAAAGCAATCAGAGGCACACGTGCCGAATTGTCCGCGGGCATCAAGAAGGACAGACCGGTCGCCAACAAACACCAAGCCATGTTGGGGAAGGTCAGTAAAAGCAAGTTACGACGACCAAACGTGTCCGTGGTGTAGAGTGCCGGGTAGGCGAAGATAAACACGACCAGACCTGTAGCCATGTGCAGGTACAATGGTGGCAATGTGGCGATGCAGTCGTTATTGATGGCCGGTACAGCGTGGTCTTTGACGATCTTTCGAGACGAAGCCCAGCCAAGCCGACGCACAATCTTGCATATGTGGTTTGTATGATTGTCTCCCCATTTCGAGCGTCATCCAGCAAGCCTCGTTTGTTCGTCAGTTTCCCTTCATTTCTCCAGGTTCTTCTTCGTCTATCCCCGTCGGGGCTAGTGCTAGATTTGTCCGGGCTGTCTAGGGCTGGTTACAAGAGCACGAGAGCAGAGAGGCTAAGAGGTGGCACAGCGGTATGGGAAATTGAGCATACGATGACTACGACAGCGTCGCGGTGGCACACTCATCCAGACTGAGCCGGCGGGTCAGAATTCTACAAACTGTTCACGTGATTCAAAATAAAGGGCAACAGAAGTGGGAAAAGGTGTAGGAGTACGAATATAACAAGGGCATCGTCATCGTGATTCAGGGGGACCACAGCAAAAACCATCCGCAGCAATTCCGACAATCGGACACCCAAAACGACAGAGTCGGAGAGAAGACAATCGTGGGGCGAGTGATGTCAGATATTGGAGACGCTGCACTAGCTAGTGCCAAGCCGCGCCATAAGCCGGGGTATTTCCAGTCGGGCGGTCTTGGCTCCAGTGGCCCTGCACAGGGTGATGCCCACACGGCAATGAACTGTCCAATCTCATCCATTTTTGCCAACTCCGCCCTGCACAGATGTGGGACCTGTGCAGGCCGATTTTGGGGAAGAGCATCAGAACAGAGAGTCGACCTGTGCAGGACGACATGGTATGGTGTCACCGCCCTCGCCAAAATGGCCACAATGCCTGTGCAGGGCGCTGAGTGCATCGTGCATTTGCTTGGATCTGTACGGGGCGACCTGTGCAAGGACAGACACGATGATTGCAGCAGAGAGACAAACGCCATGTGTCTGTGCAGGGCTTGTTGTGTCTCCGTCCCTTTACGATGGTGAGCTCCTTACTCGTTTCGTCACCATCGCATCTCCATCTTTGTCCCCTCTCTGTCTCCATTTGGCGGTGCAGGGCAGATCCACGCGACCTTGTGTCCGCACAGGTACTTCTGTCATCTTGAAAAAAATATGAGCTCTTTCTCCGTATGCTGCCTGTACCACACAGGGCAAGTGAGGCTGGCCATGGTCCTGTGGATTCTGAGGTCGCCTTGTTGGCGTACAAGAAGTCGGCCGTCTCGTTTAATTTACATGTCTTCAGGTTGCCTCCAAACAACCCCCCCCCCCCCCCCCCGGCCGCATATCCCGACTTCAACGTACTCCATAGCGACACTCCCTCCTACCGCAACAATGGCCTCTATCACGTGGCTCGACAAACTGGAGCAGGAGCGTAAGTTCTTCATGACATGCTGACACTGGCGTTCTTTCGCACCACTAACTCCCGACTGTGCTTAGTCAATATTGATGTCGACTGGATGGATCCCAACTACATCAAGTCGATGCTGCCCAAGATCCGTTTCCACGACCAGACGAGCAACCAGCTGTGGGTGGACATCCAGCTCGGCGACGAGTCCAACGCGGAACTGCTCAAGCAGACGGCCGCCGAGCTCAAGGATGCGGGCTGGCTGGCCATCTACACGCGCATGGCCGTGCTGATGGTCAAGAAGAACATTGACATGATTTCGGGTCGCGTACTGCTGCAGACACTGCCATCCAAGGCCTACGACACAGAGTTCACGCTGTCACACGCCCGTCTCTACGATGCTGAGTTCAAGCGCGCCGGCATCAGCCGCGACCGCTTCGCCATCAAGATTCCCAGCACCGGCCCTGCGCTCAATGCCGCTAAGATCTTGCAGGCCGAGGGCATCCAGACATTGGGCACGGCGCTCTTCGGCGTGCCTCAGGCCGTTGCATGCTCCCAGGCCGGCTGCCTCTACATCAGCCCCTACTACAACGACACGCGCGCCCATGACTTCCCTGATGAGCTGTGGCCCAATGTCAAGGACCCTGCCAAGGAACACCCCAACTCGCCTCGCGTGGTGCAGATCCTCGAGGTCTATCGCCGCCTCTACAAGGCAACCGGCAAGGAACAGCCTCTACTCAAGAACGCCAGCATCATTTCGGCTGAGGAGGCCCTGGCTACCGGCGAAATGGGCTGCCACTCAGTCACCGCCTCGCACACGGTGCTCAACGAACTGGCCTCGCGCACGTACGATGCCTCGACGCAGCCTGGTCAGGGCATACCAAAGACGGCACTGCAGTACCGCGACGGCTCGCCGGCCGTACCTGCGCGTCTACAATCGCTGCTGGCGGTCGACCCGCTCCGCGAGGACGGCAAGCCGCAGCTCACGCTTGACGAGGCTGTCAAGATTGATTACCTCGCCGAAGGCGGCAAGGCTCTCGATGCCGCCATTGCCGCTGACCCGGCTTCGAAGAAGCGCCTCGAGGTCGCTCTGGAGCTCTTCACAGGCGGCGAGAACCGTAGCAAGGAAAAGATTGAGAAGGCCCTGGCTGCTCTGTAAGCATTGTTCGACGAGACCACATGATGGAAAATCCATAGATCGAGGAAAATAGAAATTACAAGCGTCGACTTATCCTAATTGAGCCATACTTAAGCAAAACAAAGAAACCTGAATTCGACGGAATTATCGTGATCGTCTCTCGTATCATGACACCATCCATAGAATCTGATCCGGTGGCGGCTGCATCAAAGCCTCTTGCCGGCTGTAGTCCGACGTATTGACCACAATTACATCTTCAATGTCGTGACGCCCATCATTTCTCTGCATTTCCGATGGCATGGAAGGAGCTTGCGGCCCCATGGAGCTGGTAACAAGTTGTCCGATATCTGTATCGTCAAGATTGCTCCATGGAAGCGACACGTCTGCCTCGCCCATGTCTCTGTTCATATCGAAAGGGGGCGTCCAAGACCAGTTGCCACCGTCTGATACACCATGGCTCATATCGTCCAGTGACAGCGATAGTGCTGCATTGTCCAGAAGAAGAGCAGGTGCCGTTGGATGTTGCTGCTCTTGGGGCATCGCAACAGAGAGAGACATCGGCAGAGACATTGACAAGGGTAGCGACAGTTCCAGCTCGGCTTCACGCCCCGGACCTGAGCGCGACGTATCTGCAGCAGGCAAGCCAGCCTGTGTGCACCACCGCGTCACTTCGTCGCGCAGTTCATCGCGCTCGCGCGTCAGGGTGTCGATCTGCCGGGTCTGCTCATGGTGTCTGGAAATGGACTCGTGCACCACCGTATGCTTGGACAGACGGTTGATGTCGGCGCCTGCCAGGCTGGGTAGCATCTCGGCGAGTTCCTGTAGGTCGTCAGTATAAGCGGTCTCGCAAAGACGGCGCACCGAGAACCCCACATACGATCAGCTTCTCGCGAAAGGCCTCGCGCCGCCACCGTTCAAATATGCGGTGGGCCGCGCGGTCGTCGGACGTAAATTGGCGAACCCGCTTGCGCGTCTTTTTCTGCGTGGCGGTCCCAGTGCCATTGTCGCCGTCGCTGTCGTGGCCATTGCTGCTATTGTTGGACAGCGCCGTGCCATCGGTCATCTGCGATCTCTGGCGGGCCCGAGCAAGTATTGACAGCTGTGCCGGCATCTGCGTGATTTTGTTGACGTTGTATGAAGGACTTATTAACAATCGAATCAAGAAACGTGATGACTCCGGGCGCCGGGCACCGCGTGGCAGGGCAGAGGCATACGGTGGTCTCGGTGTGCGTGTCCGGAACGCGGTGAGGTGACTGATGCTTCTAGCAACGAACGGAAATGTGTCCGTATGGGATAAAAAGATGGTGACAAAAGAAGACGCCAAAAGAATGTCGAGGAGGAAAGCGAGGGAATAAACAAGAAACAGGGTAGGGGGGGCGTGACGATACAATAACCGTCTCCACTTATGCCCTCCTTCTTATGTCCAAGGGCTCTCTGATCTAGCAACCACCATTTGCCTCAGACCAGGTTTGGTCGGCTCTCTCGCCGGATCTGTCCCCTCCCCCTTTTTCTCTTTTCACTTGTGCTTCCCCTCGTTTTCAGCGTATCTACCGCTAGAATGCCCCGTTTACCCCAGGCCACTGCCGCTTATCAGCGTGCGGAGTCGGACTGGCGTGCGTTGGACTGACTCTCCCCACTTCCATCAGCTGACACTGATGACTCGGTTGTGTTGCGAGCACGTCAACGGAGGCCTAGAGAGGCTAAGAAAAGTTAATAAAATGAAGCAATCTGTTGTCCATTGTGACCAAGTAGGCTCGACATCCATCATATCACAACTGCATGTGCCACAAATCGACATCGCAACGGCTTCACATAAAGTCGATGCAATTTCGCAACCTGGTGTACGATAGCCCACGAGAACAAAAAGGGTATATTTCAGAACAGAAAAATGAGCTTCGATGGATCCATAACATCGCTCCGACGTAGTCTAGACAAAGCCCCTCTAACGACAGCTATTCAATATCGTCACACAACGAAAATAGTCCACCCAAAACAACTGCCAGGTGTGCCACGTCTCGCCCTTCCGGCGCCCACGCCTTGAGTATATCACACACGAGCTGGACACCGTCCTTCCATCGCGGCGGCAGGAGCGAGTCGGGGAGAGTAGAGCGTGGCGAAGAGGCACTGTTTGCAGCATTGCCAACGCCAAATCCGTGCATAACGGCCAGGTCCCGCTGTTCCTGCAGGGCCAGTCGTGTCCCGACCAGAGCAAGAGCACTGCGAGTACAGCTGCGGATGGCAAGCCATGAACCCTGGTGCCGATGGGCGAGTCCGTTTGCATTCGCTTCGATGCGGTCGACAGAGTTGCGGAGGTAGTCGCGCACCAGTCGGACGAGATTCTGTCGCGTGGCTTCGGAATATTGGCTGACTGGTGCGGATGTCCAGGCGTTGAGGGGTGCCAGCGGCGACTCGACTTTCATGACCGCAGCAAAGGCCGGGAAGCGCAGCAGCTCAACGGCGTCGATTCCGTGGCCACGAAGGACCCATGGTAGGATATCAGATGGAGGCTCCCGCCACGAGTCGGGAAACCGCATGGCCGGCGGCAGCAGCTGCATCCATTGCTCCAACTGCAAGTCGAACTCCGTCGTGTCTAGTGCTGCGGGATCGATTCGCATGTTAGGCTCGTCTGTGCCGTTGCTTCCCTCCTCGGTGTGTGGCCTAGATGCCTGCTCTACGTCGGCATCGAGTCCCAGCAAATACCGGCTGTTGATGATGCGGTACATGAGCCGCTTCAACGTAATCTCAGCCAAGAAGAAGAACCATCCAAAGGTGAGGTGGGACCGATCGACCTCAGGCTGGTTCGTCACAAGAAAGCCGCCGCTGTCGACGCTCAGCTCGCGGCCGTCTATCTCCATGTCGGGCACGCAGGGGAAGACGTGCGGATAGCGGATGGCATTGATGCCAGATCCAGGCAGGCCGAGCTCCAGCCGCAGTTCGACTTCGCTCTTGAGGACGCTCCAGTAGAGCGCATCCTCCAAAGCTCGCTCGGTTGACGTGGAGGGTACATCGCCACGGCGCATTGGCGCAGTGGGACCGTCGCCGTTGCCGAGGTTGTTTCGTGGATCGTTGGGGACGGTGTCGACGCGGTTGTGCGCAATAAAGTAGGAGACACAGCTGGAGCCTGCCTGGACGAAGGCCCTCCACGCTGGTAAGATTCGTAGTGTATGCATCAAGTAGACGCCCGTCAGGAAACCGCACCGAGCAGCGAGTAATGAGTCGGCGCATATTAGGCATCCCATTCTCTGCTGCGCCTCGTGGAAATAGGCCTCGGCGATGGAAAAAGCCGGATCAGTACGGTCGACCTTGACGCGGCGGCTGGCTGTGGTCTCGGAGAAGGGTATCGATAGAGTGGAGACGGCAAGAACGAGATACTAGGGGAGCAGTGACGTGAGTAGAATATTCAGATGCAAGCAGGTACAAGGAATAGTAGCAATTGCAAGAGAAGAAACAAAACGTATTCCTCTCGTAATCACCCACCAGCAGACAATTCCGGCCGGTCCAGGCCAGTGGAGATGCCGCAAAGATCTCGGCATCGGCACGCAGTGCGGCTGGACCCAGAATCGGGTTCTTCAAATTATTGTTGACGAGGAAGTTGTCGACGAGCTCGAGAACGCGTGTGCGCCTGACAAAGTCCGGCTGGCCAAATGAGTCGAGCGGCTTCAGCGGCATGCCGTCCATAGTGTCGGCGGCGGTGCACGAGGCTGGCGTCTCCATGAGCGAAACGACCGACGCGTGCGATGCGATCTTGAGGGCATCCAGCTTTCGTTTGAACACGGGCCAGCGCAGCATCGCCTCAATGCCCATGTCAGCCGACGCGTTGAGCATGGCTTCGGTGCCAATGGGCATGTCCGTGTCGGTCTGCACACGTGCGGCATAGCGATCAAAGGCCTGGCGCGCGCTGCGTTTCTGCGCTCCGTTCTGTCCGCCGTCGCTGTTTCGGTGGGGGTGGGCATAACTAGAGTCGGGGCCAAAGTCGTAATACACCGATGCCGGCTTGTCGAGCGTCGTCGGCGAGACGAGGTCGTCCGTCCCGTCGAATTGTCCGTAGAGGTTGACCGGCATCGAGGAGCCAGAGAAGCCACCAGCAATTTCTCCGCGACCAATCCTGGTTCCAATCGACGACTGGCGCGAGGCTTGACAGGGACTTTGTCCGGTAACGGCTTCTGGCTGACTCTGTTGTTGTTGTTGTTGCTGCTGCTGCTGCTGTTGCAGAATCAACGTGTGGCCCTGCACAATCAACTTGAGGTCATCGAGCTGCTGCAGGATGGCGAGACTGGCCGGGTCGAATCGAGACCGCTCCGGCTCGGCGTAGTGGCAGTCGCCGCCTGTTCGTTGGCAGAAACCACAGATCGGTCGCACATTGTCACATTTGGTCTTGCGTGTTCGGCACACCAGGCAGGCCGACGGCGCTTTGGTGCGCTGGTACGAACCACCGATGCGGCTGGGCGGTGCCGGCTGCGACGAATCGCCCGACTTCCGGCGCCGTTTGGATGACGTCGACGACGCACCGTCGTCGAGTGTAAAGGTGGACTGCATCGTATTGGCGGGAGGTAGTTGTGTGGTCAGTGGACAGAAAGGCAGTGGAAAACGGTGAACCGGGAATTGAGTTACATGCAGTGAGAATTGTGTGGGGAGTTGCGGACTGGAAAGGGGAGGCGCTCTATGAGAAATGTAGAGTGCTGTGGAGTCCGAGCTGTAGTCTCATGTCACAGTTCCTGGTCGCTGCTGGGGACTCCGCTTTTCGAGGACGTCCATGGCGCGTTTATCACACTAGCTCGATGGTATGACCTGGCCGCCGTTTCTCACCCCTCATTCCCCACAAACAGCGACACAATTGGAGATACTGCTGCCCCGAAGCCTGCTAGTTTTCATTGGCCTTGGTGGGTATTCCGAGACGCAATTCTGTGGTGTTAGTCTTCAGTGACGAGGTTTCCCAAAAAACGTGTGTGGGACTATTTCAAAATTCCTTGCTGTATTTCTAACTTGAATTTTGAGATTGAGGGTTGCCGTATTGTTTTTTTATTTTTTTTTATTTTTTTTTTTGGAATTCACTCGTTAGTTCCTTTTTTTAAGTACATCTAAATTTACTTCTACTTTCTGCTTGCTATTTGTTTTTCAATGAAAACCACGTAACACGAAAAATTACAACAACTACTTTCACAACAAGAACGTGAAAACTTCAATGTAAAAATGAAATACATCAACATTATTGGCGTCACAAGTCGAAAAGTCGTACTTGGATTAAATCCAAGATACTGAGGAATCACGTCAAGACGGGACGTTTGGGACATGCCGCAATATGACAACGTCAAACAATGACGTTTATGATATATTCTAGCGGTGTCCCGCTATGCCCGTAATGAACTGAAAGAATAATGGTAATGTTTCTCCATTTCCTCTCTAAAAAGATAAGGTTGAACAAAATCACCGTTTCGAGACGAGTATGAACATCTAGAAAATCAGATATTGATGTCACAGTGAAGCTGTTGTAAGAGCCTAAATTTCAGAGATTCTATCATGAAGAAAGTAGTGCAAGAGGTACGCTTAGCTGTTTTGACACGTGAATGACCGTTGGAGAATGCGCATATTTCATACGTAAAGAGGCTCTTGGTCTCCATACGCGCTACACAGGATGGCATTGGACAATGTAGGAAGATAGGTGCAGTAAACACAACGAAAGTAATAAATTACAAATACACGTTGTGCCAGTCCGCGACCAAAAATGCCGTATGTTGACACCACCGTACGGCTTCACGGGCCACCGTAGGAAGAGTCAACATGCGCCACGGGGAGGTTCATCAAACCACATCTCGGAAGCGCAGACGGTGGCGTATGACCGTTGAGACCCCAGCCGTTCGTAAGGTTGTCTATGAGGGCGAGATCAGCAAAGGAGATAGTGATCCGGATGACCCGCTCGGCGGTCTGCAGCACCATGACGTTATCATTGGCTTCGTGCGCGTACTTTAAGAGGTGAACGTAGTGGATTTCGACCAGGTCAGCACAACGCTTCCTGGCAAAGCGGCCCTAGTCATTAGCCAATCTCACCACAAAGGATGAGTACAACGCTGGAGTGCATCAGTTTCGAGGCTATGCAGGACAGGCTTGCTAAGCCGGATACCTTTGCACATGAGTCAAGGCTTGTCTTATTTGCCCACTCTTTGTCAACAGGTATGCTCGCAGTAGCTCCAACTCACTGCACTTACCAGGGACCGTGGTTGAGTACCTCGCCCAGCGTGCCTCGGCCCATAACAGTTGAGCGCCGTGTACGGCTCGGTGGTGACTAGCTTCTAGGATCCACAAACTTGTTTATGCCAAAAGGTCTTGTCTCTTCGGCCGTCCAAGTCGGGCCCTAGCACCGCCACCACTGCTTGAGTTAGCCCAAGTTATCCTGCCAGTGGTATGTGGCCTCAAAGATACCCCTCGGGTAAAAAGTACGGGAATCTGCAGTTATTGGAAGGCATTGATGTCGTCGATGTGGAAATCGTGTTCGTCAGCACCGTGTTCGTTGACCAGTTCGTCGATGCCGCCGTAGATGAGCAGCGCGATGTAGAACGCCTCGCGCGATAGCGTCATCTTGATAGAGGGCATCTACCGTCGGTTATTTAGTGAAGAGGTAATGTCAGCGGATGTGTGATGGTATTGAGGGCATTGAAGTAACAAGTGGTCGTATTATGAGGCTCCAAAGGGAAGTTGATATCGAACAACGAAAACATTAGTCGACAAAGAAATATTCACAACACAGAATCAATACTCTGCAAAAGCAAACCCAGAACCATCCATCACGAACATAACAAGCTACACTTCAAATGTAGGCACGGAGAATAGAATAGCTCCCGAAAGTCTGCGGGCTCGGGGCAGGCCACCAATACAAAGGGCAGGCGTTCTACCGCCTCTGTCCCGTTTTTGTGGGGGGCGGAGCTATACCATCTACAGCGCTTCGTTCCTCTGTCACAACCATACTTCGTACGCAAAACGTTGGCTCTGGTATCTCCTTTGGTGTATACTTCGGCGTCTGTGCAGCTTTTACGTACCGTAATGATGGTGTGTCCAAGGAAAGACTACGTGGTCGGGTCGATGCTATTACGTGGTTCAGCTGCAATTGTGGCTGCTGTGACTGTCCGTCAGAACTGGACCGTCAAGGCCGGCCACGTCACTGACGGAAGCTACATTGCATTCATTGTCCTCGAGGCTGTCGGTGTCGTCTTGTGCTGCTTCCTGGAGCCAAGTGAGTAGATTATTCACAGCGACAGCACGCGTGTGTAGAAGGCGATGCACTCCAGTCTGAAAGTCATATTATCGGCTTGTCGGCCACCCTCGAGAACGATGTGTCGGTGTTGTTGTTATTCCCCATGTTCTTTACTATTAATTATTGTTATAGAAACTGGATTAATAAGTGGATTAAATTCACATATCCCCGCTTATGCCTTCTCTCCGTTGTTTAAGCCACACAACCAGTAATACACTAGCTTATCTCCACTAACCATCACTCATATTGCTTCTCGACATGGACGCGCGGCTTCAGCAGCATCTTCTACTGGGTCATCCAGGTGATTGGTACTACCGCCATTGGCCACATTCTTGACTACACGCGCATCTCGTGCCGTCGACGCGCCTTCACCAGCTGGGTCGCTTTGACTGTGCTCGTCAATGCCCATCTGAGCGCCGGTGTTCTCTTATTAAAAGATACCCACCGTGGTGTACCATGACCGTTCCTGGACCCGTACGACCACAACTATTTTCGGTATTTGATTTTGTACCTCACATATGGTCTGGCCTTGTCGAGCTCTGCGATAGAACGTTGCCTACTTCACAATGGGCGTCATCAGCAACAACCCAAAAATTAGCATATTATGCACACCTCGTAAGCTAACTAGCTGCACAGCCATGTTGTCGGAAGGAACGGAGCAGTCGTTGTCGAGCAGCTTGCGCTAACACCAGCTCACGCCGCTCGTATTGGCGACAAAGGCACCCTCGCCAGCACACTTGGTAAGCTGCACAGGTCGTCAGACCTAGCAAATTGTGCTGACGCCGGCTCACTTCGCTGCATCAGCGGCCAAGCAGTCGGCACAAAGCGGGGCTCCGCCGTTCGCCTAGACCGCTAAGCCCTGTGAATCGGTCCACTGGCGGATCGACCATTTAAGAACGCTTGTCACCCATACTGCCCGTGTCGATCTTTGACACGACGCGGTTAACAACACCTGCTATTATGTCTTCATCCCAGCTCCCGCCGCTTTCGCTGACCTGCGAGGTCAAATTTCCCAGCAAAGACGACAACCCCCAAGATCATGTTGTCCGTTGGTCCGGCATCCACGTCAGCGTCCCGGCTGTCGTCGTGATTCCCGAGTCTGAATCGGATGTCGTTGCGGCCATCGTGTATGCCAAAGACAACAGCCTCCGCGTTGTCGTCGCCGGTGGCGGTCATGCTCCTTTCATTCCCGTGACAGCCAAGACGCTCTACCTCGACTTGCGGCGCTTCAAGTCGATTGTCCTAGATGAGGGTGCATCAACAGTCACTATCGGCGGCGGCGTGTTGACTGGCGAGCTGCACACATATCTTCTTGAGCGCGGCTTCTACGCTACGCTTCCCAACTCGTCTGCTGTCGGCGTCGTCGGCGCTGTTCTGGGTGTGGGCAATGGGCCGTTTAACAGTCTGCACGGGTTCATGGCCGACAACGTCGAATCCGTGCGCATTGTCACTCTGCCAAAGGAAGGTGCCGCAGCGTCGCATGATATCAGCCACTCATCCACCGGTGCCGACGAGCGCAGCTTGTTTGCGGCCGTGTGTGGCGCCGGTCATGGCCTTGGCGTGATCGTATCTATGACACTGCGGGCCTACAAGGTCGCAGATCTGCGTCTCGACGGGGGTGACCAGGTGTGGAACCGACGGGGCGTCTTTCCCGCTCCTGTCATTCGGGATGCGGCCCGGGCCTTCGTGTCGCTCTTGCCTTTAACGGGCCCTGCGAATGCAACCCTGCTGATTGCACGCAGTCCACCGAATATGCCACGCCCAGGATCGCCTATTGCCATGCTGGTTGCGGCGCACTTTGGTCCTTCTGCAGAGGCCGAGGCATCGCCAGCTGCCAAGATCCTCCTCGGTGAGGATTTTGCTGCCAAGGCCGCTGTGTCGGTCACAGAAGGTGTACCGTTGGCAAAATTGAATGCCTCGACCGAGCCGTTCAATGCAGTTGGTGGATCCAAGATTCTGTCTGGCACTTATCTGCACTCCATCAACGAGGACGTCATTGTGTCGCTGTTTGAGCGCTTTGTTGCCTTCACCAACGAGCGTCCCGACCTATGGAACACGTACATTGCCATCCCCACCTGGAACACGACCAAATCTCTGCAGCTGGGTGCCTCTCCGGAGAGAAAGGACAACTTTCATGTGGCCCGCGACCGCAATGTGCTCGTCCTCTCGGCCGTTTGGTCCAAGACCGGCGGTGCCGACATCGAGTCCGAGTCCAGTACATACTCGGCAGAAATACAGGAGATCGCTGGTCGTGACGAGTCTGGTCCGTTGATTGGCTTTGCGAACAACCTGGCATTCCCTGCCAAGTTGGCCGACTACTATCCCGCAGACAAGGTCGACGAGCTAGCACGGGTTAAGACACAGTGGGATCCCAATGGTCTTTTCTGGAGCCCGTCCATGGGTGTCGAGTGAGCAGAGTATGGTAGCAGATGTTCCGGTGGTCCTGCAGCACCGATTCCGACCACATTCTCAAACGTTCCGGTCAAGGACATGCGACGACCTATGAGATCATGGCGAACGAAACAACAATATGCCAACCCAGAAGGAAACCAGTTGGGCGTGTGGTTCTTCTTGGGGTGTAAGTATTTAGTAGGATAACGGGTACTACATTGATGATGACCTTTTTTCACATGCGTACTCGGTACGGAATTTCAGTCACGGCCAATAATGTTCGTGTGTTGCGGTGGAGTGGAGTTGTTTGTAAGTATGTCTTATTTATGCTTATTTCTGTTTATGTAAGAACCATTTCCAACACAAGTCCACAAGTCAAAGACAACGAAAACAATCTGTAAATCGGTGAAGTACAGTTTCTCGGCTACAGTACGGACGCGGCCGACTGCATCCCCGTTGCACCTCTAGTACAGATCCTTGTGGGCAGCCTTGATCAGGTCGGCACCCTTCTCGCCAATAGCGTAGACCGAGTTCTGGATGCGGCAGTCAGGGATCTCGGGGATGATGGAGGCGTCGATGACACGCAGGCCCGAAACGCCGTGGACACGCAGCTCGTTGTCGACAACACCCTGCTGAATGTCCTTTGAGAGACGGTTGGTGCCGCAGGGGTGGAAGGCAGTCTGGCAGCGGTCCAGCACGGCGTGGTGCATGGCCTTGTCGTCATCAAGGGGCATCTCCCAGGGGTACTCAGCAACGACAATGTCCTTGAAGCCGTCGCCCTTGGTCAGCATGTCGTAGGAGAAGCGGATACCCTCGCGCATGGCGACGATATCGATTTCATCGGCGAAGAAGTTGAGGCAGATGTTGGGCTGCGCGAGCGGGTCGGCGCTGTTGAGCGTGACCTCGCCCGGCTTGGACACGGGGCGCACCAGGTCGACGACGACGCTGGTGTAGTTGCCCTGCTTGGGGACGGGGTAGTGCCACTGAAAGGCGCTGCCAAAGGCGGAGACAAAGTCGAGCTCAAAGTGCGGCTGGCCCTGGCCGCAGAAGGGGTCGACGCCACCGTTCTTCTTCTTGGCCTCGACGTAGGCGGGCACCTTCTCGAGGTAGCTGTCAATGCGCGGGAAGCCGACCATCTCGAGATCACCCGAGCTCAGGGGGCCCGTGTGGCTCTGGTCGTACGTCTGCTGGGTCGCCTGGACGTGCGGACGCGCAGGGTGCAGGAAGTCGTCGAGGCCGTAGCCGTCCTTGACGCGCAGCACAAACGGCACGGCCGGGTGGTCCAACAGGTTCTGGCCGACGTTGGGCGAGTCGACCACGACCGAGATGCCGTGTTGCTTCAGCTGGTCCTTGGGGCCGATACCGCTCAGCATCAGCAGCTTGGGGCTCTCAAAGACACCCTGCGCCACAATGACCTCACGATCGGCGTAAAAGGTCTGGTCCTTGCCGTCCTTGCCAATCACGGTGACGCCCGTAACCTTCTTGGAGGCGGCGTCCACGACCAGCTTCTTGGAGTGGGTCTCGGACAGGATGGTGATGTTGGGCTTGCCGCGCAGAAACACGACGCTGTTGGAACGCACACCCTTGTAGATGGTGTCGACGCAGTGGGTCAGGCCAATCATGTTACCGTCGTAAATGTTCTCCGTGTCGGGCTGGCCCGTCGACTTCCAGGCCGACTGGATGGCCTTGCGGAAGGCCTCCGTCTCGGGCAGCAGCTCGGCGTGCGAGATGTGCAGCGGGCCGCCGGCGCCGAGCTTCTTCAGGCCGGTGTCGTACAGCTTGGGGTCGTCGTGGTAGGTGGCCGACTTGCGCAGGTAGGGCAGCAGCGGGTCCCAGGTCCAGTCCTTGCCGCCGTAGGCCTCCCAGAGGTCAAAGGTGCCCTTGGAGCCGGGCACCCACGTGAAGTAGTTGAGCGACGACGAGCCGCCGAGGGCCTTGCCGCGCGTGTTGGGCTTCTCGATGCGCTCGTAGTCGTCGCGCTTGACTATAGTGGTCTTGTAGGCCCAGTCATACTCGCTGCCGCGCAAGGTCATGGCCTTGCCGGGCGTTGTGATCTGGGCCACGTCTTCGGGCTTGCCAATGCCGGCCTCAATGACGAGGATCTTGGCCTTGGGGTTCTCGGCCAGACGGCCGGCGACCACGTTGCCCGCGGTGCCGCCGCCAACAACAACAAAGTCAAAGTGGTCACCGTTGGAAGGCATGATGTAGTTGGTTTGAGTGACGCCAAATAAAAAAAGGATAGGATATGGTGGAGTGAAGTTTCCTGATGATGTGGATGATTCTGATGATGAGACGAGACGAGAGAAGACGTGTTTACGATGACAACGAGGGCAGAGTGCACTTATATAGACTCTGTGCTGAGGTAGATGCTCAGTGTGCAGGGCATAAAGACGCGCTGATGGATGGCAGATCACTGGTACATTGCCTTAAGAACGAATTGGTCGACCACAAAGGCATCGACCTCTCCCCCGCCTTCCGCGCCCTTGTTTGTATCTCTTAGTCGCCCTCCATCATTATTGCCGTTTTGCATCTGGCCTGGTGGATCAGGAAAATGTTCCCTGATTTCACTCGTTGATCGAGATCGAATCGATCCGCCAGGCGTACCGGCCATGGACGGAACCGACGAAACGCGAGCGTGTCCGACGGGCGTCCGGTGGCATGAGCCGCATTGATTGGTTGCCCAGTTGTGGATAAGATGTGAGCTATTGACGAATGTGAGTCGAATTAACCCAAAAGACGTTTGACGTTGTCACTGACTCAGGCACGGTAGCATTGACGTTAAAGGATCCAATAGAGTAAAGTTATTAGCGACGGCGCTGATGTGGTGTCCAGCAACGACAAGCAAGATTTTGCGAGGCTGCGAGACCAGTGGCCCTAGCGCACTGGTAGGAGCTTGCCGAGATCGATCCGGAGACCTTGGCCCCACAGGAAGCTCCCTGTGACTTTACCAACACGCCCTGGTCTTACAGGCAACACCACTAACGCCGAGAGAATTCCGACAAGTAATTGCGAGGCTATCAGTTCCCAGCCGAATCAAACCTGGTAAGTAAGTGCGCCACAGTAGCAACGAGACAACAATTAATGCACAGAGGCTTCCAACTTCTTTGTTGCCTTGCACGCCGTGCTCTGGTTAAACCTTAGCATCCGCTGACACCTGTCTACAGGGATAAAACGTACGATGGCGTTCCCGTCGATGCCGAATCGAGTTGTTTTCCAAGGTCCACCGGCAGGCAATCGTTGCATTGCCATGGACAACGCAGACGATCCAGAGGACTCTGCGTAAGCCGAGAACCATCAGTGGCAGCTTTCTGCGCGTCTTTGCGTCTCTTCCCTGGTGTGTCCGTCCAAGACTGGCCAATAGACGAAGGTATCGATGTCTGCTGGCTGCGGCATTTTGTCCATAGTGGCCCAGATTGCCATCATTGATCATCATGAACGCCCGTTGTTCTCCACTATCACTGTTAGGGGAACCGGCACGATCCCGGCATTATGCACGTTTCTCCGAGGATGATCCATTAAAATGACGGGTGGTATCGCAAAAACATGCCGTTGCAGAGATTCAGCTACTGTCGCTTCGTAACCCAAATACAAGAAGGTACAAATCGAGATTACCATGTAGCATTGCAAGGGAGAGGCGGTGTGTTGCCACATGCTAAATCTGCCGGTGAGCTAGATGAAGATAGCAAAAACGACAGTCCTTGTTTAGAAAATGAACTAAGAAAGCACATACTTAGTTTAGATCAAGGACGTGGGGCTAATACTGTGCTACAGAGCAGGAGATGACGCAAAATGGGTGCTCCAGTAGCAAGAGGTAACCATTCGACAACAAAGGCCGTGTATCAAGGCACAACTACCTGATACAAGTTCCTGATACAAGCACAGCTCCGTCAGACTCCAAGACTTCTCCGTTCTCAAACACGGGAAAGATATAACACGTCCATCTCCACGCCGTCCTGGCGACTCTTGTAGTACAAGACTCAAGCATCTCATCATCTAGTCACTTTCATCTGTTTTCAAAGCCTCTCTCATCAACATCGCAGTCACGTCACATCACCATGTCTCGCCAGTACACTCTGGCTGAAGGACAGCCTCAGCCCGCCAACAACACCAGCGTCCAGCTGCGCAATGGACTTGGTGGTGGCTATGTCCTGCTGCAGGATACGCAGCTCATTGAGACACTCGCTCACTTTTCCCGTGAACGCATCCCCGAGCGTGTCGTTCACGCCAAGGCAGCCGGCGGATACGGCGAGTTTGAGGTCACGCACGATGTCTCCGACTTGACATCGGCCGATTTCCTTTCCCAGGTTGGCAAGAAGACCAAAGTGCTCCTACGCGTGTCCACAGTCGGGCCAGAGCGTGGCTCGGCTGACACAATGCGCGACGTGCACGGCTGGGCCATGAAGCTGTACACGGACGAGGGAAACCTGGACTGGGTGTTCAACAACACGCCCGTCTTCTTTGTGCGCGACCCCATCAAGTTCCCGTCGCTCAACCGGTCGCACAAGCGGCACCCGCGCACCAACATGCCGGACGCCAACATGTTTTGGGACTTCCACGTCGGCAATCCCGAGGGCATCCACCAGCTGATGCACCTGTTCAGTGACCGAGGCACACCGCAGTCGATCCGCATGATGAACGCATACAGCGGCCACACGTACACGCTCCACAAGGCCGACGGCACGTTCAAGTACATTAAAGTGCACATCAAGTCGAAACTGGGCGTCAAGAACATGGACGCCGCCGAGGCTACGCGCGTGGCGGGCGAGAACCCGGACCATCTCGTGCAGGACCTCTTTGATGCCATTGAGGAGGGAAACTTCCCGCAGTGGGACATCTTTGTGCAGGTCATGGACCCCGCTGACGCCGAGACGTACCATGTGAATCCGTTTGATATGACCAAAGTGTGGCCGCACAAGGACTACCCGCTGCATCCCATCGGCCGCCTGACGCTTAACAAGAACCCTCGTAACTACTTTACGGACATTGAGCAGGCCGCTTTCTCGCCGTCCAACATGGTTCCGGGCTGGGGGGCGTCGGCCGATCCCAGTACGTTGGCTTAACACTGTTAACAAAAGCACAAATCTTTGTCTCTGCTAACACACCTTTCATCCAGTGCTCCAAGCTCGCATGTTTGCGTATCCTGATGCGGCCCGCTACCGCCTGGGCGTCAACTACCAGATGCTGCCCACCAACAAGACTGTGGCCCCCGTCTACGTGCCTACCGAGCGGGACGGCTTCATGAACTTTGGTGACAACTACGGCGACGACCCCAACTACGTCGGGTCTATGCTGCGGCCCATGACGTTCAAGAAGACCGTTGTGGCGTCGGCAGTCGTGGCTGAAGCCAACGCCAAGCACCAGAAGTGGGCTGTTGAGATGGCCAGCCACTACACCTCCGAAATTGGTCCGAAGGACTTTGAGCAGGCCACGGCGCTGTGGCATGTGCTAGGCCGCGAGCCGGGCCACCAGGACCGTTATGTGTCCAATGTCGCCGACAACGTCGCCGAAGTGACGGACGAGGCGCTACGGAAGGAAGTGTATGCCCTGTATGGCAAGGTGGACAAGGCGCTGGGCGAGCGCATCCAGGCGGCCGTCGAGGCCAAGAGAGCCGCGACAAAGAAGTAAATTGCCGGTGACAACGGGCCTGTATACATTTGACAGTCTATTGAATTTTTTGACTTTTTTATAAATAATAAAGGTGGAATATAGACGTTTCTTGTGAAACACTGGAAGTGGCCAAGGGAGAAGGTGCAATTCCGAGAAACCCCGAGTGTATTTCGCCCCGCGCAATTTGCCCAGTAACTAAACTCACCCAACTGCTTTACTTTAACGTACGCCCAGTTCACCATATACTGCATCCAAACATTGACAGGTAACAATGGTTCTGCATCTCCACTGAAATCGAAAATATAAACGAATAACTAGATACGTGTATTAAAACCACCTGCTGCCTTATCCATTAATCATCTCCAATCTGGTCCAACATGGCCAGCGACGGCATGAAAAACACCGAGCCTGTGACGGCCGTCGAGTAATCCAGCAGCCGATCGTGTTTCCCTGGCGGGACACCGATGAACATGCGTTCCAGCATGCGTTCAATCACCCATAGTCTCCGCGAGTAGCCGATAAAGTAGGTGCCATACTCGCCGGCGCCGGGCGACCCAAAGGGCATGTTGTCGCGCAGAATGTCAAACTCGGCGCCCGTGTCGTCGTCCTCGATGGTGTTCAGGGTCTTGTGGGAGCGCTGGTCGTCGCCCGTGGCGTCGTCCAACTCCATATTGTCGAGCTTCGTGCGGCCAATGATGGCTTCTTGTTTTTCGGTGCCCAGGGCGCGCCAGTTGGGCATGGCGTGCAGGTACTTTTGGACAACGACATAGCTGCCGCCGACAATAGCCACGCTGTTGCCGGAGACGTCTTCGCCGCTCACCAGGACGGCCTCCGTAACGTCGTCGCCCGTCGGATTGGCCGTGCCGTCGACGAACCCGAGCAGGTCGCGGTTGTCAAAGTAGCGGAAGCCGACGGTCTCGTCCACGACTTTGACGGCATCGCCCAGCTGGTCGAGCAGCTGCCGCTCGAGCTCGAAGCACATGTCGTGTCGCTCGGCGCGAATGTGAAACAGAACGTCTCCGGGTGTGCTGACGGCCGTGTGCTTGGCGCCCTTGACTTCCTTGAACGGGTGCAGCTCTGACGGCCGTGGCAGACGACCTCTCGTTACCGTGTCCCAAACACGGCTGCCAATACCGACGGTGCACACCAGACCGGCCGAGGGGTCGCGGAAGGCGACGTTCTTGGCGATGTCATTAACGGACGCGACAACACCACGGATGGTGGCCGCGTCGTCATCACTGATGGGTTTGTCGTCCTTGACGGCCACGACCAAGAAAATGGCCGAGGCGGTCAAGGGTGCATCGACGCGTTGGGGGTGGGGGTGCGATGCCATGGCGGGACGTCGTCGCCCAGGGCGGACAGCTGTCGAGGAGAATGGATGGGAGGCGGACACTCTTTGTGTCAAATGTAGCGGTATGATCAAAGCTTGAGATGACCGCAGCCAAGAGCGTTCTATGCGTAGTCGTGCAGCACGAATGGTCACCACAGTCGTCATGCTTTGTGGGAGAAGTGAAGAACGGAAGCCGTGAAGCTTCAATGAAATTAAACCAGGGCAAGTGAAAGTGGGCAGACTCTCTGGTCAGCATTCCAATGGCAAGTAAATGCGCACGTCTCGTAATCTGGCGTGACATGACCGTGGAGTTCGCTGACACATGCGGGGCTCAACCAAGCTACATCCGTTGCACACAATTCCAAGCAAGCTGATTGGATGAGGGTTGTTGCGCAAATCGGAAATGTCTCGGTATTTCCATTTCCACGCAATTTGTGATGAGAATTGTTTGTGTTTATTCTACGACATATCGAAACAACTCATAACCTGACGAGTCCATATTTCTCGGCCACTCCGCCTCGAATCTGTTTCGTCGTCGATTTTTACCCCATGTTTGTTAACTATTCCCTGTACCAGTGCCCTTACAGCGCGTGAACGTGTGAATGCCGAGGCTGCGTCATGTCTCGGAAACATCTCGGCATTCACACGTCAACACGCGTTGCAACGCCATCATGACGACACAAGTACACGGCCATTACCCTGCAGCATGATTCGCCCACTCAATCGTTGTCCGACAATACCGATCCGTGCAGTGGGTTCTGAACATCATGTCCTCCCCTGCCCGAGGCAAACGCCACGCCGGATGCAGCAACTGCAGCCATTGCCTGTCGGTGGGCTTGGTGATGGGCCCCGTCTGGCTGGCAAACTGAAAGAAAATGGCACCTGCCTCATGGTCCATGGCCCAAGAGTATATGGCCGGGCAATGCGGACACGCAAAACGGTGAACAGTGCCGTTGCGCATGAAGTGGACGGCGCGGACAGTAGCGTCGACCTGGCCGTCCAAGTTGGCGGCGCAGTTGATGCGGTCGCCGAAGAACCCTGTTGCAGGTTGGTCTTGAGAGAGGAATGCACTCTCACTACGGTTGTCACCGCTGTCGTGTCCGCCGGTCTTTGCCCGACACCGGCAGCATGGGGTGTCCGTGTGGCAGTGAAACGTACCCGCCGCGTATGCCATGTCTTGTCGATTCTCGAAGCAGATGCATTGTCCCGATTCAAAGGGCATCATGAGTCGAGGGTCGTTGGGGGCAATGTGGCCGCACATGAGCTCTTCAAGAAACTCGTAGTTGCGCTCCAACCCCTCAATCAAGTCGTGTTTCCATGGCGGCATCCGCACTCTTTCGCCATCGTCAGCTGCATGCGTCTGAATCTGAAGAATGGGAATAGCCCAACATTGCAGCACTTCACGCTGGGGTGTCACCAGGAATATGGGGCCTACACCATGAGGAGCACACGGGCTCGCATCTGTAGGTAGCAGGTGAGGCCGGTGTTTGTTGTCGCGTGTCCGGAGCAGTACCGGTGCGTAATGGGACTCGACGGGGACGGTACAGGCATCAATAAGCCCCGGCATACCGGGTGAGCCCAAGACCCGCCCCAGCGGACCTGCCCACATATGTTGGCACATGCCCACCATACCCTCGGCGCCAATGCAGTGCCGTTTACGGGCAGGCACTTTTGTGGGTGCGCCATGAGGGTGCCCGTCGTCTCTCAAACCATGCCGCTGTGCGTGGGTAAAGAACATCGTGGGGTGTCTGTCTCGACAGAATCCACAAAACAGTGTCTTGGGTCCTTCCACCTCCGGATCGGCCAGATACTCTTCGACGGTTGTGTAGGGAAGGCGGGCCATGCGCCGCTCTCTCCACTCTTTCTTTGTACGAGGCACCAAGTCTAGCGTCTGCACTCTGTGAATATCTTGTAGCATGACAAGCGCGTCCACCCGTGCCTTGACACGTTGTGCCAGGTAATGTCGCAGCGATGCACAGGGTCCACAGTAGCCCGTCATGCTGCGCCGCAGGCATTCCAAATAAGGTTCTGTGATGCGCGGGTTCTTTGGTGGCATGGCGTGCAGGGGCAGGACCATGCGGCCGTCCATTCGCGAGAGCGGACCCGCTGTGGATGGTCTGGCGGCGGGCTGGTCCGACACAAAAAAGTCATGGAACCGTTTGCACGTCTGGCGCAGGACCATCCAGGTGGCGTAGTTGGTCTTTGTCCAGATCAGCAGCAGAATTTCATCGGGAAGGCTGACAAAGGGAACGGCTATCCTGTTGTATTCTCGGTAGTCCTCCCATGTGATGTGGGGGGGACGGTGGATTGTCCATAAAATAGGGTGGTTTTTTTGCGTGACGCTGTCCTTGCCGTACTTCTTGAGGGCCTCAAAGTCAAAACTCTGGAGAGCTGACTGGTGCAGACGTGGCAGTTTCTGCATTGTTCCACGTAGCGGAAACACAGGCATCCGTGCCGACTTTTCATATCTGTATAGATCGTCTTTCACCAGCTGTTGAGCTTCCTCCGAGCTGATTGGTTCTGGTTCGTGTTGTTTGTAGGCCCCCATAAAGTTGTCGAAGCCTTCTGACGAAAACCATTCCTCGCGATCAAACGTAGCTTCAATATATCCCACGCGCTGGGCGCATTCCTCGTATCGACTAAGGTGTATCATTGCGGCACGTATTGTTCAACGATTGCAATACGGTGAGCGCTTTAGTACGTTCTGCGGTGTTGTGGTTGATTTGTATTGGGTGCTTTGTATATCGCAAAACTTTGCGTCAAAGTCTGCCGAGTTGTTGTAAATATAAAACAAATCGATGGGGCTATTCACGTATGAATATTTCGTCCTAGGCAATCAATTGACGAACGATAGATTTATTTTCTATCAGTTCGAAAAGTGATGGGACTAAAACACATATATGCGTCGATTTATCGTAGAACTCTGTTTTACGTCAGCTTTGTTGAATGCGCGGAATTAGCCATATACACCAGCTCTACACCGCATAGTAAGTTCGACGTCATTTATATTACCTAATCACCAACGGGCGCCTGCAAAGGGACGAGTATCTTGTCGACTGCTTGTTTGAAAAATGGGGCGGAAGCTACTTTGTGAAATGGGCCCGGATTGGGTGTTACAGCTGGGAGGCTCGAGGCAATATCCTCGACGACGAAATTGTGGAAAAACTACACGAGCTTCGATCCCGGCGTCTAAGTGCTGCGCACTGGAACACATAAAGGCAAGACGGCGTGGCTTCTCGTGATGCAAGTTGTCTTACCTTACCGATACAGCGGCGCTTAAACATGCCAGACATTGTACAGCTGAACAGCTGAGAATACGGCTTCAAATGTTTTATTTTTATTTTTATTTTTATTTTTATTTTTCGAATTCATTACATAAACGTCGGTAGGTGCTGATGGAGTGCTCGCTTAGATTCTTTGCAAATACGACAGAGAAGAACATCTGGCAGAAAGCTCACGACAATTTTGTTAATCTTTTCTTTTGATGTCCGTCCGGTGACAGAGTATCGATGCTTCTGGCCACCTCATTTCCCTTTTCTGTTTCTTGATTTGCTGCTGAATGGAGGCAAAGCAGCCGCTAGTCTCCTGTCTAGTCTTCTAGACATCTACTTGGTAACGTAGCTCGCCTGGCCTTTTCATCTTCTTTACAACTCATTTCTTCGTCTTTTATCGCCAACGCCACTTTCAACGCCGAATAAAGGAGTGAACAAATTGGTATTCAATTACATAGCAGCTCAAAAGCCAGCGGTTCATATACATGTATACTGTGTCAACGATCAGGTCATAACGACGAAATCAAGCGCCACCAGATTTACTCAATCTCAATGATTGCCGGGCCCGCCAGGGTGTTGTCGTCGGAGACGGAGGTGTTCGACATGGTGAGGACGACGTAGCTCTGGCCCTCGACGCCCTCGGGGACCGTGACGGAGAACCCGGCATAAACGGACGTGATCTCGACGCAGATGGGGCCGGTAACGGTGATGAAGGCGGCGAAGACGGGGGTGCCGGCTGGGGGCATGTAGGTGGTGGTGTCCACGGCGAGGGTGATGGTCTCGTTCGTCTTGAGAGGACCGGCGGTGGTGACGGAGAGGGCAGGGAAGGCCTTGACAGGCAGGGATGGATTGGTGGACGGGCAGGAGACGAAGAAGGGGGCGGCGAGGGTGTAGACCTCGTTCAGGGAGAGAGGGTCGTCAAACGGCTGGGGGAAGGGGGACTCGGTGAGAGCGGCGCGAATGTAGGCATTGTGGCGCGACTCGACAGTCAGAATCGAGCCGGCGGCGGTGAGGTAGTCCTTGTCGGCGATGGAGGCGGCCGCGCCCAGGTAGGCCGAAACACCGACACCCTCGAGGACGGACGCGAGAGCAACAAACGACTTGGCATCGGTCGCAGGGAAACCGTAGGTACACGCGGCAACGGGGGTTGCGCCGGCAGCTGTGTATTTTTGTTAATACAACTTGTTCCAGTCATCATCGTGTGACATTAGTGGTGTCACGGAGTAGCACATACCAGAGAGAGCAGAAGTCAAGAAGCTGACGTGGGTAGCCTCGTCCTTGGCGACTTCCACCAGGTTGGCGTAGAAGGGGTCGGCGAAGCCAGCAGCGACAAAGTCCGCCTGAGTGTAGTTCTGGAGGCCCTCCTTGTAGAAGGTAGCCTCGAGGTGCTCTAGAGTGAGAGCATAGTTGAGGATGTCGGCGTCAGTTGCGGCACGCTTGGCGTTCTGCACGGGGGCGGCGTAGGCAGCCGTGGCAGCAAGTGCAGCGACGGCGTAGGACTTCATGGTGAGTGAGGTGGTGGTAGGTAATGTGGGAAAGCTGGAGAAAGCTGGAGACTGGAGAGAGAGTCTTTTGGATGATGGTCAAAGGGATGTTTTGAGAGGAATGGAGATCGTATTCTGATTTCTGTTTCATCCTGGTGGGTAGCAGCTCCCTCACATTATATAGCCAAACAAAACAAATTCAAAATTAACCCCAAGCCTAAATTCAAATCAAGCAGGTCGCCGTCATCATAGCAAACAACCTTTTCGGTAACTGCCACTACGACTAACACTCCATAACTCTCGACTATGGCCGCATTCATCCTGACACTCGTCCGTCAGACATATCAGAATCGAAATTATTCATCCTTACAAAGCCACCGGCACATTTGTTTCTCCCCCACGACGTGCAGAGAAAGGCAGTAGGTGGTCGGTCCGCCTGCAAGCACCGATCACCACGATCGTCATCACTGTTTATTGTCATTGTCCTCTCGGAAACCCTTCTATCCGCGCGGAAGATCCCCAAGCCATAAGCAGTGGCAATGAGTCCTCTAAGAGCAGTCAATAGGGTCCGGAGCCATGTGCACGATGCAACCAAGACGGACCTGAGATGCAATAAACACTCCGAATGAAGAGCACTCAGCCCCGGTCTTGTTGACCACAAAGCTGCCATTCTCAATCCAGTCTAGTGTGCCGGATGCCCCAGAACCCGGGTACGAAAGCCTTCCCAGCAAGGTCAACGACAGTGACGATCTGCCCTCTTCGGGCTTAGAGAGGCCTGAGGATTCCTCCATTTGGAACTGCAAGTCAAGCTCGCCACGGTCTACACCTCTTATGGGGCTGACCAGCTGGTATTTGTTGTCTACTTACCCGATTGCTTGATTACTGCCTGTGCAGAACCTTGGAAAAAGCATGGAATTTATGGCGAAATGGGTAATGCCGGTCTAGCGTGCGAGCGTGTCAACAAACAACATGTTACTGAAAGGCGCTAGTACGGCGTAATCCACCTGAGCCTCAAAGAAAGTTACAGGAGGAGAGGAGCTACCGCCGCTGCAGGAGCGTCCTGAGAACGAGATCTTGCGTGAAAGAACCCGAGAAGCAAAAACACAATCTAAAAGAATTCGACGACAGCTTCCTGAAAATCCTGAAAAGTCCTGAAATTCCTGAGAATTTCCGAGAAGAATGCGACAAAGAAAGGAGCATCGGACGAGGGGCGCTTGAGGCAACAATGCGGCCTGCAGAAAGGCAATAAAAGTTTCGACGTTTCGAGCTGGAACCCTAGAAACTCACAAAAGCCAAACGGGACCATCGTCATGAGCTCTCTTTTCTTGCATGCGAGAAGCTCCATCCCATCTCACGGAAACTCTCTGGCCGCGTGCTCCGAGGGAGGCGCAGGTGTGCAAGCTCCAATCTGCGTCGTATTGGGCTTCGGATGCGAATGGCTCCGGGAGCCAAGCAGGTTCTACTTAGTATTGCTGCTAACGCAATGGAGCACTAGTTCAGCTAGTCCAGCCTCTCTGTATCTACGTCTTACACCACGAGATTGACCAAATGCTCCGAGAGCGAATTGCCTTCGCGCTAGAAAGGAAACGAGGAAACATGCAATTTACGGGGCAATAAGACACCAATACCAGATGGAACAATTTTATCGTTCGGCCTGGGTCGCATGTCTTGGGTGACAACTCAGAAGGATGAGACATCCTACGCATGCGTGCGATGTCTTACGTGACAGTGATTGATCGGAATTTTGAGACCTACGCTGTGCCCTTCGAGCTCATGGTCAGGCGGGGAGAGAGAGTCGGAGAGCCATGGAGATTTTTTAAACACAGCAGTCTTATCTACAAGTTCAAATATCCAATTCGCTTGCGCTAACAGCAGTAGCTGAGCATGGTTAAGCATATGTCTTCAAACCTGTGTTTTCTTGCTTGTTCTCTTGTGTTTATCGTCTTTTGTTTCGTAGTCGTCCTTCTTTGTCCGTCTCGACTGCTGTTCGCCCACTTCGAGTAAGCCATGAACCCTGCGTGCAGCGCCAAATTCTTTCCATGTTTCTGAGAGCGGTCTGCACCAAAAAATATGTGTTTCTTATCCTTGTCGTTGCGGATCCTTTTCTCTCGTCTACTTCTCCTTGCCGACCATACGTAAAGTCCGATGAAAATGCTAGCAAATACCGCCGGACCGTCCGGGCCCGGCCCGACCAGTTTCCGGCCTCATGGCAGATTCGGGGGCCAGGCGCCTCTTTGAAGGCGGCCCGGCAGTTATTGTAGCATCGTCCTTGACGTGCGGCGCGTGGTAGCAGGAAGGTTCCAGACAGACAGCCTCGCAGAAAACCAACAAAACGACATGCAACGAGAGTACAGACGCAGACGGCACCACGAGTACGGCCGCCAAAGTAGACAACCACGAAAACGACGGCAGTGGCGACGAATTGGTCGTTACCAGCATGCATGGCGGCGACAGCGACAGCGCAGCTATCGTTCACCAGTTCAACGGCAGGCTGATGTGCATATCAGTGACCGACGGCGACCCGCTCAGCAACGCTGGGCTGCAGCTCTCTCCGGATAGCCGGCTCATCCACCTGATCAACCAGACGATGGCGGACGACGTTAACGCAAACCCTGGCAGTTACGAGAAGTTGGAGGACGAGATACTCGACATGGTCCTAGCTGTCGGACGAGCCCTGTCTCGGCAGGTCGCACCTCTCGCGCCGAGCCAGACGACGAGCAGCGATAGCGACAGGACAGCTCTGCACGCGTTGTTGTATCCAGAGCAGCACCACTTTAACTATCAGGTCGACAGGAAAGCCCGGCATCTTCCCCATGGTTGGACCCGCGACTGGGCCGACGCAGACTTGGCGGAAACCATGGAGGGCGACAAGCAGGCCGTGGTCAAGATTCGATCAGCTATGGGGGGACGACGTGCCCGCCACTTGGCTTTGAAGGCAGAATTACCAAGCACGACGCAAGCTCTGCACTGTGTCGTCAGCACAGCCTCGCGGGCATATTTCAAAAGTGATGTTCGTGCTGTTCACGATGCTTTAGTCCGCGTGTGCATTTCGTCGATCGTCGATCTGCGGCCTTTGATTGGTATAGATAGAAATGGGCATGAAAGATTTACCTTCACGAGTTGAAACAGTTAATTTTTTTCATCTGTATTAACTACGAGGTACTGTGCCGTACTTTATCCATCCAAATAAACCCATTCAGCGCCGTGCCCTTGCTCAACATCAAGCTTTTATTCTACGGCTACGCCCGCCCCCTGCTAAACTCCCGGTCAGCTGCGCAGCGTCACTCTAGCTTAGGCTATTTTACTCGCTGCCTAATCAAAACGGACCTTCTTATATCTTTATTTTCTAAACAAGACGCAACACGACCAACACATATATGGCCCTGTATTTATTAACGTTGGTCCCCTCCTTGCTCCTCGCTCTACGTCGTATTGTCTCGTCTTTCATCCCGCACAGGATACTCAATCAAGCCAAAAGGGATCTTTTTGCGACTCGTTCAGAATTTATCGACATCAAATCTTCCTTGGCGATGCAGCTCCTGGCCAGAACATCTCTCCCCCCGGCGACATCGGCGTCGTCCGACGAACCAGTAGCGTTTCAGGATTTTGTGGCCAACGACAGGTACATTGTCGTCTGTCTCTCCAATGCCACTGTCCACGTTCTGTCGAGCGCGACGGGGGCCTTGCTGCAAGAAACGCCCTTTGTCCATCCGGCCGGCTATGTTTCTCGGCCGATTCTGGACGGCGACACGATCATCCTGTGTTCACCAAGCGACGTGAATCTTACCGTTTACAGCATTCCACAACAGTGAGTTCCCCGTATGTCCTCTGGCGGCTCGAGTCCATGTCAATGTCTAACGGAGGCGGTGTAGAGTCGTTGCCTGCACCTTGAGCTGTCCGGACCCGAAGCCCATTTTCCTCCTGACGCCACTGCACCTCACCGAAGACGACTGCGTCGTCGCCGCGATCCATCTCGACGGGTCCCTCTGCGTGTGGGACGTGCGGACGCGCGCACATCTGTACACGGCGAAGCTGCACAGCGATGTTGCCTTTTTCCGCACCGTGGTCGGAAAGACGCTCGTCACGTCATCGCCCGACGGGACAATGGCGGCCAGCAACTGGGAGACGGGGGCGGTACTGTGGAAAAAGACGTTTGGCGAGCCATACAACCCGCGCAGAAAGGGCAAGCCGCACGGCATTGCGGCCTATGCCCAGGCGGCGTGCGATGGCAACATTGCTGCCGGGACCACCGACGGGCGGCTGTTTGTCTTTGACCTGGAGACGGGGTGAGTTGGTTTTGACGCTGCGTAACGATCAAACGCGCTCAGGCTGACAATGACTGTCGACAGACACCAGCTGGCGGAATGGCAAGCCGCGGACAGCATGACGCAGCATTTACTTGTTCGAGGCAACCGGCTGGTCCAGCTGTCCTGGGGTGAGATGAAAATCTGGTCGCTCTCCGACTATAGCCTTGTGCACACGGTGCGCGTGTTCGACCGCGTGGCGACATCTGTGGCCCTGAGTAGGAAGTTGGTGATCTGCTGCGGCCGGGACGCCGCAGAGGACGGCGACAAGTGCGGACTGGACGTGGGCATCAAGGGCTGCTCGTTTGGCGAACAACAGGCAATAGAGAGTGGACACTCAGACACGCCGGAGACCGACGGATCCAAAGGATGCGGCACGGATGCCTTCAATATAGGTCCGCCCCTGAGAAACGCAGGAGACCTCCAGGTCCTGAGCGACGACCGTCTCGTTCTCAACGTGCTGCGAGGAAGTGTATGGTCGGTTGAAATATGGCAGTTGTAAGGGCCTATATGGGGAAGTAGCAAAGTCAAAGGGAGACGGAAAATTAACGGGGCCAGAGTAGGACGGTTAACAGAGGTCGAGTACGATATGAACGCGACGGCCAAGAAGCACATCTCTTGACCGAATGAGACAAGAGAGACCTCACACCACTGTAGCACTGATCATTTCCAGCGAATGATATTTATCAAGCCGAGATGGTCGTTGCTAAGAACGCCTAGAAAACACCTAAAAGTGCATCTTTTGCGTTATGTTGGCTCTTTGCATCTTCCGGTTCGGCTGTCCGTGGGTGTTGACCGGCTGGGGCCCATTGCCGTTCATCTGTCATATGATTCAAATCAAATCAAATCAAATCAAGTCTATATTTAATTCGCTTTAACTTAATGTCTACAGTTAATGAAGCAACAGCTGCGCCATTTTCTGGTTGTTCAATACTTCTCATTGAGAAAATGGCGGTCGGATATGGCCTAGAAACGGCATAAAGAATCACCGACGAACATTTTGCGCGTTGTGTTGGTCCAATGGGATATTTTGCAGCCGCGAGACTATTTTTATACTACATAGGACCTCGATCAAATACCAACAAGCAAAAGGATTTACAAACGGCCGAGACACGATGTAAACATGGCCAGGTGTCGGTATTTCCGTACCACCCGTCTATGTGTAAAGAGTTTGCGGAGAATATTAACGGGAACGACCGTCTGTTGGTCACATTAGCCGTCAGACATCCCCGGTATAACACGGCGAAGTGCGCGCGGCTGCTGATAGACGGGCATAATGTCCTGCATACAGCATCAACCAACTGTATAATCAATATAACCGTTAAAAAGAAAAAAAGAAAAAAGAGCAGAAAAGTAAACAGTCAACATACTGCACAGGAGCTCCGGACAAGAACTAAACCAACTATGACAGATATATAGAAACGCTCACGACCCTCTCACGGATTCGATCATGTCGTCCGACAACATCAACCCCAGCTTCACTTTCTCTCCAGCTTCATCCCCAGCCTACTTTACTCTATTAGTGACGCATGTTGTTTGTTCCAACCTGAATTTCAGAACGAAACTATACACTGACACCTGGACTGGCCAAACACCATGTATATCGCCAAAGCCCTCGCTGCCCTCGTCCTCGCTGGTACCAGCGTGACGGCGCTGGTCTCGCCTGACGTCCAGCGCTTTTCCAAGGACGTTGAGGCGGAAATTTACGAGCGCGACGCGTCTGCGATGGGCTTCGCTCGCCGCGAGGACCATCCGAACCCCGATATGGTCAGCCGCGAGGTCGAGGACAACGTCCGCCGCTACGTCGCCGTGCTCATGTCCCGCATCCACGTGGACTGCCACACGCTGCTCGACACCTGCACGTCCCACACGCAGTGCCAGCTCAAGTCGGCCGAGTGCCACGGGTGCCACAACCACAAGTGCCAGGAAGACCGCGAGTACTCGCCCAGCCCGCCATCGTCGCCGGGCCACGGGCACGGAGGCCATAGCCGTTAACGGAGCAAAACTTTGGGTCCGTACTAGTTAATCGTTTTTGGAAAACTTGATTATTGTCAGTTCTCACGCTTGGTGACTGATGGGTAGCCTTGTCCTCTCCTACTTTTCTTCCAACTGAATGAAATGTGGCTAGCACAAGGGTGGCCAAGACGGAGGACGGGCCAACCACGGACAAGCTAATCAGATGAGTGACCATAGAAGAGGCGGGGTTTACACGCGCCGTTAAATACTACGAGCAATACTCAACAGGAAGGAATGACTACGCAGGAAACGTCATACGAACCTTATACGGAAACATAATGTGGGGTATGAGGTTTACTTTAAACATCATACAAATCTCATACGATACATTTATTTTCTATGAGTTCGAAATGTAATGGTACTAAAACAATATGTACGTTGATTTATCGTAGTGAACTCTGTTTTACGTCAGCGATGTTGAATGCGCGGAATTAGCCGTATGCACCAGCTCTACACTGCAAAGTAAAGTTTGATGTCGCTCATATTACCTAATCACCAACGGACGACAAGTGTGTTCATAATCGCTGCTCTTCATGATAAATTTCTCACTACTCATGGTCCATTTTTCTAAACATTCACGTATCAGCCATCATTCGTTCCTGCTGTTCAGCGTTGGCCAGCAACATTGACTTGGCCGGCAGGTCGGGCGTTCCACCTGCAAATGCCGCCATTGCCCTTAGTGCTTGTGCTGATATTCTGGTTGGTTTCTGTAAAATCAAGTGGTGTGTGACCAGCGTCGCGTTTCGGTAGTACGCTGCCGCTATGCCAGCAATCTGCGACTCGGCCCCGGTCGCCATTTTGTGGCGGACGGCCAGTGCAACGACGGCGTTGACGAGAGCAAATGCAGGTGCAGAGGAGGTGGGCGGTATTGTTGCAGGGACAGCGGCAAAATAACCATATTGGCGGTCCAAGAGATTGAGAATTTCAGACAGTTCTCCGAGAAATGGTAACACTCGCCTCATCTCTTCGTACGAGTTTTGCAACAGCCGTCGAGTAATGGTATGGGGCATCATAGCTGTAAATGGTGTCGATGCTGTGTTGGCTGCTTCGACACTGGACTGCACTAGTTTCATGTGTGATTCAAATGCGCCGGGAAGAAGGAAGCTAGGAAAGTGAGACGAGGATGCATTGCCATCGGTGGCCTCTACACGAGAGACATTCGGTCGAAGAACTTGTAACGCAGACTCGAGAATCGATATGGGTATACCAGGCGGTAATGTTGCAGTCGATGGCACGTATTCTGGTCCTGACAATAATACTTGTTTGGTTGATGATACTTTCGAAGCAAGTTCGGAATGCATTACCCCCACCAGCGGTGATCCGGCATTGCGTTTCTCTGCTCCTTTCGGTTTCCTATTGTGACTGTTAGATAACTGAAGTTACCGAAAATACACAGAGGCAAAACAACTCGCCAATGGAACAAGCAACTCACTTCTTTCCTTTGCCTCGGTACTGGCGGGCCGCGGCATAGACGCAGGCGGTGCATCGTGACGCACAATGCCCGCATTGCGGCGTGACTCCGTCACAGCGGATCTTACGTGCCTTGCATTGCATGCATGCCTGGTATGTAGGTCGTTATTGTCTGTTGGCAAGCAATTAAGAATAAGATCTTGACATACAATAAAGATTCGGTCCGGCCGGGGCATGTTCGGTAGTCGATCTGGTGGACCTTAGTATCGGTACACTCCAAAAATAGTCAGAGGGCAGCGAGCAGATTGCTTCCGAAAACCCAAATTCGTCCCGTCATGGCGCTGTCTTTATATCTGCTTCCGCGAGCTCGCCTTGCTCGTGACCGCGTGTTGCTGCATGCGATTTGCTAGGTGCAAATTTGCATCCGAGTTTGTCAGCTTGGGTGATGTCACCAATATTTGCTTCCGATATCTCCACTTATTTTGCTCCCACCTCTGAACGTCTCCGCTTTTCTCAATGCGGCACGTACCGGTGTTAGTGGGCATCAGTGCGTCGATTTGCTTCCGTCAAACACATTATCAAGGGTTGTCCAAGGAAGTTTGATTCAATTTTTATTTACGGATGCAAATAGTAAGTCAAAGGGCGCGAAGTACAATGACCTCGACACGTTTATAAGATACGCATTGCCTCGATACCGGAGCATACCTCTCTCACATCTTCATTCGCTCCTTCAACAGTTTTACTTACCACAGTCCCGCGTGTCCAGCTTCATCTAAACATTTCTTTCTTCTCCGTTCACATTATTTTTTGAATTTCTTTTCCCACCTTTGCAATATGGACGCCGTCGCCCGCGGCCTTGGCTCACTTGGCACCAATCCGCCTCTCGGTGTCGAGTCTGCGCTCTCGGTGAACGGCTCTGACTGGCTTTGGGCTGTCACTTCCATCTATATTGCGGCCTTCCTCGGACTTCTCGTCTTCTGCTTCACCACTCCCGAGGCCGACCGCGTCTTCCACTATTTGTTCACGTGCGCCCTGCTTGCAGGCTCCGTCACCTACTTCGCCCAAGCTTCGGATCTCGGCTGGGTGGTCGTGGATGGTCGCCAGGTCTTCTGGGCCAAATACGTCAATTGGGTCGTCTCTTTCCCCTCTGCCGCCCTGGCCCTGGGTCTTCTGTCCGACGTCTCGTGGACCACCATCTTCACCAATGTTTTCATATGCTGGCTTTGGGTCGTCACCTACTTGGTCGGCAGCTTTGTCTCCACGGACTACCAATGGGGCTTCTTTGCCTTTGGCACACTTGCCTGGGTGATTCTGGCCATGAGCACGCTCAACGAGAGTCGTGAGGCCGCAGCGCGTTCTGGAATGACGCGTGACTACATGCTGCTGGCCACCATCGCCAACGTCGCTTGGCTGCTGTACCCCGTAGCCTGGGCGATCGGTGTAGATGGACACGGCATGATCGGTGTGACAGCCACGTTCATCTTTGTCGGCGTGCTCGACTTGATCCAGATGCCGCTGTTCGCCATTGGCTTTGTGCTACTGTCTCGCAAATGGAACTATGCCCGACTCAACCTGGACGTCAGCGAGTCACGCAGTGGCTGGCACGCTACTCATACCGGAGCCGAGGGACAGGCCAAGGCCGTCGCCAGTCCGGGAGCCATGCCGCTTGAAGATACCTCTGCGTAAGCAGTCCGCATGCAGCATAACAATGTGACAGGTCGAGTATCTCCAGGTATCCCGTTGCTGATAGAGCAGCACGCCGCGTCATAGACGTCCAGAGTTCGTGTTTGCTATTTGTTTGTATCACTTTGTTAAGTGAGCTTGACTTAATGTCAACTTTTCTTGGAGGTTTCAGTACTGTCCATTACCTGTTGTTGGCTTTGGACGACATTATCTCTTCGTCACTTGCATTCATTTATTTTGTCTAGTTTAAATGTATATATATTTTTGTGTTCAAGTTCAGATCGTTTTTCATTTATTGTAATTATTTATAGCATTTTTTACTACCAGCGTTTTATTTGTCATTTCCGACTGGGCCAAGATCATATCCACTTCCACGAAAATTAAATAAACAGCAACAAACAGTACACATAATATTGCCGGTTGTAAACCACTCTTCAGAGACCCACACAGCACGCAGTAATAACCAGCAGCAGTTACAGAGTAGGCAAAATTGACCTGCCATGTGTTCTTTTTGCAAGTTGAGATGGTCACCCGCCGCGTTGATCGCATCTTCCTTTCCTAGCCGTCCCTCCCGTAATACACCACGCCTCGCTTACATGTCGGCATATTTCCGAACCGTGGCAGTGTAATTATGACGATATAATAGGCTTGGTGGAAGGATGTTGAGAATATCAATTAATGGATACACGCAGAGTTCTACATGCGTAGTTCAACTTATTTGTTTAAATACACATTATCTGTCTTATTTTCTCGCTTCCAGAAGCCGTCGTAACTTGACATCGCGATCCTCAATGACAACCGGCGTTGGCAGACCATAAACGGCATCCGTCTTGGCCACGAGTGTGTCTACCCAGTCGGCCGGTTTTCCGTCCTTGTCCAGAATATTAGGTAGCTGTCGAGACTGGTCGTCCCAGACCGTCTGGATGGAGCCTGCCAGGTTCTTGAGGAATGCACCGAGCCCACCAGTTCCTCCACCCATGGCATACGACTTGAACGGACCTTGCACCGCCCAGCGTGGTCCGAGACTGGCCTCCACGACGGTGTCGATATCACTTACATCGTCGACAACACCTTCATTGACGAGGCTCACAGCCTCACGCAGCAAGGCAAAGGCCAGGCGGTTGCCCACAAACCCGGGCACTTCTTTGCGGACAACGACAGGACAATGACCCGATCCGAGTGTCTCGAAAAAAGTCTTTGCAAACCGCACGCGCTCTGGTGCCGTCTCGGGTCCTGGGCTGATCTCGATCAGCGGCAGAATGTGCGGTGGGTTGAACGGGTGGACGACCAACAGGCGTGCGCGGTCCTTCATGTTGGCTGCCTGGGCCGACACGGGGATGCCAGACGTCGAGCTCCAGAGGTGTGCCTCGGGCGGGGCCGACGCCTCAATGGCTCTGAGGGCGCGCCGCTTGAACTCGAGATTCTCGGGCCCTTGTTCTTGGACAATGTGCGCACCAGCGCAGGCGTCCTCGACGGACGAGGCGAGCCGGAGGCGACCATTGGAAAGCAAGTCGGCCACGGTCGTCGTGGCTACTTTCGATACTTCTCCCAGGTACAGCGGCAGAATGGACTCGAGGTGTGCCTGCAAATCTGGCCGTGGATCATAGACAGACAGATGCGCGTCGGTGTGCTGGATGTGGAGAGCAGCAAACGAGATGCCGATGGAGCCTAGGCCGATCAGGGCGATCTTATTAGGCGTGCGTGTAGCCATCGGATGAGGCGAGAGGGAGACAGAGACGACAAGTCTGTATGGCTGTGACGGCGAGCGGGGTTGAGCGGGGATTCCAGGAAGCACGGAGAATGTCAACGATGGCTTGGCTTTGAAGGAATGTCAGGACGTGCACAATATGGACAATAATGCGGCTGTTTTTTCACGCTCTCTTGGAGTGTTGGCTGGCCTTGTTTTGTAGTCTCATGTCAGTGGACCTTGTGAAACGCGGACGAGTCATTCGGGGAACTTCATTAGTTTGTCCCGTTACTAAACCGTCTTGTCGAGTGCGGGGATTGGTTCAGAACCTAGCCTGTGAGCTGTTGGCGCATTCACAGATCCACGAACGCTAGTGACGGCAACCTAATTCTCGGTGCTGCAGCATGCTTTGCGGACACATCACTGCTGCTTGCCAAGATGCTTATTTCTTGTCTGGGTATTCCGTACTGCTCGGTTTCTTTTTTAGAGATAGCATACTACGATGTGGTCCTTTTATATGTGTGGACGTGCCCCCTCGTCTCCAACAACACCACTCTCTCCTTCTGTCCTTACTGTCAATTCTCTGTCCTACTTACACAGTTCAACATGGCCTCCCTCCAAAACAAAGTGATTGCCATTACGGGTACCGGCTCAGGCATTGGTCAGGCCACAGCTCTGGAGTGTGCTGCTCGCGGTGCTTCTCTGGCCATCTCGGACATCAACGAGGCTGGCCTTGCTGCCACAGTCGCTGCTCTCAAGGAAAAGGGCGCGACCGCCGTCATCAGCCAGATCTTGAATGTCACAAAGTCGGACGACGTCGATGCCTGGATCAAGGAAGTCGTCGACTATTATGGCCGCCTCGATGGCGCTGCCAACGTTGCTGGTGTCATCGGGCCGCCCGGTGGGTCGGTGTTTGCCAACATTGTTGACATCTCCAACGACCACTGGGATGCCATCCTGGGCATTAACTTGACCGGCCTCTTTTACTGCCTCCGCGCCGAGTTGCGGGCCATGACGGCCGGTGCCTCCGTCCTGAACGTCGCTAGCATGGCCGGTGTCATGGGTCGCCCCGGCATTGCCGCCTACAGCACCAGCAAGCACGGCATCGTGGGCCTGACGCGGAGTGCCGCCAAAGAGGTGGGTGAGCGCGGTATCCGGGTCAACGCGTTGGCGCCGGGCCCCGTGGACACACCAATGCTCGACCAAGTCAAGGCGGGCGCTGGCGGCGAAGATCGTCCCGTCACAGAGACGTACAAAATGGTGCCGCTGCGGCGGCTGGGCACGGCCGAGAACATGGCGCGGACGATAGCGTTCGCACTGAGCGACGACACGGCGTACACGAATGGAGCCATTTTTTCGGTGGATGGGGGTATTGCCGGCTAGGTGGGGTGTGGTATAGTCCAGGGACTAAAGTACATCTACGCATGGACAAGAAGGCTCTGGGGGGCCCTATTCCGTTGATTTCCTAGGCTCCAATACGACCGCAATTTATTCACAAACACCAACATTACTTTCATGGTCAAACGTGCATGTCCGGCTTGCCTCACTTGGCATCATCAACGGCAAGATCTAGTCGGTCGGGCAACGATTTTGTCCGCCATGCTCGCACACCGGAGGCAAAGATGGCATCCATATCTGTCACAACGTTAGTGTCAAATGGGTCTGACGGGGAGTCACAGCCAATCCATACCCTCGAGTGACCGCCCTCTCGTCTCGGGGAACAAGAAAAAGACGTGAATTCCGGCTGCAATGTTGAACGTTCCAAAGATGAGGAACGTGCGCCACTGCAGGTTCTGGAAGGCCGACGGTGTGTAGTAGTCTGCTGGTCAGTTACGGGTTCCTTCGCTGTCAGCTCTGCCAAAGCTGTACGTACTGTTGGCAAAGGCAAATATCCAGTTGGCCGACGTCGCAACAGCAACTGCCTTTCCACGCAGCCGCTGCGGGAAGATTTCCGGTGGGTAAGCCCATCCGATGGGATTCCATGTGCAGGAATACTGGAGAATCTGTGAGCTTCATTCACGCAGGAGTGAGCCGAAAATACACTTACTGCCGCCACAAGAAGATATGTGCACGCTATGACAGCCCTCTGTGCGTTGTGTGCGTCCTCGTTGATGACCCAGGATACGGCTTTGGTCCCGTTCAGTCCTCCAGGAATGTAATGTCCATTGGTCGCCATTGTGGCCGCGGTCGAGTACAGAAAGACGGCCATCAAGGCAGACCCAATCATGAGAGCCGGCCGTCGTCCCAGTCGGTCCAAGAAAATAATGGCCGGCAACGTGCAAACCACCTGTACGGCGTACTGCACTCCGGCTGCAATCAAGCTGATGTTGCCCGTCAACCCGCTCATCTGAAAGACGTAGCTCACATAGAACAAAATAGCGTTGTTGCCCGACAGCTGTGTCCAGACGTGAATAAAAATGCCGGCCATGATCCGCTGCAGGTTGTCCCGCTGCACGAGCTCAGACCACTGCACGGCACCCAGAGCCCGGCTAGTCGCCATGGCCTCTTGAATCTCCATATACTCGGCCTGCACGAGGGGGGCATCCGGGTCACCGTGGCCGTGTAGTCGTGCCAGTTCGGCCAGGCACTCCTCCGGTCGATCTTGCGACGCCAACCACCGCGGCGACTGCGGGAAGAAGAAGAGGGCCGTGAATAGAACAATTGGTGCTGCCGCCTGCACGCCCCAGGGGATGCGGAAGCCTGCCGTCGTGCCCGTCTGCATGGCTCCGTAGGCTACAAAATACATGGTCAGGGCGCCCCAGTTGCTGGCCCACGGCTGCAGCGAGAGCACACGGCCGCGGATTTCTTTCCGGCACAGCTCGGCCAAGTACACAGGGCCCGACGAGGTCAGCATGCCGACCCCGGTGCCAGAGAAGATGCGGCCAACAATGAGCATGGCGACATTGACGCTGGCCGCCGAAAGGACGGCGCCAATCACAAAGAGCACACAGGCAATTTGGGCCGTCGTGCGCCGACCAAGGCGGTCCACCTGGACAAACGCCACAAAGCAGCCGAGAAACGACGCGCCCGAGATGCTCGCCGTGATGCCGCCCGTCACGTTGGCGTCTGGGTGACCGCAGTATTCTTTGAATGGCGGGTATGAGATGATGCCGGACATGGATGACACGTCAAAACCCTGGAGCAGGCCGCCGATGGCCAAGAAGGCGGCCAGCGCGTAAACGCTGGTGATTGTATACATGGGGCGGGAGCGAAAGGGTGTTTGTTTGTCGGTGGTGTTCCTATGCGATGAAGATAATGTCTTGCATGTTTAGGGCCATATCCACAGCAGACTTTGAGATATATCATGATAGAAGCGTATGGTCGTGATGGCGTGCTTGTGTCGGATGCAATCGAGCCGTCGATGGATGCAGCCGTGGATGTTCAGTTCGATGTTAACGTCAACAAGGCGACGTCCGCGACGGCATCAGCCAATAATGGGCCGTTGGTGTCCAACAGTGGGCTTTGTGAATCGCGGACCTCGCATCCAATCGCGGACCTCGGAGAAGTAGTGGCAGAAAGCTCCTCGTACAGAAGAAGCAAACTGAAGATGGACGCAGATGCAGTGCACTTCAAGGAAGCATTAAATCAATTCCAAGTCAATACCAAATTTCGATCATTCCTACAGGATGAAAGTGACACCGTACGACGAAATGGTTTGCGTCTTTTTATTTTGTCTATTTCTTCTCGTAGTTGAAAAAGCCCTCGCCTGACTTGACACCCAGCTTGCCTTCTGCAATCATATTCTTCAAAAACGTGCGCGGAGCATCTGGCAACTGCCTCTCCTCGGCGTAGTGCTCTTCAATCGCGAGGACCACGTCGAGACCCACAGTGTCCATCTGCTCGCAGGGCCCCTTGGGCGTCTTGAGGACGGCCTTGAACAGGGCGTCAATCTCAGACGGGGTCGCCACCTGTTCGTCCAACGCCAGCAGTGTCTCGCGCTTGATGGCGGCCCAGATGCGATTGTAAATGTAGCCGGTGGACGATCGGCGGACATGGAACGGCTGGAAGCCGTGGGCAGCGCTCTCCTGCATCAAGACGTCCACGATTCCGGGCCGGGTTGTGTCGGTCCCCATAATTTCGACAGCTGTTTATACTTGAGCGGCTGCGGCAAAGCAAAACAAGGGGTGAGGCAGCGTACTTACGTGTCGTCTCAGGTGGCCAGTATGAGTGGATGCTAGCAAACCGGTCGGGCGCCTTCAAGGCGAGTCCTTCCAACAGCTCGCTGATGGTGTAACTGCTCGAGTTGGAGGCAACAATGACGTCTGGAGGTGCGATTCCATCCAGTTGCTGTAGCAATGCTTTCATCAGCGGCTTTGACTCCGGCACACACTCAATCGCGAGCCACGACTGGTGGATGGCCGTTTCGAGGTTGTCAGGAGATGAGAACGAGGCCTCGCCCCAGTCCGTGTTGCCACCGCGGCGGCCGGGGAGGGACGGCAAAGGCCATTCTTTGCGGAGACGACGTATCTCTTTGGCCGAACGATCCAGCTGATCACGGCTCTTGTCGACGACGTGAACTGGACGGCCACATCTGGACCACTTCGAACATTAGTGTGAAAATCAAGAGTAGGAATAGACCGAAGCATGGACATACCATGTAGGCAAGCCGCGTTCCTTGTGTCCCCGCACCAATGAGGGTCACACCTCGCGAGGACGCCATGTTGGCGTGGGACAGGTGGTGTGGAGTGATGCGAGGTTTCTGCCGAGGAAGAGTCACTGAAACAGTAAAAGCGGGAAGATGTTCCAGCTGTGCTGTGTATCGCAACCGGCTATACCTGGCTTCTGTGGCTTGTCGACGATCGAGCGACGCTGTCCGCCTTTCGGATTGAGTCGTTGTGGGCAGTTGTTCTTGAATGTGGAGTGATGCCAGGTACGAATAATTTCCACAGCCGGAGGCGCCTCGCCTGACGCCGCCCTGATAAGGATGGAGAAGCCCACTCAAGACCCCCCGAAACACAGCTCCCCCGCACTGTAGCTCCACTGACCTCTCCATATAAGATCTCGCGGCACGGAAATTAGCGTGTTCTCTGGGGCTCTAGAAGTATTTGTTGATTTTAGCTGCATCTCGTCCTTCGACCTGCAAATACGTGAAGTTCCATTGTTTATTCCTCAGCATAGTTGCCTCCTGCTTCGGCCAACAGGGAGAAATTGGCATGCAGTATGTGTATTCACAATTTGATACGCGACAGTTACTATCTGTTAACTGAAAATACATGCCTCCCATCACCCCCCTACACGTAAATGTAACAGAACTTGCCACCGTTCCCGCCCAACTGGTCATGCGTCTCGTGCAGCTTGATGGCCGGGCCCAGCCACTCCATGTCCACCAACGACTCCAACGGGTTCGTGTCGTCTCCAGCAGCGCCGGCTGTGTTCACCGCTCCTGTGTCTCTCTTCATGTTCATCTGCATGGTCGCATTCGAGTACGGCACAGCGTATAGCCGCTCCTCCACGTTCTGACTCTGCCAAATCCACCACAAGCGGTCCAACGAAGTATGATGGAAGTAAAAGAGTGGATCACCGGGTGACGTAAAAGGGTCGCCGCCCGGGTCGACAGCTGCAATGTAATGCCCGGCCGTGTGGATGCCCCAGGGGTAAGGGTCGTTCTTTGGAATCGGCGAGCCAAGCAGCTGGTCGTAAAACTTGTCCATTTTTGTATTCTGCAAGAGACTGTAGGCCTTTTCGTTGGTGGCGCCCATGGCTGCGTTGCGATTGACGTCTCTGCGCAGGCAGCGCGGGTTGGCGCCCGTGCCGTCGGCCCGCGGGTTTTTCGGGAGATTGCTGCCCGTGGACGCGGACGTCGGGCCCAGGTTGACTACCATGTCCGCAAACGGTCCGCTCTTGACGCAGCCGCCGCCGCCGCCGGACTTGATGATGTTGGGCGTGCGCCCGTACTGCGGCACGCCCTTGTACGACGGGTCAGGCTCGCCGTTGCCGCCCATGCTCGACGCGTTGCCATTGAGCAGGGGCGAGTTGCCCGGGTCTTCGGCATACCGGTCGTAGTTCATGTAGGGCTGGTACCCGGTGTAGTTGCACTCGTTGCGTAAAGCCTGCTCAAACAGCCACACAAAGTACTTGTGCGCGCCAAACAGGTGTATGTTGTCGTGCAGCTGCATCGCATGCGTCATGTGGTACGCGACAAAGTCGTCGTAGCGGCTCATGGCACCCGGGAACCGCGTCTTGTCCGACTTGGGCGGCAGCTTCATCAGACACTTGATGGCGCCCGTGTACTCTTGACGTTCCGTCTCGGCCATGTCGCTCCACTCTTTGCGGATGGCCGCGTTGTCGAGCGTGCAGTTGTTGTTTTTGTTGGTCTCGATCTTCTTGTGCAGCCAGGTGTCGACATTGGGCATCGCGGACGACTCCATCTTGTCGACCGAGTCGATCGGGTAGACTGGATTGCGGGGGCTCCTGAGTGTGTTAGAGACATTTACTTGGACAACGGCCGAAGCCGATAACGCTCAACAAGGAAAACATACGCGTTGATCTTGGCTTGGTAGTTGCTGAACGGCGCATCTACAGCCGCAGCCCTGGCTCCGGAGAGCAGGGCAAGCGAGACGACAACACTCTTCCACATGGCGGTGGTTGGATGCTGCTGAACTTGGTGGAAAGTGTATTTTCGCACCCCGGGCAGAACAAACATACATATATGTGCACTACTCGGACATGTATATATGTACGGCAGATGAGGGGGCGAGAAAAGTAGGCGAGTTGAGCCACCGACCCGAGCACAACTCCCGTCCCCACGAAATTAACAGAAAAAGTGCCGATAGATTAGATCAATAACGGCCGAATATACGTCGTGCAATCAACAATTAAAACAAAATCATTGAGACGTCCCATCCCCGCTCCATACCGGTTGAGTGGGCACGTCCTCGTCCTTTGTCCTCACATGGTGGATGTCAGTCGTAAGATCTTGAAGTTACGAGATTCTCATCATGCGCTCCACAGGGTTCTTGGTATCGGGTCAATTTGTCGAAACCGGCGACCAGCGACCCATTACGCAGTGCATTGTAAAGCGCGACGATATGCTCACATGAGCTTGGCAGAGAACCGGCGCATATTGTCATATTTTCCTCGTTCAGATTGTTTACAGAGATACGTTTGTGAGGCGCTGCATTATCCATGTATGGATTTTTGGAGATAGACTATTTTATTCGTGGCGGATATTAGCAAAAGAATACTAAATTTTGAGCGTGTGTGGATTGGGCAAGAAAAAAAAAGTAAAAAATATTTGAACCCTGTACGTATTGTAGGGGAAGGCTTAACGTATGTTGCAGGTTTTCCTGTCGCCATAAAAGGCTAAACTCATCAAACACAAGGCCATACTTGCAAACACGAGGTGGTGGTCAAGTGCTGGTCAGGCGGCAGAATTGTTGCATGTGCCACGCAGCTCGTTTCTTTCTCTAGCCATGTAGACACCCGCTCATTCAGTCATTGAGCCATTCATTTATCCAGGGTGGTCGTTTGCCATGGTATTGATGTACTGTCGAGTAAATCGTAGGTTGGGACGTGGCCAAAACATCCATGTCATGGGCCTTCACGTTGCCGCCTCCAGGCCATTATCTCGCTGCATTCCACCGTCGTGGTACGCGCTAAGGTCAGTCTTGGAAAGCAGCGGAGACTGAAGTGGTGATGATGGCGGTGGTGGCGAGCACGATCGTAGACTCGAGGTTGGAGTCGGGGCAGGAGGTGAAAGGAGGACCGTCGCTTGGTCAAAATCAAATTGCATGACGCGGCCGACCTCCGCGTTCCATGCTACGTTGCGTTCTCGCAGATCGTCATCACGCAGGCCAGCGGCCGCGAGCTCGTCCCACGTTCGGTCCGTCTCTGCGAGCCAGTCCACATCCTTAGGAAAGAGCTCCGCCTTCGTCTTCAATGAGCGGGCCCCAAGGTCAGGTCCTGCAAAGGACAGCAGCATCAGGTGCGAGACGAATGCACATGAGTGCAGCGGTATGTCCCGTTCAAGCTCAATAACCCCGAGACAGATGGGGATGAGCCGGCCTTGGAAGGTCTCGAGGCAGCGATACACAGCCGCCTCGCGCTCTAGCACGGTGCGGTGGTGGTACTGCACACCCTTGGCCACGAAGGTGTAGCCGTAGCCAGTAACAGTGATCTTGAAAAGTACGCCGTAGCGGCCAAAGCAGCCATACTTGTCCAGACACTCGCAGTCCTTATCCATGTTCTTGGCTAGCTGCGCCACCACACAGGCACGAACGTCCCTAGCAGTAAGAGCGTGTCTGGTCGCCCCCACAGAAGACGAGCAAGGTCCAGCGGCCGCGTGAAGTGTTGCGTTTGGACACTTGTTGTCTAACGGCAGGCCGCAAACAAGGCCGTGGAGGCAGGCCTGTGTGCAGTATGGCAAGGTGGGAGGCTCGACTATGAAGCGGCGAGGAGATGGGGTGGAGGGCGTAACAGCTGGAGTGCGTGTTGTAGTCGTTGTCGACGGGTTGTTCCCGGCCTGCTCCGACCGGCGAGCGCGCTTCACGCCTCTGTGAGCCGCCGATTGCTCAGTAGCCAGGCCCTTGCTTGCAGATTGCCCGTCGTTGCCGCCAGCACCACCACCACCACCATCACCACCACCACCATCTCGGTCGGGGCGGCGCAGTTGGGGGCCCGTTGCCGGCGACGCAGTAGCCACTTTCGGCCCCGGCCATCGCTGTAAGCGGCTGATGGCATCACTAATCCATTCGCTTGACCGCGGGGTAGAGTCAAGAGCCAGCATACTGAGACTGGCAAGATAGGAGACGGCCGTGTCCTGCGGTTCTCTCGGAACGGCCGTGTTGTCTTCGGCGCCTGGCACACTTGCGGAGGGAAAGACGAACCATACGTAGTGTAGCGTGTTTGCGTCAGTTTCTGGGACACGCAGGAGAACCAGCCCTTCCCCTGAGGCCACGTAGCCAAATTCGAGGCCGGATGTGACCATGTAATGGTATGCTTGGCAGAGTACCTTGGCGACAAGCACGGAACCCTTTCCCTCGGAGGAGAGCCCATCCTGCTTTGCTGCGCGTGGGAAGAAGTCGTCGGTGGGGGGGGCGGACAAGACGGCGCGAATCTTCGCTGCAGGGAGTCGATGCGCGGCCTTGTACTCAGCGACTAGGATGTGTATTGTGGTCGGTTCATCGCGGCGCTCGGCAAAAGCCCAGCGGTCGGGCACGCCGACAGTCTTGACGGGCGAGCTGTGCTTCTGTAGCCGTCTTTCATGCATGACCCGTTGTTCTTGTTGGCGTTGCTGGTCGGTCTCATCGTGCGGGTGTTGTTGAAGTTCCGGCTCGTCACTACGGCCGATGTCAAGCCCGTACGCGTTGTTCCGGAACCGGATCGATGCAATCGTGGGATGCTGGACAATGTCGAGGTACTTGGAGATGATTCGAGCAGCCGGCTTCTCGATTGATGCCCGGATAAACGGGCGCAGGTCTTGTTCGTCAGCGGCCGCAGGGCTGATGTCGCCGCCCGTGGTCTCGATGGACACGGGGGACGGGAAGTACGCTCCTCCATCGTCGTCAAACACCCGGACAAGCGTGCTGAAAAGGGTGGCGTGGGTGCTTTCAAAATCTGGCCAGGGCTTGAAATGTTGCGGGTAAAACCGCCCCCCAACCGCCGTCGTGCCTTGCGATAATGCACTAGATGCTCTTTCGACGGTGAATGCAGCGAATACGTTTTGGTCGACTCCGCGGATGTAGTCAAGCAGTCGTGTCGGTGCTTGTCGTGCCTCCAGCTCGGCCGCCCGTGCTGCCATCGCATCTCCCCGTGCCTTGAGCTCATCTCCCCGTGCCTTGAGCTCATCTCCCCGTGCCTTCTCCTTCTCCTTTTCGCGTCGCTCTTGATCCGCCAGCAACTCGGCGCGCTCTGCTCGTACTCTCAGATCCTCGATCAGGCGTCGGAGGTCCTCTGGTGTCGACATGTTGCTATGGTGCTTTGGTCACAAATATGAGAATTCGTTTGTGGGGACGTATGTGTGGCGTGGATAAGTGAAAGGGGGATTGGTTGTCGGGCAGTGTCGTGGGATATTTCGTACAAAAGACAGTGTGTCGGAGGAGAAAACGAGTGAATTGGGTTTGAACGAGTCTAAAGAAGCTAAAAAGCCAGGGTTCAGACAATGGATCATGGGTCACATGACCACAGTCCGACACAGGGCAAAACACACTGAGGCAGATCAACGGCGTCGAAAAGTGGGGAATGCAAATCCCTCATGCATCCCCAAGTCCCGCCGTCCTCTCCAGGTGCTAAAAGCTTTAGGACACTGCCGCCAACCGCCAACCGCCTGCGCACCAGCACGTAATCTTGACACTCCCCCACACTCAACCGAGTCCAAAATGACAAGAGGCTGCATCCAAGTAAATTGAATGGACGCACAAAGTCATGATATGGTATTTTGTGAATGGTCGTGTCGAAGCACAGAATTGGCAGATTAGCGTCTAGAACGCCCATCAATGCGCTGTAACAAATGTCACTACAGTGCCGAGATGCAAGGCGACAGTGAGGCTACTGCTAGCAACATTGCCGACACTCAAATGCCCCACCCGAGACTGGCCATCGACGACTGTCCTGCATCTTTCGTCTTCAGTACCATTACCACAATGCCTTCTCTCGCCAAAGCCCTGGCTCCCCGCCAGTCCACGGCCTGCCAATGGTGCCGTGCCCACAAGCTCAAATGCGACGCCGAGCAGCCGAGCTGTCGCAACTGTGCGCGGCGTTCGGTGGTGTGCGTGACGACCAATCTACGGAAGCCAGACGCAGAGGGGAGGAGGCAGTTGCCTGAGGGAAGGCGAAGACGATATCATCAAACGCCGTCGGCTACTCCGAAGGTGCAACCCGGCAGAGAATGCCCGGCTCTCCTTCCCTCTCCATCACATCGCACCTTCGGGACGCGGTCGCCGGACCGGATCCTCCCAGGACACTTTGCGACGCCGTTCGGGGAGGGCAGAGATGAAGACGAGGCGTCGATAGGGCCAACAATGGCCAGAACAGACACGCACGGCGTGAGTGCGACCGCACCGACGACAGGTGGCACCAACAGCCTCTGTCTTCTGGTGCAGTGGCTGGATCTGTTCATGATGAAGAACCCGGCATGGCAGCCCGTGTTTCCTCACTTTCGGCACGGACTGGTGTATGCATCCGAAATCCCGCTGCCATCGCCGTATTTGTCGATTGGGACAGCCTCGCCTGGTTTGCCTCCAATTCCGGCCGAAAGTACGATGAGGAGATACACGGAGACATTCTTCACCAAAATCCACCCACTCTTTCCGATTGTGGACCACCAGGACATCCTACATACTGTGGCCCGCCTCGGCGACAGCCAGACAAACGACTACGGCCTTCTGGCATGCACGTATGCTCTATGCAGCCTGGCAGCTGATGAAGAACACGGCGGCGTATCAGACGACGGCACCCGCTATCTCGAAGCAGCGTATGGTCTGTATGCTCACTTGGTAGCACGGCCGTCCATCTCGTCTGTTCAGGCACTTCTCCTCCTCACCCTCGCCCTCCGAAACCGCAACAAAGACGCCGTCAGCTGGGGCAGTCTTGGGCAGGCCATCCGACTAGCACAGGCTATCCAACTGCACCGCAACGACAGCAGCAACGTCAGACAGAGTGAATTGGCCTCCCGCCTTTGGTGGACCGCCTACATCATGGAAAGGACAATGGAGCTGGAGACGGGCCGGCCATCGGCCATTCGCGATGACGAGTGTGATCGGAGGGTGCCGAAACCTGTCACCGAGGGGTTCGACTACTTTGGGAGACTCATCGAGCTGGCCCATCTGAAAACAAGGGTCATTCACCTGCTCTACCGCAGTAGCGGACGTCGTCCCGTCAAAGACTTGCTCTTTGAAATGGGCCATCTCGACCGCGCCCTCCTCGACTGGGCCGACACCTTTCCCGAGTCCGTACGACCTGGCCGGGATCTGTTTTGCAGCAGCGGTGAGCTCCCACGGGCCACGTATGTGTCCCTCCAGTTCCACCAGACGCTGATTGCCCTGCACCGGCCGGCGCTCATGTCGGCACCCGGCTTCCTGCGGAACCGAATCAACACCTACTGCGCGGGCACGCCGCTGCGCGACCGTCTTCACTTTAGTCTGTGCATCGGAGCAGCGTCGGCGCGGGCCTTGCTAAAGGCGACCAACGACCTGTTCATGTACTCGTCGACACGCGGCAAGACGACGCGGTTGATAACGGCCGACGTCGTCCTATTGGGCGTCCTGACCCTCGGAATTTACGCCACCAAGGTGTCCACGAGCCGCCTCAACCGGTCGGACCTGGCGCTTGTGGACACGTTCGGCGCCCTGGTGGAGGACGAATACCGCCGGGCGGGGCACAATGCAGAGTGCATACGGGGGATTCAACTGTTCCGGACGCAGCTAAGTGCGAATGTCGATGGGACCCAGGGGCCGTCACCAGCAACAACAACCACTGTTTCTACGCAGCCTGCCGGTGACCTTCCTCCGCCGGACTCGACCAGCCCTGCCGGCATCACAACGCCCGCGGCATCGATGGACGAGTTTGGCTTCGACTTGAGCATGGACGCCACCGACTTGGAGTCCTCGTGGGCCCGTTTCTGGGACGAGGATTTTGATAAGCTGCTGGCGATGCCGGGGGTGGGGGGTCGCTGGTGAGCCGCAGACGGTCAATATGGCCAATGTGGTCAACTTGACCAGTGCAAACATGTATCTACTCGGTATTCCACAGTCGTGGCCGTGAAGACGGCGCAGTAATATAAAGGGGTTGCTGTAATTAGCGGCAACTGAATCAGCATAAAAATGCACACCCGACGGCCGGCATAATGTACACGGCTTTGACCCGGGAATGCTTGGCAGCGTCTGACAGCAAGTCTGCCACCGCAATCAGTTGCTGAACGTGTGGAGAGTGACAACCGGCGACACCATCGGCCAGAATGACGAATCGGACAGGCGTCGGCTTCCATTGGTTGACAAGTGCGGAGTCAAACAGCAACAGTGAACTCAACTTCCTCACTTGGCACAAACAATTCAGCAAACTCCAATTCACTTGACTTTGACCACTCTCCTCCACACTCCGTCTAGAATCTCGTACAAAATAGAGTCACATAAGAATGGCGCCTAGTGCTGTCGTCCTCTCCAACGAGAAAGGCGCCAACGCCGTTACAGGCGCGCTGGGCAGGACCACCACCGGCAAGACTCTGAAGATTCGATCCTATCCCACGTTTGCCTCGCTCCACGAAGAGCGCCTATACCGCAAGCAGCATCTGGCGGCTGTCTTTCGCGTGTTTGCCGATCGCGGCTTCGACGAGGGCGTGGCCGGCCACGTGTCGGTGCGCGATCCGATTCTGACCGACCATTTCTGGCTGAACCCTCTGTCGATGCACTTTTCGCAAATCAGCGTGTCCGACCTCGTTCTCGTCAGCGAAGACGGCGTCGTCGTCGAGGGCGGCGAGACCATCAATGCCGCCGCGTTTGCCATCCACTCGGAAATCCACAAGGCGCGGCCGGACGTGCACGCCGCCTGCCACGCGCACTCCGTCTACGGCAAGGCATTTAGCGCCTTTGGGCGGCCCCTGGATATGATTACGCAGGATGCCCTCCGATTCTATAAGAGTCATGCCGTGTACGACCAGTTTGGTGGCATTGTCCTCGATCGGGAGGAAGGACGACGAATCGCGGCTGTCTTGGGCGCGGACAACAAAGCCGTCATCCTGCAGAACCACGGCCTGCTGACGGTTGGCCGCAGTGTCGACGAGGCCGCTTTCTGGTTCTTGTCCCTCGACAAGACATGCCATGCGCAGCTGCTGGTGGATGCCGCGGCCCAGGGGAGTGGCCACCCGAAGAAGCTCATCAATGACGAGGAGGCTGCCTTTACCTACACACAGGTGGGCACGCCCGACAAAGGCTGGCTGTCGTTTCAGCCCTACTACGACGAGCAGCTGGCCAAGACCAATGGAAGTTTCTTAAAGTGAAGAAGAGGCTACCGGAAGGACTGCAACATGAGGAAGGACTGCGATGATGACCACATACAATTGGTAGTACGATTAAATTATATATAATTTGACGCTTTCACATCCCCACAGCTATGCACTGCCGTCTGCCTCGTCTCCTGCTGCCCTCGCCTTCTTCTGCACCTCCCTTCGGTGAAGATAGTCCACCAGAAACGCCATGGCGAGTGCGACCGGCTGCATCAGCAGACACACCAAGTAGCCCTTGAAATACCGCGGCGCCTCCACCGTGGGCATGGACAGGATGGGCACCCAGCTGTTGAACGCCATGGCAAATGCCAGCATGGCGCTGAGGACAAATGCGCGCTCCTCGGCGTCGTCGGTGCAGATCAGGTTCGCCCATGAGTACATCACGGGCACCATGGCGTTCTCGACATTGCTGACGGCAACGCCAAACCACTTGTACGCAAAGGGCGAGTGGTCGTACGCGACGAAGGCGACCAGGCCGAGAAAGGCAACGGCGTGCGCCAGGGCAAACAGCGGCAGACGCGCGCGGACGCCAAACCGGTCGGCCACCCAGGCAAAGAGGACAATGGCCACGATGGCGGCGCAGGGCGGCACGGCCGTCAGGTTGTTGACTGTGGCCGTGGAGTAGTGGTGGCTGCCGGCCACCGACTTGATCCACAGCGTGTACGTGCCTTGGAGCATGGCCAGGTAGCCCTGCTGGTAGATTATGCTCCAGGGCACCAGCACCCAAAAGTGCCAGCGCCCGACGAAGCGGCGGACCGACGACAGCGAAAACACCAGCGACGCCTTCCGGGTGGACCGCCGGCTCATGGCCGCCAGCCGGGCGCGGGCGAGCGCCAATTCGTCTTCGCGGAACAGCCGCTTGTTGGGGTGCTGCGGCGTGCCAGGAAAGGTGAGGACGCCAAAGAGAGCAATGGGAAGCGCAATGACGCCGCCGACCAGATACATCCAGCGCCACGCCGCGCGCCCGAGGGCGCCATCGAGGTCGTCATAGATTCGCGCCGCCAGGAACCCCGTCGAGATGGTTCCCACGCTGCCCGCCACGTAAAAGAGCCCGGACCGCCGCGCCAGCTCGTCCGGGCGATACCAGGACCCAAACACATAATGAATGGACGGAAAGAAGGCGCCCTCGCCCAGGCCCACCAGGAAACGGTAGCCGGCCAGCTCGCCGTAGGACTGCGCCCGTGCGCCGAGCGATGTTGCGAGGCCCCAGACGGCCATGCACACGGGGATGACGATCTGGGGCGGCGCGCGCGTGTTGACCAGCGTCAAGGGGATGATGCTGACGGCGTAGCCAATCAGGAAAATCGAGTTGATTTGCACATACTCGTTGCCGTAAAACTTGAGGTCCTCCTTCATGCCGCTGATGTACGCATTGTTGTACATGCCGCGGTCAATGTACAGAGCCCAGAAGCCGGCACACGCAAACGTCAGGATCGACACATCAAGCTTCGTCACCAACCGGCGCTCGGCAGGGCCGTCGTTGGGGTGGAACCAGCGCCAGAAGGACGCCTTGGTGGACCACTCGCGGTTGACAACGGTACGGGAGTCTGGGCTGTTGGCATTCGGAGAATGGTCCGACACGGCTTCCGAGTCCGACGCCGGTGGTGAGGCCAGGACAGAGGCCTCGAAGGCCTTTTCATGGCCGGACATGGTGAGAGAGGAGGTAGGTAATTTCGAAAATATAAAAGCAAAAGCAAAAGCGACGACAAGTGAGTGCAAAACCCGGCAACGTAATATAGGTTGAGATGTCAGGTCGCGATGCAGACTCTACCCTTACGCATGTAGCCTCGATTATTTATATACACTCTGCAGATTGCACCTGAGTTTTCAACATGTACAACAGCCTTGCTCAGCGGTGCATCTATGTTGTCAACACAAGACTATCGTCGACACAAGATGCACCCGCGATGGCGCAATCAGCATCTACGCAGCGGTGCGTGACGGCTGCTTACGGGTTCTACGAAGAGATAATAACGATGGCCCCGGTCAAGCAAGGTCAACAAGGTTAGTCTCCCCAGTAGGGCAGCCATGGCAGCGGACACGGACGGATTTTATGGAGCCACGCTGTAAACATGTGCCGCTCTGATACGACAGGTCAAGAATACCATCGCACCAACGGGTAGGCGCCAACACGCCTGTTGGCGTACATTTCCCACCCGAGACGTCCTCGACAAGTCTGCCCACCCGAGTTGACTTGCACCCTTATTTTCCCCGCCGTCGACACACCTGACCTAAAACCGGGTAGCATCTAGAGGGATAACCAGATGGCGAGAAGACAACAATCTATTGCGCAATTGAGATGGACGAGGCAAGAAAATGAAGTGCAGAATCTATAATGGAAGGACACGTTATAATACAATAGTCGTAGCTGTCATTACCACCACGACATGGTGCACTGACGTGAAGAACAAACAACGTTATGGGCCATCAGACAAGACCACAGACCCTCTCACAATGGGCTCCGTCGACAATAACAGAACGTTCACAGCGGCGTTTGACCGTGGCAACCGCCCGGCGCCGTACCCACTGCCCAAAACAGCGTACAATGCCCACCAGCCCGTTTCGGCCGTCGTCATCGGCGCCGGCATCGCGGGTATCGCCACGGCCGTGCTCCTGCAGGCCAAGGTGCCGAATTTGACCCTCACCGTCTACGACCGCCACGCACGCGTTGGCGGCACATGGGAGGAGAACCAGTACCCCGGCGTGCGCTGTGACGTGCCCTCGCACGCGTACCAGCTGTCCTTTGCGCCGAATCCGCACTGGACGGAATTCTATGCCAAGGGCGCGGAGATCCGGGAGTACTACGAGGCGACTGTCAAGAAATTCGGTGTCGACAAGCACCTGCGGCTGCAGCACGAAGTGGTCAGGGCTGTGTGGGACACCGACGACGCACACTGGCAAATTACGGTGCTGGACCTGGTGTCCGGGGCGGAGTCCACCGTGGCGGCACAGTTTCTCATCTCCGCCACCGGCCGGCTGAACAATGCCGCACCGCCCAGCATTCCAGGCCTGGACACCTTCCAGGGAGCTGTCGTGCATACCGCTCGCTGGGACCAACACAGCGCCGCCGACATCCTCGACAACAAGCGAGTCGCCGTCATTGGCAACGGCGCCAGCGGCATGCAGGTCTTGCCGGCCGTTCTGCCGCGCGTGGCCCGTCTGCGCCACTTTGCCCGCACACGAAACTGGGTGTCGGCGGCATTCAACGGTGGACTCACAGCGCGTGCGGCGCAGAAGGGCAACCCGGCCGGCCACGCGATCCCCGAAGCGACGCGCAAGCACTTTGCATCCCGCGACGGCCAAAGAGACTATCTGGCATATCGCAAAGAGCTCAATTCTACCTTCCACGCGGGCATCGCCGGCTTCTACGCGGGAAGCGACGCCAACGCCAAGCTGCGCAAGGACTTGACGGCCCTTATTTCAGAACGCGTCAACCACGACCCCGAGCTGCTGGCCAAGCTGATCCCCGACTATGCCCCCATGTGCAAGCGCTTGACACCCGCCCCTGGCTACCTCGAGGCCCTCAGCGACCCCAAGGTCGACTTTGTGCAGACGCCCATTGCGCGCGTGACGGCCAGCAGCATCGAGACGACCGACGGCCAGTCCTTTGCCGTCGACACCATCATCACCGCCACCGGCTTTCCCGACAACTACACCCCTGCGTATCCGCTGGTGGGCCGTTCTGGCACAGACCTCCGCGACATCTGGGGCCCCGGCGGCCGTGTCGGCTACCCAAAAACCTACTTTGGTGTCATGGCCCCCGACTTCCCAAACTACTTTTTCGTCCTGCAGGCCCAGGGCACACCCTTCTCCGGCACCGTCCCCGTCAAGTGCGAGCAGACCGCCACGTACATTGCCGCCTGCATCCGCAAGGTGCAGGCCCAGTCGTACGCGGCGCTCGAGCCGACGCAGGACGCCACGGACGACTTTGACGCCGTGGTCGAGGGCTTCTTCGCCGACAAGGCAACGACCGACACGTGCAGCAGCTGGTGGAAGCAGGGACCGGGGCCCAGCCGCGTTACCCTGGGCTGGCCCGGCACGATGCACCACAAGGGCGACGTGACCCGCACGCCGCGGTGGGAGGACTTTGCCTTCCAGCGGCGCAAAGAGGCCGCGGCCAATCGCTTCCATTATTTCGGCAGCGGCTTGACAGCGCGGGAGGAAGACGGCGATCCGGACGAGCTGACGTCGTACTTGACGACAGCCGACGAGCTCGACCTGCAAACGCTGCACGAGGGGTGGACGAGGGGCTATTGAGGACTGTGTTCAACCGTGCAGACGAACTGCAATAACGATGCACGTCTATCATTCGCTGGTTTTATTGTCTGTTGGGAGGCTGTGCATACATATGTGCTACCCGACTGCATGTGCCGCAACCAGCGGGCATCCGCTTAATGCATGCAGGCTGCTGTGTGATGTACTATCATGGTGCAGAAACGGGTGGTTGGCTGTAATGGCCAGCAGCCAGTGTGCATGAGGCACACAAGCGACTCTGCATGTCGGCTGCAAATGTGCGGCGATGAGGTTGTGACTCAACACGTCTCGAGAGAGGGGCAAGATGCGTATGCTGCAGTCACAACTGCCATTTATATTTCCAGTAGCCAGCCATTTCGAGGCTTTTCCTCATTTATTTGAACATAAAAACCGTATGCATTCCTACTTGTGTACAAAACATTATCGAGTACACCACCACAAAGTCATTTGAAAGCCTCACAATCTTTGATACTATAAAATTGGTTACCATGGTAAGAAGGCAAACGTCGCGTTCTCGTCGCGTATCAAAATAGAACACAAATAAAAACCTAACCACATTCCAGAACGGCAACAACAACGGTGCAAATTCAAAGTCACGCAACCAGCACAGCGGGGACAGCCCCGGCGACCATTTCGTAAAGGATGTCCAGTTTGGCAAAGTACCACTCGACGATGCGTATCTCAGCTTCAGATACATCATCAACGGCATCGCCGAGACGCCCACGCTCATGCGTGTGTTTCCCGCGCCAGCTGGTTCGCCGCAAAAGGTGTCGAAGTTTCACGGTAAACATCCTTGGATGGAGCTCGATATGGCCGCCATGCGACAGGAGATGGGCCGGGTCAGGCATCTCCCACGCCGAGACAAGCCCGCCGACGATGCCACGGATCCCGCCGACATGCGGGGATTGCTTTGGGATACAAACGTGGCCAAGCAGCTTGAAAACGACCCGCTGCTCGACGCCATTCTTCAGCGCATACGCAAACAAGCAAGGAAGAAAGCACGAAAGGACGCCCGCAGATCTCAAAAGGAGGTGGCCCCAACAGCAGCGGACAACTCCGCATCGGACACAAAAGAAACAAAGGTCATGACAAATGGCATTATGAGGCTTTTCGAATATGGCCAGGAATCGGACGTGGGCGAGGATGCAAAAATGATGCGGCTGCTCCAGGCGTACCGGAGTCCCCGGCAAGTGGGCAAGCTGCCCAATGGAACCGTGTTGGGCATCGCCAAGGAGGGAAACACCTTGGGAGTAAGGGCTCGAGTGCCGTATCCATTTCTGACGGAATTGGATGTCATAGAGTAGAACGAAACATGGATTAGCTTTTGTGTACGAGTCATTTCTTCAGTAGAGTACAATAAACAACGTCCCGTCACTGGACATCCTTGCTGTCGATGATGGTGGCCACGACATCGGCTAATTCAATGAGCGACACGCGCACAAGCTCCTCGGCCGAGGCGCCAGGCAGGTCGCGGTCGCCAACAGCGTCACGGACGGCGTAGACGTCATAGCCGAGTTCGGCAGCGGCGCGGACAGTTGCGGAGACGCAGTTGTGGGCCTGTACGTTAGCGATTTTCGAGGGAAACGCAATCAGAAGAAGCAGAGCGCGACAAAAGCATACCATGTAGCCGACGACGACCAGCTTCTTCTTGCCAATCTTGTCGAGCTCCTGCTGGAAGGTTGTGCCCGTAAACGCCGTGGCATGGCGCTTATAGACAACAGGTTCAGAGTCTGTGGGCGTGAGTTCTGGTAGAATATCCGCCAACGGGGTGCCCGGAGTGAAGACGGGCGCCCCCTCGCGGCTGGCCTGGGCAACGTGGACGACGGAGTTGGGGCCTGCCGCGCGGTAGCGGTCCAGGAGGCCCTTGATGACGGCGCGGGTCTCGGCAGCCTTCTCGACCTTCAAGAGTCCGTCGGCATATTCGCCCTGGGTGTCGATGAGGACGAGGACAGAGTCGGTGAGGGAAGGGAGGGACGGCGGGATGCCATAGATGGCGCGGATGTTCTGAGGGGCCATGATGGTGTTGAGTTGTGGAAGGTGAACTGCGGGAGGTGGTGTTCGGTCGAGCTGTCTATTTCGGTAGTAGTCGATTGCGTGCTTGGGCTGATGAGGGTGAGAGAAGAGATCTCTTTAAGCTTGGAGTTTGTTCGATTGTGTTAAATACAGGTCGTCGGAAATGTTCGTTGCCAGTGGGGGAATTGCGGATAAATGGTGTGATGGTGTGATGCTATTCCCACCCGAGACGACTTACACGTATTTGCGCCAAGAAACGTCCCACCCGAGTTCGGCTGGTCCACTGTGGATGGGTCTGCAACCTCGACAAACGCTCGGCTCCTTTGTCGCATATGAATTGTTATAGGGATTATAGAAGTTTGTCATGAATCGAATTGAATAGATTGCTTATTCCTGTATCGATTTTCGATTGCTTATATTTAGCTTTTTTTTTTTTTCAAAATACCCACGTGACTAATCAAAATAATAAGAGCATCTATAATTTTAAGTCCTGTTTTACTCGTGTGAATAATTGACGAAAAATAATTCAAACAGTAACCCAACCCATTGCTTCTAGCTCTGACACGGGGAATATAACCCCGAGCTCGACGCAGGGCGTCAGATGTTGACCATGACACCATATCGAACATCGTTTTAGCAGTCGATGCGGGCCGATGTCCGAAGCTACAAGCCCCATTGGCGGAGCCAGATTTCGACAGAGTCGGCCGCAATGGGAGGCAGCGACTGCAACGTTGCACTTTTCTGAACAGCAATGGAAGTGTCAAATAGCGGTCGTGGTGCCGACGTAGTCGCGAGACTGGACAAGAACGGCACGAGACGGAGGGCAGACAGCTTGGCCGACAGGGCATCGTCGGCCGTCTGTGCTTCTTTGACCAGCGTGGCGACCCAGTCGTCGAGAGGGACCGCCTGGAGGGGCGTGCCTTGTGCCTCGAAGTGAGCGAGGACACTCGGAAAAAGTACGTCGGACCAGGTCGTAGCACGGGGGTGGACGGCGTGCACGAGCGTGGCCTCGCCCGGGGCGGTTGCGGCTGTGCTGGCGGTTGCAAACTCCAGCAGGATCTGTGCCAAAATGTCTGCCGGGATCCAATCGACACGTTCGTTGCGGCCGAGCGACGCGGGCAGACGCCGCGTATGGGCAGAGAACGCGACCAGGCTGGGAAACCATTCCTTGGGGTTCCAGATGCCTGCATGCTTTGGCAGCGTGACGGGTCCACTGATCTGGCCGACTCGAACGACAGTGATGGGGAGGCTGTGGACGGCCGCTGCTTTTTGCAGAAGAAGCTCGGCCACCAGCTTGGACTCCCCGTAGCCAGACCCAGCCGTGGAAAAGTCGGACAAGAACTGTTCAGGCACAGCGGCCGCCGAGCGGTTGGCAATGCCGACGGAGGAGGTGAACAGGAGATGGGGATGGCGAGTCGACGACGCGGCCAGCTCGACCAGCTTGACAATGCCGGCAAGGTGCGGCGTGAACGACGACACGGCCAGGTTGAAGTCGACCTGCCACTGGGTGTGGAGGATGTGGGTGGCGGAGCGCTGAAGACGGGCATAGTCATCGTCGTGCAGGCCTAGATGGTCGTCGGCGAGACGTGAATGGCGGAAGTGCAGACGGCCAGCAGTGAGGGCCGTTTCAAGACTGTCGGCAGTTCCCAGCCGCGCCTGCAGTTCTTTCTGCTTCTCGAGTCCACCGTCGTCTGCCCGGTTGAGACACCAAATCTCGTCGATATCGGGCGTGTGCAGCAACGTGTTGAGTAGGTGCGAACCGAGACTTCCCGTGCTGCCCGTCAGGAGGACGAAGGTGGGCGTGTGACTGTTGCTGGCGCCGTTGGTTCCGTTGGTGGCGTGGCCGTTTGCGCCGTTTGCGCCGTTTGCGCTTGTCTTGATGGCCTGCAACGTCCGAGAGTACTCTGCCAGCAGCTGCTCCGCTGCACTGCCTTCCCCGTCGGCTGCCTGTCCACCCGCACTCTGCATCTTCCACAGTGCACCTGTCAAGGCGGCCAACGACGGATTCCGGTAGATGAGTGCCGCCGCAATGTCTGCCGGCCTGATGCTGTCCGGCACGTCCCTTGCAATCTGCCGTCGGAGTGTCAAGACCTGCAACGAATCCAGACCAACCGTCACAAAAAAGTCGTCGTCGTCGGCAATGTCCTTGTCTGTGCTGGCAAGACCTTTGATGGCCTCCCGCAAACTGCCTCTCAACGACTCTTTCGTGGCAAAGTCGACGACACCTCCCTCGCCCTGGGCGGCCTCTGCCCGTTCGTACAGCGCATCCAGCTCGTCTTTGTACAGCTCTACGGTCGGGGCGCGTCGAATGGTGCCTTTGCCGGTGCGGGCAAACGGCTTGGAAGCATCACCAACCAAGACAAAATCGGCATGGATGCGGGCGTGCGCCGGGGCGGTCCTGTTGGCGTCGGCCAGGACGGGCGCGAGAGTAGCCAGAAAGTCGGGCAGCGACAGAGAGCGGGCGCTCGGCGACGGCTGCACCAGCAGCGCCGTCTGGAACCGCCCCTGCCCAACCACCAGAGCATCCCCGACCAGCGGACTCGCCACAATGGCCAGCTCCATGGCCTGGGGCTGCACCTTTTCGCCGTTGGACAGCACCAAGACGTTGTCGATGCGGCCTTCGTACCTGTACAGATCGCTCTTGCGCGGATCCGGATGCCGGGAAAAGAGGTCCCGGAAGGGATACTCGTGCAGGTCGGGGAACGTCGAGAAGATGGGCTGCCACTGCTCGAGCGCCGCCTGGCGGACACAGACCAGCTCGTACAGCCCACCGCCGCGGTCTTGCAGCTCGCAGCCCGTGTCTGGGTGGACGTGCGTGTAGAACCAGTCGCGGCGGTCGGTCAGCACGGCCGGCAGCCAGCCCGTCTCGGTGGTGCCGATGCCCTGGTGGAGGGCCGTGTGCGGGAGGCGGTCGACGATGCGGTTGCCGGTGGCGTGGCTCAGCGGGCCGCCCGCGTAGCCAATCGCCTTGGTGGTGCCCAGCAGCTGCAGGGTGGCCTCGTCCTTGGCCAGGTCCTCGAGGAGCGACGGCGGCAGGTAGAGCGCCTCGGGGCGGGCGGCGCGGATGACGTCCGCCACGACGTCGGCCGTGTTGAGGGCCAAGTCCGGGGGGCCCAGCACAATCGTCCCGCCGTGCACGAGCGGCCACAGGATGCCGTTGTTGAGGCCAGCCGCGTGGAACATGGGGAACCCGAGGTACGCACGGGCGCCCCAGATGTCGTGCAGTAGCAGCGGTCTCCCTTGGATCGGCCGCAGCAGCGTGTTGGCCTCGGCGAACGCCACGCTGTCCAGAAAGCGGGTGACGGGCTTCGGGTGGCCTGTGCTGCCGCTCGTGTGCAGCACCCAGACGGGGTCTCGCCTGCCCTCGTCCCACGTCTTCGTGTAGGGAAACGGGGGCGACGGGGTGCTGTCGTCGAGGAAGAAGCCGAGCTCAGGCAGGGCAACGAGTCGCAGGCTCGCCACGAACGGCGTGCCCAGATCGATCACCCGCGCAATGTGTGTGCCCCGCAATGCCTGCAGCCACGTCGTGCACCCCGCCGCTTCCAGCACGGCCGCATCGCCTTCGGGGCTGTTGCGCAGCGACGTGTAGAGCATCACGAAGCCGGCCTTGACGGCGGCCAGCACCAGGATATAGTAGCGGAGGTCGGGTGGGCCGCTGTACCCGAGGACCTGTGTCGGGTTATCGGAGGTGGCCTTCGTGTCGTGCACATTGTCTCGTATCCAGTACGCGGCTCGGTCGATTGCATTGGCAAACTGGCGCGCCGTGACGGTCGTCCATGGCCGTGTCAAGTCGGCCGACGACGGATATTCGTACAGAACGCGGTCGGGCGTGTCGGCCGCCACCTGGTCGGCAATGTGTGGCAGAAGTCGGCGGCCGGCCTCGGGGTGGGGCGCGGACGACATGTTGTGGTAGACAGTGCTTGTTCGAGATGGAGCCAACAATCGCGGCCAACGAGTCTTGTCGATGTTGCAGTCAGCGTTCCAAATAGGATGCGCAAAACACAGTACGGATGGCGAACACGAGCACAAAACTAAACCACATGGACGACAAGGATCGAGGATAGGCTGACCCGTGAGCTCGGGCCTGGCCACGTTTGGATAGCCATTGTGACAGAGAATTTACACAATTACACCATCCCGCCTCGGGATTGTCTGTCTGGAAGTCGGCACAGTAGTGTCGTGTGGTGATTGGAATAGCACCGGAGACTGCGGGAGGACAGGAACTGCCGTCGTTCATCGCATGCACTCCCCGGCTTGACGATGGAGTTGCCCAATCTGCATCGCCGAGTCTCTGGGAGCTTGGGACGTCTTGGCAGGGAATGGGCAGGGGTTGGGATAAGCGCTGTGGCCATTTTAGGTCGATAGCCTGTTTCTTCCACGGACACCAAGCCGGACTATCGTCGGCGGTGCCAAAAAGAAGGCTAGCGTCTGAGCACGTCACTTTTGTATAAGTTGACGACCTCCACGACCAGCTGCCGGGGAGAAGACGAGGCGACGCCTTCATGATTGTTAGCCTTCTTCTGTTAGCATCCTCATCCTGTGCTTGTCGCTTCCCATCTTCCAGTCGACAGTCCACTCTGGTGGATACCGTCCCAAGAAAAGCAATGCACGATGGTGCGATCGATGAGCCAGGACGCGATGGCCAGGCTAAACGTGTCTAAGAGTGCCACGAGTTGTCGGGACAAAGTACTCGGCGATGCACACGTTGTGGGCGGCGATCCAAGGTGAGCAGCGAACGTCGGAATAAATAGCAGTTGCATCTGTACAAAATAAAAATAAAACATAGAAAGCACTCGAGTCTGATTGGAAACAACTGACTGGTCGCGTGGTCGCTTTCCACTCCACGAGTGTCTTGTTGTTCGACATTGATTACTAGTTTCGTCTTTTCCTCTCCCGCATACTCTATCTGCATCTCCGGCCGCGCATCGCTATCTACACATCATGGGCCTCTGGATCTTGGAACCCGACACGGACGGGGTCGTCCCCGGGACCGTCCACTTGCAGAAAGAGAGCGAGAAGCGGATTCGCAACACGGCGTTCCTCAAACACGGCACGGGACGGCATGCAGGGACCGTGCTGGCGCCGCAGCCGTCGTCGAGTCCGAACGATCCGCTGAGTATGTCCGGTTGGCCGTCCACCGAGCTCGCTCTGGTCGCTCGTTACTAATGGTTCTGTGCAACAGACTGGTCGCCCACCCGCAAAGTCCTCACGTCCATCTTCCTCTCCTGCGGCACCGGCCTCATGGCGGGCACCCACAACTTCATCAACCCGGCCAACGCCGCCATGGCCAAGATCTTCCACACCACGGCCAACACCGTCTCGCAGAGCGTCAGCGTCGTGCTCTTGACGCTGGGCGTCAGTGCCGTCCTGACGAGTCCGCTGGCCCGCATCTACGGCAAGCGGCCCGTGCTTCTCGCGTCCAACGCCATCGCCATCCTCGGGTACGTCATTGTCGTCGCCGCCGGCGAGAACATTGTCGGCCTCTTTGTCGGGCGCGGCATCCACGGCCTGGGCATTGCCGGGCTCGAGTACCTGGTGAGCTCGAGCGTCGGCGACCTGTTCTTTGTGCACGAGCGCGGCATCCACCTCGCCATCTGGCACTATGCGCTGTCCGGCGGCAACGCGCTGGGGCAACCCATCGGCACGGCCATCCTGTCGTCCATGGGCTGGCGGTGGCCGTTTATCTGGGCCTGCATCGTCTACGCTGTCTACACCATTGTCCTCTACTTTACCTGTCCCGAGACGACGTACAACCGTCCGGCGCAGTTGGATCTGGACATTTTGGAGGACATTGACGACAGCAGCAGCGAGCGGGAGAGTCCGGGGGCTGCGAGAGGCGACGAGAAGACGGCGAGCAGCAGCGTCCACGACGGGGACGTCGAGTCCGCGCCGCCCGCCGTCGAGGCGCGGATGAGCTACCGCGAGAGCCTGCGCGTCTTCAACGGCCGCTTCAGCGACGAGTCGTTCTGGCGCGCCCTCGTCACGCCCTGGAGCGCGTTTCTCCTGCCCGCCGTCTCGTGGGCCGCCCTCTCGTACGGCTGGAGCGTGGCCGTGGCCGCCTCCTTCTCCGTCGGCCTGTCGTCCATCTTCACCAAGGCCCCGTACAACTTCACCAGCAACCAAGTCGGCCTGACCGTCTTCTCGTCCTTTGTCGGCGCCACGCTCGGCAACGCCCTGCCCGGGCCGCTGTCCGACTGGCTGGTGACGTTTCTGTCCCGCCGCAACAAGGGCATCTACGAGCCCGAGTTTCGCATCGTCCTGTCCGCCCCCTCGTTTGTCCTGGGCCTGCTCGGCTTCTGGGGGTTTGGCTGGTCCCTCCAGGTCCGCGCGCCGTTCATGGTCCCCGTCTTCTTCTACGGACTGGCCATCTTTGCCGGCTCCATCAACTCCCTCATCAGCAACACGTACCTGCTCGACTGCCACCGTGCCCAGGCCCAGGACGGCTATGCTGCCGTCACCATCTTCCGGGGCATCAGCAGCTTCGTCATGACGTTTGTCATCAACATCTGGATCCAGCGGAGCGGCTACCGGGACGTGTACTTTTGGATCGGCGCCGTGCACGGCCTGACGTGCGTGATTGGCATGTTTCTCTATGTGTTTGGGAAGAAGGTAAGCCATGCGACCCGTTTGGTAGGCAGTTAACGTACCCCCTGGCGTTACGAATGCTGACAGTCTAGATCCGCTTTTACATCTCCAAGAACAAGTTTATCCAGAGCAAGCTGGCCAAGCGCAAGGTGGCGTAAAGCTGGTTGTTTTGTTCGCAACATTTAATTTTCCATTCAATAGAACGTAAATTCAAACACTATAGTAACACTAATACTACGTACACCTTTTTTTGCATACACTCCGTACAATACACACGCACCCTACTGGTACTCCTGTTTAATGGTCGTTGTTGCTCGGATCCCGCTATTTGTCTTTGTGTTTCCGTTGCCGTGCCCGTACGCCTGGCCCGTGAGCTCGACTTCGTCGCTGCCCTGCGACCGCGGACTGCGGCCCGTGCCAATGGTCGTCTCGTTGCGGCCGCGGCGGGCCACGGATTCGCGATACGTGTGCTGGACCGTCGTCTGCACGACGGGCTGTGGCTTGTCGACCGGGGCCAGCACGTCCATGCCAATCTCGGCATCGGCGTACAGCGCGTCGGTGCTGTCGCTGACTTTGGAGTACTGGCCCGAGGGCGTGCTGGAGCTGTCCCCGCCGGAGCCGCCCCAGGTCTGGAGGGGCCCGTCGGGCCCCGTGGGCGGCGCCGAGTGCTGGTCGTTGGAGCCGCCCGACGAGATGAGGCGGGGGAAGAAGCGGGAGACAAAGGGCCGCAGGGTCGGCAGGCAGGCGGCGATGATGGCCACGGTCAGCTCGAGGTACGACCAGAGGGCGGCGCCCGTGTTGTCCCAGGTGGTGTCGGAGGACGTGGCGGCGGCGTCGAGGGTGGAGAGGCGGACGATGGAGATGATGCAGGTAAAGAGGCCGAGGCACAGAATAAAGGCCAGGATGATCTTTTGGCGCAGGGGCAGCTGGAGCTGGCGGATGGCCGGCAGCGGCAGGATGAAGACGGTCAGGTCGGTGATGAGGTTGATGACGGCGGGCGCAAAGAAGGCGGGCACAAAGTCGATGCAGTGGCCCTTGACGGTGGGATCCCAGAGCAGCTGGATGGGCAGGCAGAGCATGGACAAAAAGGACACGAGGGCAATGCCCCAGGCGGTCAGGAAGACGAGGGCGGCGAGGTTCGCGCGCTGGAGCCAGGTGCCGACAAAGATGCGGCGGTACATGAGGACGATGGAGACCTTGACGAGGACGAGCGCGGCGTTGTAGACGAGGATGGACGAGTAGAAGCTCTGTGATTTCGTCAGTGGGCACAAGACACAAGACGCGAGTGAGGACAGCGAACGGGGACGAAAAAACACACCTTGGTGTATGGTACGAGGTCTTCGATTGTCCACACATGACGGCCCATGCCAAAGTGTTGTTCTGCGTTGTTAGTTTGTGCAACCAAAATCAAAAGCCAGGATAAGGCGGACGACAACGCACCCAATCCGATGGCGACGGCCGCCGCGATGGCGAGGACCTGAGCCACGACCAAGACCCAGTCGTCGGGGCCAAAGGCGCGGACGATAAAGGTGCGCGTGACGACACGGAGGACGACGAGGGTCGACGTCAAGACGCAGCTGACGGTGATGATGGCGATGATTTCGGTGACCTTGGACTCGCCATCGCGGGAGTGGTCGATGTCGGACATGGTGACGAGTAAGGGCTGATGGTAAGACGGTGCTGTCGTGCTGTCGTGCTGTCGTGCTGTCGTGCTGTCGTGAGTCGATGAAGATGGATGTCTGGGCAAAACGCGTCTCTTATACTGTGGAGGCGCTCAGACAAACATGTCCGTGGTAGAAGAAGCGAGAGAAGACGCAAATAAAGCGGCTAGAAGGGGGCTAGAAGGCAGCGACCGATACAGGAGAAGACTATATCAAACGAAGTCACCACGACGGGCGACAAGGAAGGCGGCGGTCGTCCGTCGATGGCTGCCGTTGAACGTGGCCGGCCGTGATAGCCAGCAGTCGAGACGCACGGAATGCGAGGCCAGCGCGGCTCGAGGACGTCGACTGTGGGGTCTGTGCAACGCAGTTGGAGGCGACGTCGACTGGGATGCTGAGGCCTTTCTTTTTTCTGCTCATCCTGTCACGACGAACGGTCCTGGCTCACAGACTTCACCCGCGGAGAGTGAGAGGCTTGCAACGTCTGCACACAGGCGGCTCCCTTGACTCTGCATAAGCAGCCGTGGTCGACATGGAAGGATGTGCTCGCCAAACAAGGGTGAACCTGGGAACCGGAGACGGGGACGATGGCGTGGGCGTGGATGTGTCAGTTTGGACGTTTTACGCGTACGACATGCAAAAACAGGAAAGAACAGCCTCTGATCAACAACCATTGCAAACTACTGCAGCCGCCACTCTCAGGCCTCGTCCATCTTTTCTCTTCACAGCAGAGAAGCAATGAAGATGAGCAGGGCTAGCTGGACTAGCAGGACTAGCTGGACAGGACCGCCGCGTCTGCCGTTGCCGTTTGCCGTGTTTAGTGTCCGTAGAGGACCTCGAGGTCGAGGTCTCTCCTGTGTACATCGTAGCTCTCACGAACTCCAGTTGGTTTGGTTCCCCCTATCTTCCCATCCCGCACGCCCTTGTCCATGCTCCAGATTGGGCTCCATTGTCCGCCCTGTCGACCCTCTTCAGCCCTCGTGTCGTCTCCACAATTGTCCTTCACCGGTGCGGCCGTGCGCCTGGCATCGTGTGGGCGAGCGTGCAAATTCTGTGCGGAGATGTGGGTACGAATGCGCACGGATGTTTATGGGTCGGGTCCTATTGGAGAACCAGATTTTCATCGGCGACGAACCAAACCTGAAAAACGACAGAGATATTAAAAGGAACGGAGAACGTCGCACGTCGAGCGGAGTATCAGAAACATGGCCAACAGAACGGGCAGGTCCTTTGGGTATCGTCGAATGCGACCTCTGGAGTGGAGTGATGAACGAGAAGTTCGAGGTGTGAGCAGGGAATGGAGAATCTCGACTACTAGTGGGAGTTTATTCGGTGGATAGTCAGTGGAGGCAAGGTGTCATAATTCAAATCCAAACAATGGGGGGGAGCAACAATGGCGAAGGTACACGAATCCAGGTATGTTTTGATTTTGAATTCGCTTTTCAGTTCTTCGTAGTGTTTTGTCTCGATTTTGAACGTCGCCCGGCCGAGATTCCCGACCAAGTAACTCCCCATTGGCCGCATACTGTGTACATGGCGCTGCACATGTCAGGGGTGCCTGTTGCAGCTGCGACTCTGCAGTTCCTTGCGTGGTCGAAAGGATTTCTCCGGAGAGGAGACAAAAAGGAGACAAAACAAAGAGGCACAGCAACCAGGATGAGCCGTTTCTCAGGGGTCTTCCGCCATGCCAACAGTCTCGGATGACTGTTTACATTTGTTTTGGGATGTCACGTCTTCTGCTGTCCAATCTCCGTCGTGGTAGCCCCTGAAAAATGTTTGACAGTTCCAAAGGTTCGTGTTTGAGAGAGTTTTTATTCCGCCGACCTAATATTGGATTCAGGCCACCTCTCCGATGTGACAATCGGAGGTCATTTCTGCTTTCGTTTGAGGTAGGATGAAGGGCCGTGAGCGAGGCCATATCGTGCAGCGTGGTTCGACAATGTAGGGTCTTGGGTCCGAGAGGAGCTGGGGATTGTCCCCAAGAAACTAACAAAGCTTGTTTAGAGGAAACACGATCGTGGACACGCGCACCCGGCAGACTGCATCCATGGACTGTACATTCTCTTTTGTGAAGGAAACGACAGCAGTTGATCAAACTAAGATAAAATGCACCAGCTTCCCTACACTGATGGCATGCCTTTCGCTCAGACGTAAAAGTTCGTCTCTAATCAAGGTGACATCGTGCAATACTGAGTCTCCCCATTCCAGCCTTTTCCCTACCAGGCAGCAAGAAATGACCAGTAATATGGAGTACGTCGTACGTTGTATTCCTCCGTACGTGCAACTCCAGCCAACAAGTGATCGGCAAACCACTGTGCGCTCTCGAGTTCTCCAGGTATTCTTAGCATCCATCACTTTTATTTAGCGTGATTCGCGAAATCTTCTCTGTTGCGTATCTGTGTTTCTGCACGCTCTCGTACTGTCTCTCTCCTTCGCGAGGTCCGTCCGCAGCGCTAATTCTTGCCTGCAAAGCTTCTTTTTCAACGCAGGACCGTGTAAAGCTTAGCTGTCTCGGCCTGCGTGATGCGCACTGTCGTTGCTTGGCGAGCCCGAGGTCGTTGTGAATAGCTTTGTTTTCTTTCTTTTTTAGGTACATCACCAGTGAGTTATTGTGAAAGTCGTGAAATTCTCATGCAACGTGATATTGTCAAGTGCTAACTAATTAATGTGTGTTCCTGGTGATATTCATATTCATATTCCTCATTCCCTAAGTCCAAACGATCCAAATGGTTCTTTTCCAGTATCCTCCTTCTGTCGGTCCGTTACTGCCCGCCTCGCCCTCTACTTCTTTCCTGTCAGAGAGCTCGTCACGGAGCCCAGGCCGAGGCTGTCGAGAATCTTGTCGAGGCCTAGCCCGCCCAGCAGGTTGTCCACGAGTCCGCCCAGGCCCAGCCCGCCGAGCAGCTTGCCCACGAGGCCGAGGACGCCGCTGAGGAGCAGGCCGACGGCGGCGAGAATCTGGGCGAGGGGCTCGGACAGGAGGCCCCAGAGCGGGTTGAGCTCCTTCTTGGCCTTGGGCATGTTCTCGAGCTTCTTCTTGGCGCCGTCGATGGTGGTGGTGACCTTGCCGGTCAGCTCCTTGAGCACGTCGGCGAGGTGGTACTCTTCGGGCGTGGCCTCGTGGGTGGCGGCGTGGTGCTTGGCCTGGGACTGGATGCGGCCGTCCGGGTCGAGCCCGCGGACGACGCCGTTGGCCTCGGTCAGGATCTTGCCGCCCTCCTCGATGAGGGGCTTGACCTCCTTGACGAGGCCCTCCTCGTCGAGCTCGTCCTTGGGCTGGCGGTCGGCGGCCTCCATCTTCTGGGTGATCATGTCGCAGATGGGCTTGACCTTGTCGAGGCAGCGCTCGAGGGCCGTGGTGATCTGCTGCGCCAGCTTCTTGTCCTGCTCCTTCTTCTCGGCCTCGGGATCCTTGTCCTTGGTGTCCTTGGTGTCCTTGTCCTTGGTGTCGGCGGCACCGGACGCGGACTCGGCCGAGGTCTTGGGGTCATTGGTGACCTGCGAAGTGGCGCTCTGAACATCGGCCATGGTGATGGTGGATGCGGGTGGAAGTTGAGCGAGGTAAGCTATGTTGGTGTGTGAGGTGGTTGGAGTGAAAGAAATGGAGACTGTTTAAGAACGTTGCGTTGTATGAGATGTCTGAATGTCGAGGTAAGGTGAAGATGCAGTACTGACAACATGAGAATGGTATGGCCAGACTTTTATACACAGATCCTTCTCACCCGACGCGACCTGGCTCCATCGCATCATCGACTTCCAACGAGGCAGCCTGTCGTCGTCAGAGATACGTCACGGCCATTGTCCAGTCCGGAGGCGAGAGGGGGTAGAGTGTGGCCCGCCTCGACAGGCTAGACTTGTCAACTTGGAAGGCAACGCTCTAGAACCATCTTCTGTTGTCTTGTATGACACGGCAAGAGGGAAGCCAAGCTGTGAGGCTGTCTGGTCGCCCAGAAGAGGATGCATACAAGCCCAGGCAAGGCCTGCGTGGATGACTTCATCTTTGCAAACTAAGCCAAGCGATCAAGATCAAGACCAAACCAACAAACCATGTATCCACACACCGAGACAAGCTGGGCGGGCTCCGGGGTAGATGGAGAGGGGTAGAGGGTGTAAAAATTCATCTAGACCGGCAGGTTTACCAAGTTCTTCAGCGTTACAAGAAATCAAAAACGATAACATGGAAGTCGTGACGAAACGGTGTGTACAGAAGGACAGAGAGGGTGTATGGAGACTGAGAGGAACGAAGGAAAGGCTACTAAAGCATCAAACTAGCCACAAAAGACTGGGGAAGTCGTCTAGCCTGATGGCTTGCCAGCCGAAGGGTGTTCTAGAGCCTGGTGTGACGTACCCATGTGGATGTGGCAAAATGGAGTGGAGAGTGGGTGGACTGCTCTATTTAAATCGCAAAAAACCTGTCCGCCTACATCCACTCTGGCCAAGTCTTGATCATCGATCGATGCCGATCTGTGCTCTGGAGAGTGGCGAGAGTGACTCGGGCTGGAAGAACGTGGATGCAGAACGTGGGAATGCACCTTAATTAGTGACCTACCCGGATAGCTTTGCAGCTGCAACGGCTGCTAAAAGCGACAATCGCGAGCATCTTGCTTGAATTCCGCAATGATTTACAAGAGGATCGTGAAAAGGTGCAACGGTGACCATACCGTGCAGTGAAACGAAGAGAATAAATAATAGTAGAGCACCGACCTATCCTACATCTCCAATATCCCGTCCTTTACATACGCCGACTGTAATTCCGCAACGCCGTCAGATCAACATATTTCAAAATGATAACCCAAACGCCAGCACAACCGCCTTCACGTAAAGCTAATGTTGGGCATCTTGGGCGGCTGGCCGGTGTTGGGAAAGACGGTGGGAATGCGAATGGTCAGCTGGATGCCTTCGGTGGTGGACTTGACGTCCAAGAAGATGTCCGACGGGCTCTCGCCTTCCTTGCGGTAGCTCTCGGCGTTGACGCGAGGCGGTGACCCGCCCTTCTGTTCGCCTTGTGTTTTCGTCTTGTCGTTGCCATCCTCGTCATTTCCTTCCCCCTTCTTGTTCATCCGCCCGACAATGTTGCCCTGGCCGTCGAGAATGTTGCCGTCGGCATCCACGCGGAACGCGCTCGACCCGCCGCCGGTAAACTCGTCGAGCGGCTGGGCGGCGGCCGCAGCTGCGCGTCGCCGCCGGGCGTCCTGCATGGACCGCCGCTCGGCGTCGGTCGTGACGTGCTCGACGTAGCCGAGGAGCTCGTGGCCGTCGTCGCCCAGGACGTCGCCGTTCTCGTTGCTGATGGTGCGGCCGACCATGCTCGGCAAATCGCCGGCCACGCGCCCGAGGACGTCGTCGCCGTCGCAGACGTCGCCGTACTCGTCAATGGCCTTGCCGACGAGGCGGGCGGTCAGGAAGCGCGGCAGCGTCGGGCGGCCATAGCTGGAGATGCCCGGGTCGGCGGCGGGGGACGCCGTGTCTTTGGGCGTGTCTTTGGGCGTGGAAACGGGACTGAGGGATGGAATGCGCCCAATCTTGGGGATGGGGGCGACGTAGGCCGGCTGCTTGCCGCGGTCGTGGAAGTGTGTTTGGATACGCGGCTCGCCGTTGCGGGCGGCAGACGGGGAGGAAGAGGATGGTGGTGGCGACGACAGCGGAGCGGGGGCACGCTTACTGCGGCCATGCTCGCCCTCGACAATTTCTTCTTCTGGTGGATCGTCGTAGTCGCTGTCGTCGTGCTCGTCGTGGCCGTGCTTGTCGTGCTCGTCGTCTGAAGAGAGCTCTTCAACGACCGGGCTCTGGTCGTGAACAGGGCTGTGGACGGGCGTGTGTTCTGTACTGGGGACGACCGGCCGATGATGTAGTGGCTGTGGCTGTGTCTTGCGGGACGCCATGATTAGAGTGAGTGCTGTTGTGTGTGGTTACGTGTGGTGGCTTGCCGCGTAGAGAATGGACCCTGTGAACGACAGCTACTGCTGCAAAGTGTACCGTCTCGGGGTAGGTACAGGATGGTTGACCTGATCCACAGTGACAAGCGGACGGAGTACCTGCCGCAGACGTTGGCTTGTAGTGAGTTGAGAAGTCGAGTAGCTGCAGAGGTTGGGGTCGGAAGACGGCAGAAAATGGTGCTGTGGGATGGAGTAATTAGGAAGAGAACAAGGATGGGAGGACAGAGACTGAGTTGAGTTGTGGAGGCAGTCCAGGCGTGTGATGCCAGCGTCGAGTGAGGTCACAGAGTCTAGGCCCTACAGGTACAATTATGTCTCTTCTGCGGTCTGTCTGTCCAACATGCAACGATTCAAGTTGTAGTCCACAGGTGATGATTCTCAAGTCGTCGGCGCATTCAGGGCATTCAGGGCAGCCAGCGCAGAGGCACAAAATTAGACAGAAGGCGAGAGAACAACACAGAACGACGCGACGCCATTTCGTTTGTCGTGTTTCGTCTATTCGTCTTGTGTTTCCAGAAATACCAATGTCCCGCAAATGCTCTCAACGTTGTCGTCCTGACGTTGCACTAACCACGAGTCGTTGACGTCACTGTGGACAAGTTGTGTGGGGGATGGCAGCGGGCCAGCGTTTTACCATGCGACACTCGCCTGCCACCCGGCCCTCCTTTGGCTGAGGGTGGTGTGGGTATTGCTGGGGTCGCAGTCGACAGCGGGAGAGCGGTTGATGGCGTATTCTCACCAGGTATCCTCATTATTGCCCAGTTGCCGTCGTTATTCTCGTTGCTATATGTCGACTATGTCAACTTGTCAATTCGAAATGCGCCGCTTTTACCCGTCCCGTTTCAGTCTCATTGCATCGTTTTGGCAGTCATTATCGGGGCAGATGCCCCGAGGATAAATGGAAAATACGAGGTACGACAGCAGGGAGCGGGAAACGCAAAATACAGAACATCGCCGGCGAGGCCGTGTCCATTACGTCGCTCTGTTCAGTGTCAGACTGCCCTGTCAAACGAGTGCGTCTAAGCGTTGAGCCACTGTCAAAGACGGTGCGTTCCTTCTATCCCTTTCTCTACGGGAGCGACCGGTGTCTCGGCCTGTCAAACATTTAACATCGCCTCTCTTAGTGAGGTGCACAAGTCGAACAGAAAGAAGTTAAAATAGAGGCATTCTGAGAATGGCGGCAGCAGGACAAAGAAGGCTCGAAGGGTGCCTGTAGTGGGCCGTATGCACTAAATATATGACAGTGGCGCGACGTATCCAGAAAGTAGTGTAAAATTAGCGGACAGGTGGCAAGTGGTGGGCAGCTAACAGGCGATTAGCGAGCAGTTAGCGAACAGAAGAGGATTTGTACACGTCAGTGGCGCTCGAGACCCCCTCGCGCCCTGCACATATGACCTGTGTGCCTGTGTCACTAGCCAGTAGCCTGTAACCTGTAGCCAGCCACTTGTAAACAGGGCCCACTCGAACAAAGACGTGGTGAGTGACTGTCGGCAGCGGACTGGAGACGAAACAGCGGCCCCTGTCTTTCTACCTTGGTCCGATTCGTTGGGAGGAGGTTGGTTGGTCAGTGACCTCTCACTGCTCTTTGTCCAGATCGTCGATGCGTCTTTTGAGTTACGTACGACATGCTCTGTAATTCGTACACACAGATGCTATTTCGTGTTAATGGCTCACTGGAGATGGGGTCAATCAACACAGCATATTGCTCCTCCGCAAGTCGCACTCGCACACACAAGGCGGTTGATTGGCACGGCCATGGGCACTCTACGATCGACAATCTCGGTTCTGGATCGACTAGCAGTGGCACAAAATTCTATTGATTGCCGTAGGGGCGGAAACAAAGAAAGAATCCAGAACAGCGTCTGCCCTCAAACTAAAAACAGGGGTACTGATCAACAGGAGAATGCAAAGTGTTGCGGCACAAACAGAAAGTCCAATTCAAAGGAGTGTATGTAAGTTGTAGACAAGCAGAAACGCAGGTAAACATCCAGTAAAACAGTAACGACATAACCAAGTACTCCGTACATCTCACGTGTCCACCATTATGTCTCCCTGGACATGGTTAGCATATTATCAAGGAAGGGGGACGACGGGGGAACTCACAAGAGAGCCAGCTCGAGATCACCGTGGATCTTGGCCTTGAGGGTAATTTCAATGTCCAGATTCAGGTCCAGCCGCAGCCGCAGCGTGTCGCTGCCCTTTTTGCCTTCGCCGCCGCCCTGCTGCTGGAGGGCGCCGCCCGCCACGCCGCCCAGCGTGTTGGTGACGCCGCCGACGACGCCCTGGGCCGTCTGGCCGACGTTGCCGAGGGCCAGGTTGTCGAGCGTCCCGTCGAGGGGTCCGCCGCCGCCCTGCTGCCGCTGCTGTTGTTGGCCGCCTTGCTGAGATTGCTGTGCCTGGCGCTGAGGACGGCGCCGGCGGGCAGGCGGCTGCTGTTCCGGCTCGGGCTCGGGCTCGTACTGGTCGTCCGAGTAGTCGTCTTCGGACTCGTAGGCGGGTTGCTGCTGCTGGCGTTTGGACATTTTGAATTGTGTGACGGGGTGGAGGGAGGTGCTGCTGGTGGAGGCTCAAGGCAGGAGGCAATAATGAAGAATCTGAATTTAAGTTTTGTGTAAAGTTCTGTGTCAAGTTCTTTTTTGTTTGACGATGAGAAAGATGATATGCTGGACAATGGTGAACACGACAGGAGGATGGACGGCTTGTTAAAAAGAAAACGGAATGATGGGAGAGACCCGACGACAGTGACACCAACTTGGTTTGTGGGAATATCCGTCATGTCGAGTCCCTGTCCAACTTCAATTCCAACTTTGTCCAACGATGTCATAATGCCATGTGCATCCTTGGATACTTTTTGAGTTGTCCAGATATACTTTGTCTACATTCACACCCCCTCAACTTTAATGATGAAATCATTGCCCCTGTCCGGTGGCAAGTGCTGGGGAAGCAGCCGCTTGCCAACCGAGCCAAGACAAACGAGACAAAGACCACATGGGCACGATGGGGCGCTGTGCAAAGTATGACGACAGACGGCCCACGGCGTTTGGGGTAAATTATGAGGGTGGAGTGGAGAGGGTGGGACGAAGAAAATAGCCATATTCATACATGAAAATAGACTGTCGAATAATGTAGAATGCAAACTCCAGTACGCCGCCATGCTTGACGCCATCATAAGCCGTGGAAATAGACTACAATACAGTGAAAATAGACCCCCCTTTCCCCCCTCACCTCTTCTCTAACCCATGCTTCTCGCGCTGGCTGTCCCGCACATACTTGCTCTCCATCCCAAACGACCGCCGGATCAGGATGGGCACGCCTCTGCCGTCCGCCACGTCCTCGTCGGCGTCTGGGTCCTGCAGGTAGATGCCCCAGACAGGCGTGACCGCGTCGCCAATGGCAATTTCCTCCTGGGCCGCCACAAACCGCGTCGCGTCGCCGTCGTACGTCAGCCAGGTCTCGTCGTCGGACCAGCCCCAGGGTCCCACCCGGTGGCCCAAGGTGTCTTTGCGCCCGGCGTGCAGCAGCCGGCCCGTGTCCTTGTCGGCGTAGATCCAGTTGAGCATGGGCGGGTCGACGGCAATGGTGCTGACGAGGCCGAGGCACGGGGTGTCGCCCGGGTAGTTGAAGTAGTAGCCCGAAAAGGGATGCGCGCGGCCGTAGGCGACGCGGGCGTCGGGGTGGTCGAGAAACAGGCGGCCGCCGATCAGGACGACGGGGGCGTCGGCGGGCGGCTCGCCGGCGAGCGACAGGGCGGCCGTGGCGGTGAACTTGGCCTTTTCCTTGTCGGCGGCGTTCTGTTTCTTCTGCGCGCTCAGCGCCTCGCAGACGCCAATGGTGCTCGGGATGGCGGCTATGGTGAGCAGGCCGATGACCATGGTGGTGGTGGTTGTGGTGGTTGTGTGATGTCGTCGGTGATGTATTGTGTATTGACGTGCATTGACGTGTATTATTGTCAAGACGTGTATGTTTGTGGAGAATCCTTGATTTAAAAAACTGGTTTGTTTGGTTTGTTTGCTGTAAGTGCACGCCACCCCACCGACCGACCGTTCCTATTTTTAAAGTGCTAACTACACCGTTTCTTTTTATTATTTATTTCTTTTTTTTTGGCTTTCTTCACACCATCCTCCATTCCCCCCAGGCCACCCCGGTAAACCTGTCACAGCAGTATTTAGCCAGGGAACAAACACACCAGTTCAAACAGCCAAGCACACCCCTATACGAGACCACGGCTTGAAGCCCCGTATTGGCAGGAGCATTTATTCTTTCCACGGCTGTTCTTGACCGACGACGTCATATTGCAGCCATCTGCAGCCTTCAGCATCTGCACATATTCAGCATTCAGCGTCTTCATCATCTTCAGCCATCTCATCCGCCCCGGCCACTTTTTTTTTCATACACCCCCCTGCCACCCCATCCACTTTTACACAAACGTCATACTTTTTCATTTCTGTCGCTTGACTCCGCTTTGTCGTTCTAGACGTCCCTAGTCAAAGCGTGGCTGCAAAGCAAGAAAACAAGACAGCAATCTCCGTATCCATGTCGTCCCACAACATATCCTGCAAGCACTCTAGCAACTCTGCGTAGTTGTGTGTAGACTCGTTTAGTCCAGTCCTACCCTGTTAGCTCGTGTCTCCAAGCAGACGTCATAGCTTCTTTAGTGCTTCTCGCCTCTCTTTCGTCTTCCCTCGCCCCTGTCTGTCTTTCTCCACAGCACCCCTGGTCTCTGAATCGTCGATCAACAGCAGGTTATGGGGTAGGCAAAGTCCTGCTCAATAAGACGTAGTTTATCCAGTTTCAAGATCCCCAATTACGTTGTACAACATGCTGGCCAAGAGTGCCAGTATTAAACTTAAGAGGCAGCCGCAGACCGAAAGGACAAAACACAAAACGTTAAAACACACACAAAATTGTATTGTCAGCTTACACTGTTTAAGTTATCAACAAGCTTGCATTCATCAACTTGCATTAAATTTTCCGTTCAGAGACAACATCGACCTCGACAAATCACAACCATAATCAACCCACTGACACTCCGTTACTGACATCGACATGCCTCCGGTAAGTTGCTGTTGAATCCGTCCTCCACCACAACACTCACTAACGAAACTGTCCAGCGCAAGAGCAACGCAAACGACCGTGGCGAGGAGCACGAGGATGTGCCGCCGCAAGAGCAGCCTGAGCAGCAGGAGGAGCAGGAAGAGCAGGAAGAGCAGGAAGAGCAGGATGAGCCCCAGGATGAGGGAGATGAGGGACAGCCGCAAGACGACGACCAGGGTGATTACAACGACGGTGAAGGCGACGACCAAGAGCCCGAGCTGGAAGGTGGCGAGGAGCAGGACGGAGCCGAGCAGGACGGGGACGAGCCTCAGCAAGAGGAGGATCCCGAACCTGAGGCTGAGCCCGAGCCCGAGCCCGAGCCCGAGCCCGAGCCTCAGCCGGAACGCCAGCGCCGCCGCAAGCCCCGCCGGCCCCAGCCCACCACGCAGCAGGCACCCACGCCGTCGTCGTCGCAGCCTGCGACGCCCACGGATGAGCAGCCCCTGCAGCAGCAGCAGCAGCAAGACGACCAGCAAGACCGGCAGCTGCAGCCCCGGCGGCGTCGCCGGCCGCAGCAGGCCCAGCGGAACAACCAAGACACCCAAGACGACCAAGACAACCAGCTGGCACAACGGCAGCAGCAGCAGCAGCAGCAGCAGCAGCAGCTCATGATGCAGCAGATGCAGCAGCAGCAAATGCAGCAGCAGCCGCAGGGTGGCGGCAGCAGCAAGAACCCTCTGCGGCTGCGGCTGGATCTGAACCTGGAGATTGAGATTGAGCTCAAGGCGCGCATCCACGGTGACCTGACACTGGCCCTACTGTACGTTCCCCCTGTGCTTTTGTACCTTTGTGCTTTTGTGCTTTTTTATTTGCTCCTCTCGTTTCGACCTAATCTGACCATGCAGGCAGTAACTAACGGCCACACAGAGAGACGTAGTGGCAGGTGGTGTGCGACGAGGAAAGTGTGTACTTTATGTTAAGCAAACTGTTGTTTGTTATTTTGGATGATTTTGATGGATTTCTTTCACTTTGCTTTATTTTCAGATTTCTCTCATTTGTCGATTTTATTTGAATTTAATTGAACGTATTCTGTTTCATTTTGTTTCGCTTCGATCCAGGGGCACAACGCGACAAACTCGGTAGCCTTCTCAATCATATTCCTTACACGGATCAACCCATAGACCGACGCGATATGATATTTAAAACTCATCATTAGTGAAGATGTCGACCTCGTCCAAAGTAGTCATCAGTTGACACTGGACCGGAATTCTGACGTACAACAGCGCTTCCACTAACACGCTAGCGCATGTTGACGCAAAGCAGCGGTAAAGGCTGGTCAATTCCCGCCAGGAACAGTCTCAGGCGCTAAAACCCCACGACAGTTGCAACTGAGAGACTGTGATATCTTAGGAGACATCATGGCACATTCACGCATTGGCGCTGCCTGCTGTCGGATTCTCTTGTAGTTCGCTTCTTTACGACTCTACTCCGTACTTTGCGCAGTTCCACCATTAGTCACAGCCGACATGACGATGCTGGGTCCAAGAATGGCATCCAGTCTTCACAAGCCTCTTTCGATCTTCCTGCGCCATACACAGAACAACTTCAGATTTCCTTCTGCTACCCGAAACGGCAGTTTTCCTTGTCACCGGACACTGTCGTCTCTGCCGCGATCTGCAACGGAGCCGTTCTCAGTCGGTGCCGCTCTTCGCGGCCGCTCGGGTCGAACATACAGCATCCAGCAGGTACTTTCAGAGCGACGAAATCCATTGCTCTGCGTTTACCGAGCGATGTATGTGTTGTGTTCTGAATAATCCCGAGCGACGGCTCACACGTCAAGCTAATAATATCCGATGCCAAGTGATGACGGACAGCACTTTATCGTCAAAAGCATGATCCCGGGCGAGTTCGAGTACCAGCAAGATCTGCAAACACCTCTGGCTTCTTGTCCCAACTTGCGGACCGTGATCGACGTCATCCCTGATTTCGAGCTGTTCGTCTTTCGTTTTCTGGCCGCCGACCTCCTCCAGGTCAGCCAGAGGCCCATGTCTCCGGAAACGAGGAAACGCATCCTCAAAAGTGCCCTGACCGGACTGGCTGAGCTTCATGATCGAGGGATCATCCACACAGGTGGGTGATGGTGATACTCCGTGTACCTGGATGCATGGTTCTGCGTGCTGTCTGGTGATGATTTGGGAACTGTGAGCTGACCTGACGCCGTCCCAGACATCAAACCCAACAACATCCTTCTTGACTACGAGGAGAGGACCAGCGACGATCTTTCCATTAAACGTGTTCAGATTGCAGATTTGGAGGATGCAGTGCTCCTCCCGCCCGGTAAGAATCTCAAGGGTTGCCTCTGTGGAAACCAGCTCTGGCGAAGCCCCGAGTCGTGGGCACGTGCCCGGCAGAATACGCCGTCTGACGTCTTCTCGTTTGGGGTGGTCATCGTCTACGTGATGCTCCATGACATGATCTTTCGTGTGAGTGAGAAAGGGCCCGGCGGAGACGATGCTGCTTGGTGGCCGATTCTCCGGAGACATATATCCTTCTTCGGAGACGAGGACGGCTTCAAGGGCCTGCTGAAGCACATTGGCGAGGACAGTGTGTTTTTCGACCGCCTCATTTCTGTCGCGGGCGACTTTGATGCCGAGCGGCCGAGAAAGCCGTTTGCAATGTGGTTTTACGTGGATGCGGAACTCCGGGATTTGGTGACAAGAATGACAAACTTGGATCCGGCGAGGAGGATCACGGCGCGCGAGGCTCTCGAGCATCCTTGGTTCCGCGACGCCGGTTCCGAATCGGGGCAGAAGACATGAGAAATACTGTAGAATTTCGAATCGACAACCGGGAACACCTACGTACAAAGACGCTTTAGCCCCAACAAGTTAAACGTATGTAGAAGCGAAGATCCCTTTACATAGCGCCCGTACAGTAGTGGAGAGTGGATACGCAACGGTATGTAACTTGTGGAAAGCTATTTAGAGACTAAAAAACAAAACAGCTTTGCGACCATACGTATCGTCACTAATAACATAAACTAGGTAGAATACGGTGTATATATCTCTTAACATCCTGCATACCAAAAGTTTTCAATGGCCTCATACCAGAGACTATGCAACATGAAGATAAAGTCAACTACCGCGTTGTCGTCTTGTCCATCCAACCAGTCCAATCCTGCCCGCCACTGATCATTGACCCAGTCTTGTTTCATTTTAACATATGTGAGCGAGCGGACTGCAACTGCTTCTTTGGTAAAAAATCCTCGTTTGGTGAAAACGAATGCTGCTCGTTTCATGCCTGCTCGTGTCGTCAGAATAGGGGGTTGCTCGTGTCCGACTTCCTCGACAACGGCGGCGAATCGTCGCGCCGAATCCTGTCGTCGAACAATCGCGGGATGCTGCGATGTCACTGCCCCCGGCACAGCAGGGCCTATGCCCATTAAAAATGGAAATCGGTAGAGCGCAGCATCCGGCGCTGCGATGACAGAATCCCAGTCAATCACTGCAAGAATGTTAAAGTCTCGATCGACGAGGACATTGTTCGCGTTCAGGTCGTAGTTTACGAGCCCAAATCCAACGTGAGTGTCCGTCTGTGCCGCTGCCAATGTTGATGTGATTCGCCGGACGGTGTCAATGGCCTCTTCCTGGCCACTGGTTGCCTCGCCAAGTTGCTTGTGCAATGCTAATGGATAGGACGAATAAAACTCGACGGGGGATGCATAAGGACCTGTTCCTGTCTCGACGAATGGGCCGACCGTGAACGAAGCAGCGTTTTTCTCATCGTAAACAATCGACCCAATCTTTGGCATCCGAACCGACGCGAGCTGTATCATAATATGGGCAAACTGCCGCCAAAACTTGGTCTCAAACTGGGGCGGGATCCCCTCATGGTCACCGGGATAGCTTTTTGACACGTCTTCCGCTGTATTGCCATGTATGTATTCGAGGAAGGAAAAGGCGCAGCCGACGCTGTTTTCGGGACGTAGTGCATACCCGTACACGTTAGGTATTGGAATGTCCGTGTTTTTGCTTACGCCTGGTTAGTAATAGTCGACAAGGAGGCTGGTGGCATACAACCTACCGTAAAAAGGCCATGGTAGCAATTTCAGACTGCATCTCGAACTCGGCTTTTCTTGCCACGCGAAGTCGCTCTTCCGTCGACATCTCCACTTGCGACGGTGGCGGCATCCGTAACCTCGCAATCCATTGCACTCTGTCATCAAAAGTCACTTTCAAAACAAGGTTGAAATTTCCGACGGAAAATTGACGAGACAGGGAGCATGGTCGGCTGTCCCGCAAAGCCGAAGCTTGGCCGCACAAGGCGTCTTCGTCAATTGTCTGCCGAAATGCGTGGATGGACTTGATTGTTTCGTCTCCGTACTCTTTCGCGTTTGTCCATGCGTCACTGCCAATTGGAACACTATCCATGTTCAAGGACATGAATGGATTTCCGGGTAGGCGTCGACGAGAAGAAAGACTTTGACATTGACGAGTCTGAGTATGCAGAGAGCAAAGTGTGGCTGGCGATTGAAAATTAGGCGTCCGAAAAGTGCACAGAGCCCAATACTCTGGGTGCCTACGGCATCCATTTCTTAGGGAGCCTGACACCTGGGGCTGACTGGTGTCGCATTACATGGATGCGGAGCTCAGGGATTTGGTGAGGGAGGAGCACGGCGGACGAGGCTCTCGAGCATTCTTGGTTCCGTCACACGGCCGAGTCGGAGCATAAGAAAGGAAGGCTCTAGAAACTTGAATGGACATTTGTTGTGCTCGTCCTCTTCCTCCTCCACCTCTCTGTAGTTTCGTCTCATGTTAATATTGTTTGTTTTTATGTATTTTTACAGACAGAACAAAAAAAAAAAAAAAAAAGCGACACACTCCTCTTAATAAGTTTCAAAGCAGACGCTTGGAAAACTATGTTTATTTTGGAAGAACCATTTCGTGACTGTTCTCACCCCATTGTGATGATACGACGGCCAGCCGCAAAAACGGGCGGCGGCGTGCATGAAACGCTTCGTCCTTTGTTAGTTCATGGTCTTACATGGTTTAGAATCTCAGCCTGCCCAGGCATATACACTCGACAATAGGGAAGAAGTGCGACTGTAAAAGCCACAAAGAATAAAGTCGCGTCAAGATACAAAGAATAAGAATAGACTTGTCATACCCGATATCCGATATTCGATCTCAATGAGACAACCACATATCATATCTTCCGAAGGGCCAGCAGACCCTCCTTGATTTAATACATTTATTTATACTCTGTATATATCACAGTGCCTTCCACCATTGAAAACGTCGGACGCTAAAGTCCTGTCAACCAAAATTATGGGCCTATTCCACGGCGACGAGATTTAAAGACATTAAAGGTGACAGAAGGACATCTTTGCACCCTTCGCTCCGACACTAATATGGTGAGTTCTGAGCATGTTACTTGCCGACCCAGCAGTGTGGCTGAACCGTGGCTGTCAGTTCAACGGCTGTGGCCAGGCACGTGTGTCGCCAAAATCACAACCTCACCAGCATATCTTGTCCAATGCTGTCATGTGACATTTGCCCAGACCCCTCACACCTTCCGTGGCCCGATATCGCCCCCAGGATAGCCAAAAGCGGAGTCGGCCTGGCCAGTCGACAAGAGATTCCGTTGGAGATGCCCCACAGTACGAGATTCGACACGCTGTGATTGGTTGGATGGACATTGAATTGGAAAAATTAGGACGACAAAAAAAGGACTAAAAGGAAGGAAAGAAGGGCAGGAAGGGAAAAACTGGGGGGAAAGGGTAAGAGTCACAGGCTGGACAGGCCCTGACTGTCCAAGTACAGAAAGAGGGCCCTCCGAAATCCGTCGCTCCTGCCCCCGGGATGAAGAGACCGAAAAATTAGAGACGAAAAGGAAAGGGCAACCGACGAAAACAGTTCGTCGGTGAATCCTTTGGCTGGGAGTGACTCTTTTTGGGATTTTCTTTTTGGACATAATTTGGGACATCAATTCACCACCAATTCACCACCAATTCACCACCCATACTCTGCACTTCCTCCGACGGAGCACGGAACAGGAGTGTCACGTCGATCGACAGCTGGCATCTGCACCATACAAAATAGTTGCTGTCCACACTCCCTGTCCACAGCCCAAGTGGTGACTCTTTTCTGGGGCCGTCCACTGTCCATTTCTTTTGGCTCTTCTCTTTTCTCCTTTCCTTGTCTCTCCCTTCTCTCTTCTCGACTCTCCCCATCGGCTCAACCGCAAGACTCGACTCACCGACCGCGATCGCGATACCCTCACCGACCCCTCTCCACTCCTTCACTCGACTCCCTCCCTCACAATGCTGCGGTCCGCACCCACCGCCCGGGCTCTGCGGAAAGCCGTGGCCCAGGCGCCGTCTTCACATGCTCGCCATGCCCGCTCCTTTTCAAGATCGGCTGCTGCGGCTGCTGTGACGCCCAGCAAGACCGTGCCGACCGGCTCGCGGAAACAGACGACGGCTGCGACGGCGGCCGCGCACCCACGACCGGCACCCAGCGCGAGCTTCAATGCACCAAAGGGCCAGGCCGTGCAGCCCCTGGTGAACCCCCGCAAGACGGTCATGGACGAGTCGTAAGTACTTTGTGCGCATGTACGCATGTGCACGTTGCAGTTGTTACAACGTAACGTTGTCCCGTCTTTGTCGTATTGCCACAGCTAACCACCTCTCCCCCTCAGGTTCATCGGCATGACGGGCGGCGAAATCTTCCACGAAATGATGCTGCGGCACAAGGTCGAGCACATCTTTGGCTACCCCGGCGGCGCCATCCTGCCCGTGTTCGACGCCATCCACAACTCGGAATACTTTGACTTTGTGCTGCCCAAGCACGAGCAGGGCGCCGGCCACATGGCCGAGGGCTATGCGCGCGCGTCGGGCAAGCCCGGCGTGGTGGTGGTGACGTCCGGGCCGGGCGCCACCAACGTCATCACGCCCATGGCGGACGCCTTTGCCGACGGCACGCCCATGGTCGTGTTCTCGGGCCAGGTGACGACGGCGGCGATTGGCAGCGACGCGTTCCAGGAGGCCGACGTGATTGGCATCTCGCGCGCGTGCACCAAGTGGAACGTCATGGTGCGCAGCGTGGCCGAGATGCCGCGGCGCATCAACGAGGCCTTTGAGATTGCCACGTCGGGCCGCCCCGGCCCCGTGCTGGTGGACCTGCCCAAGGACATCACGGCGGGCGTGCTGCGGCGCGCCATCCCGACCGACTGCGACATCCCGGCCATGCCGAGCGCCGCGTCGCGCGCCATGCAGGCGCTGACGGACAAGCAGCTCAAGCAGTCGATTGGCCGCGTGGCCGACCTCGTGAACCGCGCCAAGCGGCCCGTCATCTACGCGGGCCACGGCGTCATCTGCAGCGAGGGCGGCGTCGAGCTGCTGCGCGCCCTGTCCGACAAGGCGTCGATCCCCGTGGCCACGACGCTGCAAGGGCTGGGCGCCTTTGACGAGCTCGACGAGAAGTCGCTGCACATGCTGGGCATGCACGGCGCCGCGTACGCCAACATGGCCATGCAGACGGCGGACCTCATCATTGCGCTGGGCGCGCGCTTCGACGACCGCGTGACGCTCAACATTGGCAAGTTTGCGCCGGCGGCCAAGCAGGCGGCGGCCGAGGGCCGCGGCGGCATCGTGCACTTTGAGATTATGCCCAAGAACATCAACAAGGTCGTGCAGGCCACCGAGGCCGTCGAGGGCGACGTGGCCGCCAACCTGCGGCACCTGCTGCCGCAGGTCGACGCGCGCACCATGGACGAGCGCGCCGACTGGTTCGGCGACATCCGCGCGTGGAAGGCCAAGTGGCCGCTGTCGGCGTACGAGCGCGCCGAGCGGTCCGGGCTCATCAAGCCGCAGACGCTCATCGAGGAGCTCAGCAACCTGACGGCCGACCGCAAGGAACAGACGCTCATCACGACGGGCGTCGGCCAGCACCAGATGTGGGCCGCGCAGCACTTCCGCTGGCGCCACCCGCGCACGCTCATCACGTCGGGCGGCCTCGGCACCATGGGCTTCGGCCTGCCGGCGGCCATCGGCGCCAAGGTCGCGCGGCCGGACGCGCTGGTCATTGACATTGACGGCGACGCGTCCTTCAACATGACCCTGACCGAGCTGTCGACGGCGGCGCAGTTCAACATTGGCGTCAAGGTGATTGTGCTCAACAACGAGGAGCAGGGCATGGTCACGCAGTGGCAGAACCTCTTCTACGAGGACCGCTACTCGCACACGCACCAGAAGAACCCCGACTTCCAGAAGCTGGCCGACGCCATGGGCGTGCAGCACCGGCGCGTGGCCAAGCCCGAGGACGTCGTCGACAGCCTGACGTGGCTGATCAACACGGACGGCCCCGCGCTGCTCGAGGTGATTACGGACAAGAAGGTGCCGGTGCTGCCGATGGTGCCGGCCGGCTCGGGCCTGCACGAGTTTATTGCCTTTGACGCGGACACGGACAAGAAGCGGCGAGAGCTGATGCGCGAGCGCACAAGCGGTCTGCACGGTTAGTTGTGGGATGGATGGCGAACTACGGTGGCTGTCAAATGAAGAACAGCAGCTGTCGTGACAAGCACAAAAAAGAAGAAACGAAAAAGCAAAAAAGGGGTGAAGGGGCGACGAATGGGCGTTTTCATTGCTTTTGCGTTTCCAAATCACGTTCAAATTGTTCCCTTGGTTTCCATAATGCTTGCTTGCCAATCCATCTTGTTTAGCTACTTTCAATTTGAACCATTATTTTCCGCTGTACTCCATATACTGTCCATCATACACGAGCCATGGGATTGCGTATTGTCTCTGCCACCGCCCCCCCCCCCCCCCCCCCTACGAAAAAGACCGGCCCGCCATGCCACCCAGGCGGTAAACGGCACCAACCCGCCCCAGTGGCCCCAGGCCTTGCTCTTGAGCGCCGGCCCGCCGTACTGCCAGACAATGGCGCCGTCGGACAGCGCGACGACGCACAGCACGGCCGAAAACACGGTGACGGCCTCGTCGAGGCCGCGGTACTGGAGGGCCAGGTAGGTGAGGCCAAAGGCGAGGTCGCGGGCGCCCTTGGCCAGGACCATGGGCGAGGCGGTGCCGGTGGTGGACGAGGCGGCACCGTCGGTCTTGGCCTTGGCTTGACCCTCCAGCGGCAGGCCAAAGACGGCGTAGTCGGCCTCGGGAGCGACGACAGAAAGGACGCCGATGCCGAGGAACATGGTGCCAATGACGTACGAGGGAATGGGTGAGAACGACATGTTGCATGCGAGTGCGTGGGCGGTGTTTGTACCTGTTGGTTGTGTATCGGTGTATTGTTGAGCGTCGTTCAAAAGAGTTCAGAAACAATGAGGGTAAATGAGGTTAAAGGAGGCCCAAGTTCTCCGAAAGTCGTGCAAGTAAGGCTCACCGCGGGGATGAAAGCATCGGGTTTAGCTTTTGGCAGCGCGTGTAATTCCGCAGGCGAGTCAGGTCGAGCAGGCCAATGATTGGCAGCACACGGGACGATCGGCCAGTCTGACATGCATGTCTTACCCTTAAGCGATGCGGAACAGGGACCATCGCCGGTTCAGTTTAAACGGGAAAGGTTTCGTCACCGATTTTGTGTGCGCTCTGTATGCGTTGAGAGTGTGAATATCGTGGGCAGAGTAAATTGAAGTGACGTTTGCTAATAACACTGTTAAATTTTGTTGGTAAAAGTACAATTTGTTTTGGTTGCGCTGGGAAACGCAAGACAAAAAAGAAAAAGGCAAACTGAAAGATAAAAAGGAAGGACAAAGCATGCATAATCATACAAGCAAACACCAGATCTGGTTCGTTCACACCCGTCATTCAGCGCCATCACAATACATCTCCGTCTAGCAAAATCACCACATCGATGCCATCTTGGCTTGGACCAAGACTTCGACTTGACTGCCGCAAAGTAACGTCTTCTCCATCCTTTGTACAGCACGGTATGGCGACTCGTCACGCACCGTCGTGGCAACTCTTGTCATAATCACAAATGGCAGTGGGCTGGGCCATGACCGAGGTCCGCACCATAGCCATTGTGCAAATTAAGAACCCATTCATCCAGTCCAGCCAAAGTCTTCTCTTCAGCAACTGTATCCCGCCGTGCCGCCACAGAAGAGCGGTCCGCACCGCCGCCTCGAAGCTGAGCACCAGCAAAAAGACTGTGATGGCGACCTCGAGCCCGCAGAGCTGGAAGGCCACGAGCGTGGTGCCAGCGAGAAAGTCGCGAATGCCGTCGGGCGAGGCGTAGTTGGCTGTCGTGGGCGTCGTAGGAGACATGGTGCGGTGGGTGGTGGAAGCAGCCTCGATATCTGGAACGGTCGTAACGGCATAAATACCAGTGGCGCCGCGCTTCGCCCTCCGTTCCGTGGCCGGTTTCAGATCATACCAAGGAACGACATCGGGAAAAAATAATGAGATGATGCTAATAAGCATCAACCGGATACCGTGCGCGTAGACCGGGAACCGAAAGTGAAAGATAAAGCTGGGGTTTGGGTTTGCCGGCGCATGAAGCAGCATTTTGATGAAGTGGCTCGGATCGCTGGTCGTAGTTGCGAGTGGTGCAAGTGTTGCGAGTGTTGTGAGGCTGTGATGTTGTGAGGCTGTGATGTTGTGATGTTGTGATGTTGCGATGTTGTAAAGTTGTGATTGCCGAGAACGTGCTAGAAGCTGGCGGTAGGAGAAGATAGGAGAAGAAGGAGGAAAGAAGAAACCAAAGGGAGAAACAGTTGTCACGTCAACTTTGTATCTGTTTGCACATTGAAGAAGGTGAGTCAGCCAGCATCGATCACGTGTAGAAGATTGATGAGTAGAAGAGTAGAAGAGTGTAGTTTGTATGTACAAGAGTACAAGAGTACATTACTCGCTTGCCCGACATGCATACAGTGAACAGTGGAAGGGGTCAGTCATCCACATGCCCTACAAGATCAGTGCAACTCGATGAACGGAAAAGAAGACACCGACAACGACAGAAAATACAAAACAGACGACAAGACGACACAGCAAATTCAACAAAGAAAACACAGCTGTAGAAGCTGACATTGCAAAACGATGCACCACAATAAACAATAAACACCAACAGAAACCTCCACAGAGAAAATCTTGTGACCGTAGCCTGCAAACTCCAAGTCGAACCAGTGCGGCTCCATCAACCGGCTGCGAGATTGGGCTCAGTAGTGCGTGACCCTGAGGTGGGAATGTACATCCAAGTCAGTGGAGGGTACTGTTTCACCGCGTCAGTTTATTGGCTGGAAATAATATTAGAAGAAGGACAAAGCGACTTACTTCCCGGCAACTCCAAGCGTGCTTGGCTCCAAGGACAACCACACAGACCACAGCCGGCCCACAGGTAGTTTACCGAGCGTAAGGTTGAAGCCTGTCACGCTTGTTTGTTGCGTGTTGCGTTCTGGTGCTCGACATTAAAAGAGTGAAGCTTGATCTTTTTGCCGGTCCAGAGTTTGGCAGATGGCGGTGTTGTGAACGTAATGTTTGTTTGTCAAAGTTTGCTGTTGTTTGGAAAATAAGAGCTGGTACGTTGTGATGCTCGAGATCAAAAGACTTCTCAGAAAGCGGTAATGATATCCACTATTTAGGAATGTGAGAATACTGTCAAACAAAAATGAAAACAAATAAAGGAGTCGACGTACCTTTGTTGAAACGACTTGCTTGTGTTGCAGGGACGGCGGCCTCAACATCGACGGAGCCCCGCTGAGAGTGTGGGCAACATTTGTGCTGCATTTGATGCGAGGTGTCCAAACAGAAAATGGCCATTCTTGTGCAAACAACCACAACGAATCATTATGGCATAGGTGGCTGGTCCTTGTCGAGTAGTTTTCAAAAAGTGGCAATGTATGTGTTGGCGGCGGCCACGATGGTGGTCGGAAGAATGTCTTCGTGGAGGGTGGGATGACAAGAGCACAAAATTGGCACAGAAGACACTGCTTTTCGTATTGTGTTAGAATGCTGTCTGTGTAAAAGATATTCAACTCGGAGTCCACTTACCTTTCTGGAAACTGCTTGCTTGTTTTGCACGGGGGGAGAGAGCGGTGAGAGGGTGATGTTGAGATGTGATGTTTGAGATGTGATGCGTGGAGCTTGAGGATGATTGCTCGACACGCCCGCTCAGTAGCTGGTTTACACTCAAAGGAGAAAGAGTGAAGGTCGGTCTTTGCTGTCCGCATGTTGATGAGTGAGAATGCGGATCCACCGGTTAATGTGCATCGATGTAACGATGACACAATGCAGGGTACGCTGAAGAAGAGAGAAGCGTCTGACCCGCCGACCTGAATTGCCCGGCCCAACCTCCGAAGAGGAAGGGTCACCCAGCTACTGGTGATCTCGGCGGCCTGCCGTGCCAGGCCGCCGGAAGTTGAAGAAGTAAGTGGACTGGCTGTCGAGCCGATACCATCCGAACGGCCACCGGGTGACCAGGCCGGTTCCGTTCGTCGAGAGGCTCAGCCCGACGGGCGATCTGCCATGACAGATTGCTGTTCGACCAACAGGCACACCGGTTGCCAGCCGGTGCCGTGGTCTGTAACATACCTTGAGGTGGCCCCCTAACGCTGGCCAGCCACCTCTCTGCCATGGTCTGGCTCCGGCTGGGGCCACAGAACATCCATTTCGAGTGTGTCATCAGTCTCAAGATAAAGGTCCTGCCCGAGGGCATTTCCGTCATCCTGAACCTCGACATTCGAAACGGGTTCGTACGTCCTCAGCCGGCAGATGAACCGCAGGAATCGACCGACCTCTCGCAATAGCCAGAGGACGTCGTCCCTGAGGACACCGCCCCAGATGTGCTTGACCAGAAGGACAAGCACACAGACCACCACCAGCCCACTTACCTGCGGAATACTGAACGTGATGTCATAGGGAGACATTTTGTCGTCTTCGTTGTCGTTGTTGTCGTTGTTGTCGTTGTTGTCGTTGTTGTTGTTGTTGTCGTCGTCGTTGTCGCTGTTGTGTTGTTGTGTGTGTACGTGTGTGTGTGTGAGTGTGTGTGTGTGTGTGTGTGTGTGTGTGTGTGTGTGTGTGTATTTGCGTCTGATGTGTATTGTTCTTCTTCCAATGTTTCCAGTTTAAACAGATTCATTCCGTCGTCGGGTGTGTCTCCCTGACGAGTACAGAAAACAACAACAACAATGCCAATCGCTCTTTCTATAATAGGACATTAGTTTGTTTGGGTGTAATTTAGGTGCTTCATGATGCCTGGCCGGGCTACTCTCATGACGAGGAAGCTACGACCGGGGTTCCGAACTCACCCTCCTTCCTCATCCTCCCGTAACGAAAGCACGATGGGTGCTCTTTCCGTGCGTTCGAAGTTTGATGTGGTGGCCGGCGGTGCCTGCCCCATCACCAGCCCCTGAATGTGCAAACATGCAAACATTCCATCTTTATCCAACTTGGCCGGAACTACTCATTCAAATTGGGGACATCTCTCTTTGCTCATTTTTCACTCATCACAGCAAGATGAAAGCCTCCTGTGCAAACCGCCCTTTGTTGGCAATGTCGTCACGTATGTACATTGTACTGGAGAAAGCAAACTCAACTAGGAAATAGCGACCGGTGTACATCGTTCACAATCCCCCTTGGCAACAGCTGCACACTGAGTGCTCTTTCCCCACCTGCAAGTTACAAAAACAAAATCAACAACGACGCATCTTTCCTTCTCTTTTTGGTACTGTTTGGGTTGCGCCTTCCTACTTTGTTCAACACAGTCAAAGTTAACCCCTGAACGCGTTCGCAAAGACGGCATCTGCAGTAGGGTGCAGCACGTTTTTTGTCAGTGGATAGACTTTCCTTCGTACCTTCCACGCCTGTCGTGTGCCATTGGAGTGTCCTGGTTATCCCCAGACTGCACATACTATGAGTGAATGTTTCCGCATGAAAGGGAAACACCTGAAAAATTCTTCAACAAAGAACAAGAAGAGAATTTGTCAAGGTTTCTTGGTCAGGATAGGTCCTGTGCCGGCCGCATGGACTGCATGGGCAGCCGGCCGATGTTATTCATATCGTTCATGGTGATGTTCCGAGAAGCTGCACCAAATTTTCATGCAATTTTTGAGGCATTCAGGCTTCGTATCAAGGCTGTAAGGTAAGAGGCTGTTAGTAGTCAGGACGTGTAGTGTAGATAAAATATAGCAAAGGACTTCTAATGACCTCTTCAAACCTGACGTGTTCAGTTTGGCCCGGTATGACGTCTTACGTCTTTCGGTTGGCTGGACCGTATGTGAGAAGAACCCGAAGTCCCATTTGACTTATTTCCTCGGCCACAACAGGCTTCTTGGAATTGGCGAGGATTGCGGCCATGCAATGCGCTTCGTAAAGATCCGACGGCATAATCGGTTTCGTGGAAGGAACTGTTTATTGGTGCAAGTTAGACCAGGGGGAGAGATGAGGACAAGAAGAAGCTGACCAACTTACATTTCTGGAATCTACTTGATTGCCATGGCTTGACTCGAGGTTGACAGCGACGTCTTGTCGATGAGAGTAAACTTCCGCTCTTGGCTCTAAAAAATGATGTGCTGCTGCGCCTAGTAAATTAAGAGCAAAGAGTGTGAGAGCTGGGAATAAAGATGAACAGGATGCCATTATAAGAACTTCTCATACATATGATGGTATGGTGTGGTGACGGAAACCCTTTTCACTTGGCAACGATTTGCCATGGTCTTAAATGCACTTCGAACCGAGAAGCATATTTGCATGGAAAATCTGAGATGGAGTGTCAGAGCAAATTGATAATAGACATAAATAGCAGCAAACAACTAAAGGTTGTCAAAACCATTGGGGTGCCATGGTGCCGAGATCTTACCATGCGATCAGATAAACTGAGCAAGCACAAAACAGAACCAGATGTGTAGTTGCCGGAATGGTCTGATTATGGTATCTTGACTTGGCTGGATGATTCCAGAACTGTACCCGCCACTTGCCTCCCAAGCTTAGATGTGCTGTTTGGATCGGTGAAGATGGTGGTCGGAGAGAGGTCTTCGTGGAGAGTGGATGGGAATAAGGGGTCTTCCGAAAAGAGCACAAAAGTTGGCTCTGACGGCACTGTTCATTTTATATCATGTTAGAGATGTGTCTGGATAACACGAATGTATAGTGGGAGTAAACTTACCTTTCTGGAATCTGCTTGCTCATTTTGCACGGGGACTTGAGATGAGGAGCGTGGAGCTTGAGGATGATGGCTCGACACGATGTTCAGTAGCTGGTTAACACTCAGAGGAGAACGAGTGAAGGTCGATCTTTGCTATCCGCAGTTTGAAGTGTGAGAGTGCGGATCCACCGGTTAATGTGCACAGAGAGATGCACAATGCAGGGTACGCTGAAAAGATGAAGCGTCTGACCCGTCGACCATAGCTGCCCGGCCCAACCTCCGAAGAGGAAGGGTCACCCGGCTACTGGGGTTCTCGGAGGCCTGCCGTGCCAGACCTCCGGAATTGAAAATAGCATGGAGAGCCCGTCGAGCCTGATGAGCATCCAAATGGACACCGGGTGCCAACCGGCTCCATTCGTAGTGATGCTCAGCTCGACTGGTCGACTGATCCCCATGGCAGGTTGATCAATGCTGTAAAAGACCCAACATCGGTGACCAGCCGATGCTGAGTTTTTACAACAAATATCGTGAGGCAAGCACCTTAGGTGCCCACCTCCCTGCCAAGGGTTGTTCTCTGGTGCCCACGGCCTAAAAGCCGTTGGGACGGAGCGCCGACTCCTCGGAAACGTCGCTCTGGGAGTCCCAATGAACGTGCTCGAAGGCACGTTCATCGGCCCACCCAGGTGCGACGTCGTCGGGGGCAGGCTCCCCGGGCACCAGAACGCCCAGCCTGAGAAGACGACCTACGCCTCGAAAGAGACGCAGGACGTCCTCCCTGACATTTCCCGTCCACACGACGTGGACGGTTAGGGCAACGGCGATCAAGCCGATCACCCAGCCCGGAGGCAGGAAGCTCACGTTCAACTCAAGTGATGGCATTTTGTGATGAGAGGGAATCGTAAATGTTATGTGTGAAGATGTGAAAGGGTCTGAGGATCGATTCCTGACATGATTGTGAAGTTCCGGGTCTGAGATACATAACTACCCAAGAATAACAGCGGCAGCGCGTTGCTCTTTCTCGTTTGGGCCGTGTTATGGGTTGCGCCTTCCTCCTTCAGTTATCATGGCCAGCCTCTGAATGTTGTGACGCGTGCTTTCTAAATCGAGTACAACTGTCAATCGTACCTTCCTCTTGGACCGTGTGAGCGACGCGTGGTGTTGTTAGCCATGGCCGTATGCGGAGTGTGTTTGCTGGATGCTCCTTCTCTACATGATGGTTTTGCAGAGGGCCGCTGTAGATTCTCTTTACCTCCTGAGATACGAAAAGACGTGCCACGGCTGGATTGCGTCTATCATAGCCCCCCTCACGCGACTGTAGCAGCTTCGAATTCATCATTTACAGGGATTGCTGGCCGTTGCTTTTACGTTGCTTGACATCTATTCAACAGTCCTTTGCAGAACCTCGATACTGATTCTAGTATGGATGCTGACTGCCTGTGTTGTTCCACTCGCACCTGCTAGTCTAGGAGTATTTTTGTTTCGTCCTCATTCGGCTCTTTCCTTTTTCTTTCCTTCTGCCTCTTAGCGCCGTAGCTTAGTCTCCTTCCCCTTTTCACTGTGCCGTGCCAATGTCCCGGAGGACGATGCAGTTTCTCCTTCCATTATTTCAGCACTGTCCATGCCGAACCCCGTTCCAAGTGACCGCCCTGCGTCCGTGTCTGGTGGCGGAATTCTTGCCTTGTCCTATGTGGTCATCTTCCATCTTCAGAAAAAGTGAATTATCCAGAGACACAACAGCCCAACATATGTTTAAACGCCGTGCTGCCCTTTGTCCCTTATTTCCACTTCGCCGACATCTCCAGATTCCCATCCAATTGTTCAACCCATGCGTATGCGCTTATGTTCGCACCTGCCCTTATTATACCCCTAGACGCCTGTAGAGTGCTCGCCATTCGTGATTTGTCTGGCAAGTACTGTCCGGGCACCAGTAGACATGCTTTGTCATCTTATCCTTCGTGATGTCCCATGAGTGTGGGTCAAGTTTCCGAATCCACCAACGACTGGATGGTGAGGTGGTCGACGACACGCTGACCTGCTGCAACACAATGCTGTTTCCCCTTCGTTTCCAGCAAAAGTCGGCGTAACATACCATGCATCGAAATAGGTGGCAATTGCCGCCTTCTGGCCCTGGCAATGCCAGACTGGCAGGATAGCTGTTTGTATTGGGATGATGGCTTTGGAGTCGACGGCATGCGCAGTGGTATCGACATGCCTCCGAGCGTGCGTGCTCTTGTATCAGATACCCGGGCTTCTCTCGTTCCTTGTTGCTGTTGGAGGGGAAGCAGCAACAAAGCGGTTCCTGTAGGGGACGGAGAAGCTTCCCGTCGTCAAAGCGGAGGTGCGGGCAGAGATACGGGCCGGAGCCAACGTCGAGGTTGCTCAAGAACTGTACGAATGTCTCCCTGGGGAGCGGCTGGGACGGATCTGAACCACTCACGTCGAAAAGACGGCTTCTCCAAAGTATGCCCATTGTAAACCGACGTTCGGTGGCATCGTCATGCCTAGGAGGAAACCCGACAAAGTGTGCTTGTGGTGGGGCATCGGGTGCAGATCGTAGCCAGCCATTTATATTCGTACAGCCCTTCCAGGCACAGCTCTGAGGACACGTAAAAACATACACACCCTCGCCCTGCCAGCCGTTGGCTTGAATACGGCTCCGTTCCCGGGACCACATATCCCATGACAGCTGGAGGTGCGGGCACATACGGAAACGGCCATGCCATCCAATGCAGTCCCGTCTGATAGATAACCATCGATATCGGCGTTGGGGGTCGGAAAACATGCCGCGCTTGTGATAGGAGTGGCAGCCGGTGCACAACATCGGCCGGCTGAGCCACTTGAGCCGCTTCTGCAGTCGGCCGGACCGGTCAAAGTCGGCGCACGCGGTGCAAAGGCCTCGAACGTCCCGGCGGATGAGTGCGGCCCACTCTGACCGAATCGCCTCGCGGCGGGCTTTCGATCCGTGGCAAGGCCAGATCTGGTATATATCGAATGTGTCGTCAAAGGGCTTGTCGGCACGGCTGCCGCCCAATGCTGTGATCAGAGCGGCGAAAAGATGGCATGTCTGCCGAATCATTTGCTGGGAAAGGAAGTCAGACTGGCGAAAAATCACAAGCAAGAGCTCGTTGGGCAGGCGGTAGAATGCGGAGTCAAGTGCATTTTGTCGTCTCTTTTGGCGCCAGGTGGCAGTCTTGGCGGTCGTTGCAATATTATCTTTCTCGTGGTCGGGGTTTAAACTCTGTATAGATGGTTGATACGTTTTTAAGAGGGGGCTGCGATTTTCTTGTTCGAGCAGTGCCTCTGTTGCATCATTTGAGATTTGACCAGGCTCTGTAGAGCCATTCGTCTGCCTTAATTTGAAATGGCGGAAGAGGTCTACAAACCGGGAAGTTTCCATCTTGGAGTTCGAAAGTGTATACTTGACATAATTGCAATTGAGAAGACGAAACTGTCTTCGGCAGCCCTTGGCTTAATATGCCCAAGAACACGTTCTGAAATATCAGCAGTAAGCGAAGCAAACAGTTTGTTAGTTATGGCCGCATGGTCATATTCAAAGGATCTTGACTAACGGAGCGAGCCGCTGACTATTGGGTGGTTGTGTACTTTGTTAGTGTTCGCAAGTAGTGCGATTCTGACGAAGCGGCCAAGCACAGATCACCTTTGACGGTGCTGAGGGAAACGGGTACTTGAGAAAGATACTTGAGCAGAAAAAAAAAGACGACGTAAAACGCAATGGTATGGGAAATCAATGTTTATTGGTTGGTCCAAGACTAACATGCTCAGTAACAGTGGCCATCGCCAACACTTATCAACGCCAGTCGAAAGGAAAGCTCGGCTCGTCTAAAGAATTCAAAGGTGTAAAAACAATAATGGGAAGAACGCAGTGGAAAAAATGAGACAACAGGCAAAAACAGGAACACGTAGAAAACAAGTAACATGGAATCAAAGAGTTATCATTATACACAATAGGCAAAAAGCCCCAAGCACTAGTCGTCGCACCCTCACTCGCTCGAGGCACTAGCAGCCGCATCAGACGTTCCGCGTGCGTTGCTGTCCTGATCCATCTGTTCGGTGGCGTGCGAGCTGCTAGCAGGCACCGCCGGGACGACCAGCGAGCTTTTGGCTGAACCACCACCTCCAGCGGGAACGAGCCCAGGTGCGGGCGTCGACGGCATGCCGCGGGCCACAACATCGTTGGCCGCATCGGGGAGGTGTTGCTTGGTCGGATCTTGCCAGCCCGTGGCCTGGTCATTGGCCACGGCGGCGTTGTACTTTTGAAAGGCCGTCTCGACGAGCGAGCCAACGTCGCGCCGATCACGGCCAACCACACCGGCCACCAACAGCGCGTCCGTCTCCTCGATCCAGTCCTGCACGCGCCGAAACGTCGCGGCATTTTTGCGCAGCCGGCCGGGCAAGCCCTGGCCCTTCATGAGCACAAACACGCCGGCGAGGACCGTGTTGGTGGCCCCGAGCACGGTAATGGCCACCGTGTGGTCCTGCGCCGAGGGCCCGAGCGTGGTGAGCACGGCACCCACCAAAATCTGGGCCACGTGGCAGGCATTCAGGAGGCCATTGAGCACAGAGGCTTGCCACATCTTGGCCTTCTTCTCCTTGATGACGCGGGCATAGATGCCCGTGGGCATGGAATCGGGGGGGACACCACCAGACTCGGGGTCATGGCGCGCTGGACGGTGGCTGGCGTCTGCGGACGGGGTCGGGGGCCGTGTGCTCGATGTCGGAATGCCAACGGCCTCGCGGAACAGGACGACGCTTTCGTCATTGGCACGACGCATGTCGAGGCCAGCCGGGTCGCCCCATGGTCCAGACGTGGCAGAGTTGACAGCGTCGACCGCATCGGCCGCATCGACGGCGCCGGGGCTACCATGGGCATTGTCCGTTCCATCGGTGATATTCGACGGCCCATCCGACGGTCTGTCTGCAAGTCTACTCGATTTGCTGCTGTTGACGGTGCTGCTGTGATCGCCACCAGAAGCAGCAGGCGATGCATCTGGGGGACCGGACGCGGGGAGCGGAGGCGTCGACGGCGGCTTGGGAGGGCGGCAGTGGCCGTGTGCAAGACCGCGCCAGGGCAGGATGGACGGCAAGAATGACTTTTGAGTCCCTTTCCCAGCCTGGCCTGCCGTCGTGTCGTTGGCGTCAGCGAGCAGCGGCGTCTGCTCGTTGGAGTCGTGGAACGTCTCGTTCGGGGACGACATCTTGCAGTGTGTCGAGTTGCCTTTTGGTTCTTGTCTTTGTTGGTCTTGTTGGGTCTGACGATACAATGAAAATGGGACGATGGAGATGAGATGGAAGATGAAAAGGAGAGACGAAATGAGGATGAAAAGACGACGACGATGGCCAACGTAAACATGAGAAAAGGGGCAAAAGACAGCGGCGATGGAACCTATCAGGCAGTGCACTGCATCTGACCAGCATGTTCGCCTGTTCCATCAAAACAGGAAGGCGTCACTTGAGCATCCTGTTCTGCGTCCTGTTTCGGTCGTGTGAGGCAGCTACGACTCAGAGAGAGACAGCCGACCAAGGTCGCCTGACGCTCTTTCCTCTTTTGCACCATGCTGTGTGCCTCGCGCCAAAACCGGCAATTGCGTCAAAACAGTCGTTTTGACTGCGCGTCTCGTTTTGCAAGGCAGGAGCGTGTATCAAGCCTTACCATCGCTCTTTCTGCCAAACGGGCCAACACTTGTTGCCTCTTCAACCTTTGCCGCTGGTAAACAAAAGGCTGCGTCAGGGGCGTTGGAGTACATCGTTCTGTGTAGCTTAGCTGTAACGCCAAGGACGATCTCGCTTAGTCATCGTGTCAGTCACATGACCCCACCTGTGCCCCGTCGCGGAACTGGCCCCAAAATTTCCAAAACGCGACGGCGTCGTTTTCTTACGGCGAACTGCACGTCTTTCTGCATTGCATCGCGACACAGGGAGCTTCCACAAAACGACTACATTTCTTTGCAAGACAGATCGGTTCGCCAACGCGCAGAACGAACTCGATTAACCGCGGCGACATCACCAACGTGTGCTTCAATCCGCATTGGCTTGCATTGCGCATTTCATCAATTCATCCCTGGCGTTTCCTTTGCATTTCTCGTATCGACATACCATCTCGCATCGTGAATCGCGACATTAGCTCCAGCATCCCTCGAGCGTCCTTATCATCAACGACAGCAACACTTTATCTACTTGTCCTCCCCTCTCTTGATGTGTTAGTCGACACCACATCTCCTGTCCTTCCCCCTACACAATGGCCGGCACAGCACCGCCTGTGCCGTCGGCAACATCGGCGGCACCGCAGGCGTACTGGTCGTCGTACGCGGCGCGGCTGCGCGCATACCACAACGCGCTGCTGGTGCCCGTCAACCCGAGTGCACCTACCGCGCCCAAGACGACGAAACGCGGCACGACCATCATCAACTACGCCGAAGACGGCTTCGACGACTACCTGGACGACGACGACGACGACTCGCGGCGGCGTCCGTCCAGTCTGCGGCTGCGGGGGACGCCGACAGGGACACCGGGCGGTCCTGGTTCCGGGGCCCCGGGCACATCCACACCAGGCGAGCCGGCGGACCGCATCAAGGACGCGGATGGGCCCGTCGAAGTGCAGGGGGTGTGGCGCGACTGGCAAGGCAAGACGCGGGTGCCGCGGTCAGACCTGGCCAACTATGCACAGGCCTGCCTGCCCTCGACGCTGATTCCGATCCGCATCGACGTGGAGATCCCCCCCTACCTGCCCATGGCGCCACTCGGCCCGCCGATTGGCCCGCCGCCGGGCGCACACGCGTCGGTGCTGGCGCAGTACGACATGACGAACCCGCTGAACCGGCAGCCGGGCGAGGCGACGATCCCGTTCCGGCTCAAGGACACGTTTCTGTGGAACCTGCACGAGACGCTGATTACGACGGACCAGTTTGCGATTACGCTGACGCAGGACCTGGATCTGCCGGTGCGCAGCACGGTGGCGGCCGAGATCAGCAAGCAGATCCGCACGCAGCTCGAGGAGTATGCGGGCGTGGCGCTGCACCCGCTGTTCCACTCCCATGCGTCGTCGTCGGCCAGCAAGTCACACGCGCCACACGCGCCACAACCAACACAACGCGACTCGGCCACGCCGGCCCCGGCGGCGGCCGCCGGCACACCCCACCTGTCGCTGAGCCGCGCCGACACGCCGCTGCGCAACACGGGCGGCGCTGCCACGCCGTCACGGCTGGGAGGCCACAGCACGCCGGCGCCCCCCGTGACGGCCGTGGCGGAAGCCATCGCGCCCGGCGCGGACGACTACAACCCCGACGACACGTACCGCTGCATTGTGAACCTCAACATCAACCTGGCGTCGCGGCTCTACACGGACAAGTTTGAGTGGTCGCTGCTGCACCCGCCGGGCACGGCGGAGGCGTTTGCGCGGCAGACGTGTGCCGACCTGGGCCTGGCGGGCGAGTGGGTGCCGGCCATGACGCACGCCATCTACGAGGCGGTGCTGCGGTTAAAAAAGGAGGCGTGCGAGTCGGGCGGGCTGGTGGGCGGTGGGCTGCCGTCGGATTTCCCCAACGATGCGGCGCTGGGCCATGCGGCCGGCGGTGTCGGTGACGAGGACGACGGGAGCGGGGGCGTCGGCGGGTGGCGCTACGATCCGGACACGCTGGGCGACGCCTGGGAGCCCAAGGTGGAGATTCTGAGCAAGGAAGACATTGAGAAGCGCGAGTACGACCGGGAGCGGCAGCTGCGGCGGCTGCGGCGGGAGACGGCGCGGTTCAGCAGCAACACGGGGATGGCGGGCGGGCTGCCGGCCGGGTTTGGCGCGCTGGTGGAGGAAGAAGAGCGCATGGGCCGCGGCGAGCGCACCAAGAAGAAGCGGCGGTTCCGCAGCCTGTCGCCGCTGGGGCGGGGTGGGACGCCAGGGCGGGCGACGCCCGACGTCGGCAGCGGTGGCAGCGGTGGCTATGGCGGCGGCGGCGGCACGCTCACCGACAGCGAGCGCACGTCGTGGCGGTGTGCTCACTGCCGGGTCTGGGGCACGAGCGTGTGGGCGGTGCGGGACGGCCCCCACGGCCCGCGGTCGCTGTGCAACAACTGCGGCTACCTGTACGAGCGGGACCGCAAGCTGCCGCGGTGGACAAAGATGCTGCACGTCAACGATGTCATTCTGCTGTAGGCTTCTGCTGCAGGCGAACGAGACGCCGAGCCGAGACGTGGATGGGGATGGACTTGTGGAAACGGGTGAACTGGGTGAAAAGGCGAAACGACGGGAGTATGGAGCCGGAGTTTGGAGGATCTGTTTTTTGTTATGGTTTCTTTCTTTGGTCAGAAGACACTGATCTCTCGTCTACTTTGTGGCCTGTTCTCTGCCCATGGCAGCAATAATGAACCCTGGTGATTTAGTGGCCTGGCGGTTGGGGTGGACGGAATGTAATATTCGGTCTTCTGTACTTTGTACAATTCGGTCAGGGCCTCGATGCTCTGTATATTTGTAGTATTTATTTTATTCTCTTTCTATTTACTTTTCATGTGATTCATGGCAATGGCCTTTGTCAAGTCTCTCGTTCCATGTGACTAGCATTGATGCTGGGACACATTAATGTATGTTTTATTGCCCCAATGCTCCACATGTACGGCACGCAATCAGTTATGCCGTCGCTGTTGTTTAGCCAGATGGCCACAGTTGCTGAAACAGACAACGGAGTGTCGTATGGTACTTTCGTACGGTACCAGAATTAAATAAAATTTTCAAAGAAGCAATTTTGTCTTGTTTCTGAATGACAACGTCACAATGACAGCAATACGCCTTCTACTTGCCTTTTACTCGATGGTGGCGTCTGTCGCCGCCTGTCCTTTGTCTCTATTTTCAACGACGCCGTCCTATCCCATTTCGAGACCACACAACCGTCCCTTGCAGCTGACTGGCCCGCACCGCTGTGTCGACAATGTCTGTGTGTACGCCGATCCGCTGTACGGCGGCGGCAGCGGCATCGCCGTTGTCACGACGGCCGAGAATGCGGCGCTGCTCGAAGGGCTTCCTCATCATCGTGGCGCCGCTGCCACGACGCACGTCACCGATCCGCCTCCGTTTTACGAGGCCTACGTGGCCGGCAAGGGTCTGGGCCTCGTGGCCAACAGCACCATCCGCCGGGGTGACCAGGTGATGCTGCACGGTCCGACGCTCTTGGTCCACTGGGAGACGCATGCCAAAGCGGCGGGTGCGCAGCTGGACGGCTTGTACGAGGCCGCCACGCAGAGGCTGCCGGCGGCCGCCCGGCGGCGGTTCCAGCGGCAGATGCACATGGGCGGCAGCGGCGTGTACGCCAACATCGAGACCAACTGTTTCCGGCTGTTTCTGGACGGCGGGCGCGACGAGGCGACGGGGCACTTGGGGTGTTTTCCGGCGGCGGCCCGCCTCAACCACGACTGCCGGCCAAAGTACGTCCCCCATCTGCACCATCTGCACCATCTGCACCTTCACTGTGCTGTCCACACATCAACTCTGTTTGTGACGACTAACTGCCGCAGCCTCCACTACCACGTCCACGGCATCACGCAGACCGTCGTGGCCGTCCGCGACATTGAGCCCGGCGACGAGTTGACGGTGAGCTACGTCGACGTGCTGCTGTCCCGCGCCGAGCGGCAGGCGCGGCTGCGCGACTGGGGGTTCGCGTGCGCGTGCGCGCTGTGCCGCAACGACACGGCGGCCGCCGAGCGCGACACGCAGACACAGGAGATCCTGGCGCTCCGGGCGCGGCTCGACCGCGGGGACCCGTCGACGACGGCCAACAGCGGCATCGAGCTGGCCATCCTGTACGAGGACGCACGGCTCGACACGCTGGTGGGCCAGCAGGCCTACACGCGCGCGGCGCTCAACTGCGCGCTCTTTGCCGAGGAGGCGTGCGCCGTGGCGTTTGCGCACAAGGCGATGGAGGCGCTGGTGGTGGAGGCCGGCGAGCAGGCCGGGGACCTGGCGTCGATGTGGCGGCTGGCGACGAGTCCGCAGACGCACTGGGCCTGGGGGTTGAGAGCGCGCGCGTAGGAGGGCAACAAAAACAAAAAGCGCAGTGAGCAGAAATAGGCAAAGTGGCAGTTTGTAAGGGGATGGCAGTGTGTACGAAGTACCGTGAGGCCTTATGTGAATGGTGATGGTGGAGTGGACCGACGTTCCGCGCTCTTTCTCTTTAGCGGACTAGGGCTCGGTGGGTACCTGCCCGAGACTGCATCTCGTCCGAGAGATGCCCCGAGGCACCGCGAGAGGAAGGAGCGAGGAAGGGCCAAGAGGCCACACAGTCAATGGTCTGACCTCTGTTTGCTGACACTCAAAATGCCGCATTCATGAGGAGTTGAGCGACATTAATTTCATTTTCAGTTATGTGCAGTTTCTTTTGTTGCGGGAGATTATTGTCGCCAACTGTTGCCCCTGATCAGCCGTACTGCCCTGTAAGATACTTCCTAAGTTCTGTAATTATGCGCTAAAGACGCTGTAAAAGCCGCGGGGTAATTAGCCAATGCTACCCCTTTTTGAGCTGTTTCTTTTTTCTTTTCTTTTTTGCTAGGCGGAACGGCCGAATGACGTTGGCCCATTGTTCCCCGCTGATCGTGTGCTGCAAGCAACCTTCCCTTCTGGGAACGAGTCGTCTTAGGCGCTCACGTGGGCGCAACGGGCGTTCCGAGAGCTCTCAGGAAGGAGCTCTCCTACATTCGTATTCCTAGCTTTTCTCCGTCTCCCTCTTTTCATCTTTTTACAACCCATCTCACCTCTACAATACCTACTGCCTGACAACATCTCCCGCTCAACACCCATCATGACCACTGTCCCCGTCATCGACCGGCTCGGCCAGATCTACACCGAGGATGCGGTGCCCGCCCAGACGACGCGATGGCAGCATCTGCTGGCAACGTTCCGGGAAAGACACGGCCGAGAGGCCGCGTTTGTGGCGCGCAGTCCGGGGCGGGTGAATGTCATTGGCGAGCACATTGACTACTCGCTGTACAGCGTGCTGCCGATGGCGATTACGGGGGACTGCATCATTGCGGTGGGCATGAGCGAGGACAAGAACAAGGACAGCAGCGAGCAAAGCGAGGATACAAAATGGACGGTGGAGATCAGCAACGTGCTGCCCAAGTTTGCGGCCCAGACGTTTACGTTTGCGGCGGACGACGAGGTGGCCATTGACGCGAGCGTGCACGAGTGGACCAACTACTTCAAGTCGGGGCTGCGGGGCGCTCTGGCGCTGCTGCGCACGAAGCGGGCGGCGGCCGGCCTGCCGCCGCTGCGTCCGCGCAGCCTGCAGGTGGTGCTGGACGGGACGGTGCCGGTGGGCGGCGGGCTGAGCTCGAGCGCGGCGTTTACGAGCTGCAGCGCGCTGGCGGTGCTGGCGGCCAACGACTACGACAACAAGAACAAAATTGACAAGACGGCGCTGACGGAGCTGGCGATTGTCAGCGAGCGCAGCGTGGGCGTCAACTCGGGCGGCATGGACCAGGCGGCGTCGGTGTTTGCGGAGCGCGGGGCGGCGCTGTTTGTGAGCTTTGCGCCGACGCTGACGGCGCGCCCCGTCTTCTTCCCGGCGGCGGCGTCGCCCGAGACCGAGCTCTGCTTCTTGATTGCCCAGTCCTTTGTGGCCGCCGACAAGTTTGTGACGGGCCCCATCCACTACAACCTGCGCGTCGTCGAGTGCACCCTGGCGGCGGCCGTGCTCAACGCCCGCCTCAACCCGCCCGGCATGCGCCTGCCCGGCGACAGCGCGCCCCTCGGCATCAGCCTGCACGGGTTCCACGAGACGTACTTTGCGCTTCAGGAGCAGGGCGGCGTGCCAAACACGCCGCGGTCGCCCAAGGCGCAGCTGCAGGCCCTCGTCGCGCTGGTCGACAAGCATTTGGCCTCCGAGCAGGGGTACACGCGCGAGGAGATTGCGGCGACGCTCGGCGTGACGGTGGCTTCGCTCGAAACGGACTATATGAGCACGTTCCCCGTGCGCGCCGAGCGCTTCAAGCTGCGGCAGCGCGCCCTGCACGTCTTCAGCGAGGCGCTGCGGGTGCTCGACTTTATGGAGGTGCTGGAGGCCGCGCGTGGCGCGGCCGGCCACGGCATTGTGGATGCGTCCACGTCGGCGACGCTGGGCGCCCTGCTCAACGCCACCCAAGACAGCTGCCGCGACCTCTACGAGTGCAGCTGTCCCGAGCTCGACGACCTGTGCGCGATTGCGCGCCGCGCCGGCAGCCTCGGCAGCCGCGTGACGGGCGCCGGCTGGGGCGGGTGCAGCGTGCACCTGGTGCCGGCGAACAAGGTGGACGCCGTCCGCAAGGCGTGGGACGACGAGTACTACAGCAAGCGGCCCGAGCTGACAGACGAGCAGCGGGCGGCCGCCGTGGTGCTGAGCCGGCCGGGCAGCGGGAGTGCCCTTTACGTGGGGCGTGGTGTGAACTGATGGAGAAGGCGATGTCGTCGTCCCGTTTAGCATAAAAGTTAAAAGTGAAGAACGTTATTCATCTATCGTACATGTAGACGCGTCTACGACTGGGTCGCCGCATCCTTGTGCCGCTTTCTGTCCACATTCTTGATCTTGCGCTGCTTCTTGACCTGCACCCGGCGGTACTTGATGTACAGCGTCCACGCATCCCGCAAGACGATCCAGAGCAGCCCGCCCACCAAGCTGCGGCCCCATCTCTGGGTCAAGAGCCCTCCACCGCCAGGACGACCACCGCCGCGCACCGTCGTCTGCAACGCCGCCGGCGGCGTGACCCATCTGCGCGGCAGGACATGGCCCAGAAGCATGCCCATGGTGGCGGCGAAGCGCGGCAGCAGCAGCTGGGTCGTGATGGCGGCCAGAATGTCCGAGACAAACATGCCGCCGCCGGCACCGCCTCCACCGCCTCCACCGCCTCCACCGCCGCCAGCATGCGCAGCAGGAGGAGGCGCTTCTGCTGCCGGCACGGGACCGTTGGCGTCGGCCACCTGCGCGGCCAGTGCCTCGGCGAGTGGAATGGCGTCCCCATTGGCCCCATGGGCCGCACCGAGGTCGCCAGCGCCGTGGTCGGCATCGGCAGCCACGCCCAGCCGCGCCCGTAGAATGTCGGGTGGTGGCAATGCAGCGTCGTCGTCGCCGTCGTTGTCGTTGTCGTTCCCACCCACATTGCCCACATCGCCCAGTATATTCAGGTCATCGTCGCGGACCTCCCTCGGTGGCAAGATTTCGTTGTCGTCGTCGTCATCCACCCATCCGTCGTCGTCGTCGTCGTCGCCCTGTGGATCCTCCTCCACCTCCTCGACCACAATGTCCACGGCCACCTCCAGGCCCATTGGACCCGGTCCCTCCCCGTTGTCGCCGTTGTCATTGTCGTGGCCTGCCAGCTGGGCCACGAGCGCACCCAAGCGGCGCAGCCGGGCCACGACGCCGCGCTGGTCGTCTCCGTCCGCGTTCCCGGCCACGTTCCCGGCCGCCGGCGCCCGCAGCTCGTGCCCATGGTTCTCCGCCTCGTCCGTCTCCGGCCGCCCGCGCAGGGCCCGGTTCAGCCGCCGCTCCAGCCCGCCGAACAGGTCGTAGTAGGCCGTCGCATAGGCAATGCTGAGCGTGGGCAGGGCCACGACGGCCCAACGCGGCGACGGCGGCCAGCGCGGCAGGTGGTGGCGCGACACGAGGGTCGCGCCGTAGACGAGCGACACGGGCAGGGCGATGAGGTTGGCCAGGCTCGGCACGGCGCGGTGCAGCAGCAGGCTGGGCGCGACGAGGTTGAGCAAGAAGACCTTGTTGACAAACGACATGCTGTCGCGCCAGCCGATGGCCACGGGCACGACGGGCGCGACGGGCGCGCCGGGTGGTCGCTGGTGGCCCCCGGCCGCCACCAACACGTCCGCCGCCGCGTCTTCAAAGCTGGACAGGAGCCACGCCATGGTCTCGCCCTCGCCGGCAAACGCGGCCATGGAGTGGTACCCGTAGAAGCTCGACCCGACCACGCCCATGCCCATGAGCATCGTGCCCAGCAGCGCCGGGGCCGTGTGCTGGTACGCGCGGGCGGCGCGGTCGCCCAGGGCCACGAGCGCGTCGTGCGGCTCGACGGTGCGGATGCGCGCGTTGCAGGCGGGGCACCGCAGCTTCTTGCCGCGGTTGGCGCCCTGCTTGAGCGTCACCTCGGTCTCGGCGATCCACTGCAGCATGCAGTCTTCGTGCGCGTCGAGCGAGCACGGGCAGGGCGTGACCCACGCGGCGTCGGGCGTTTCGCCGGCCGTCTGCAGGCAGATGAAGCAGGACTTTTCGTCGGCGTCGTCCCCGGGGGCGGTCCCCGTCGTCTCGGCGGAGACCATGGTGCTGTGAGGAGGCGGTGACGAGGGAAGACGAAGAGTACGAGGAAGAGGCGTGCGTTGGAATGAAGGCTGAAGGTCGGTAGAACGTCGAGACAGTCACCACTCAGCGCATGTCAGCGTCTCGCCAGCGAGAAAAAACTTGAGGCTGCTCGAGTCGTTTGATCTCGCAGAGGCACGGCCGTAGAATCCGACCTCGGTATGTTGTGCTTTGGTCGTGTTGGCGATCTTGTGCTTGTTGGTGCTACTGCCAACAGCGATTATTCTCACGCCCAAAGCTGGGGAAGCTCGTACAGTATTCGTACGGTGCCCTTACAGTATGCACTGTGCATTATACACGTACTGAATCCACGTGCAACCGCCACCAGCAGGCTGCCACACAACGTGCACAGCGCAACGTCTGCCCAGTTAAAAGTGGACCCCAGCCGAGCCTTCCACTGCCGCCAAAACGACCCCTCCAACGGAAAGACGCTAGCAGGTGCTCCTTCTCTGTGTGTTGGGTTGGGCTTCTGCGAGGTGCTGTCGGTTTCGATGGTGGCAGGTGCGACGCACAGCGTAAAGATAGGTTGTTGACACCAAAGCAACATCACCACTTTGACTTTGACTTTAACGTCTCACCTTTCAACCACTCCTCCCCTACACCCACGCACCACACACTCACACATACGCACACACAACATGGTAAGTCTGTGCCACGCTTCGCAATGGCTCCCGTCGCTCAAACGAGCTCCGCACTGACAGCTCCAGTCTCTCACGTCAAAACAGCGCCTGGCGCTTGCCATTTGCGACTTCTTGTCGACGTCGGCGTCCGACGGCACCATTGCCGCCGACGAGCGCGATTCGGTCGAGGTGGCCATTACCTGCGTGGCCGAGTCGTTCAAGGTGGACCCGGCGGACAAGGCGGCCGTCAAGGAGGCGGTGGGCGGGCAGTCGCTGGAGAAGATTTACGCCGTGTATGAGAAGCTGCGCGGCGCAGGCGGTGCCGGCGGCCCAGGCTCGTCTTCGACTGCGTCTGCGTCTGCATCGTCGTCGGCGCCGGCTGGCGCTGCCGCTGCCGCCCCCTCCACGCCCGTAGAACCCTCGGCGGCCACCAAAAAGGAAGCCGAAGGCCTCAAGAGCAAAGGCAACGCCGCCATGGCCCAAAAGGACTACGCGTCCGCCATTGCCCTCTACACCCAGGCGCTCGGCCTGCACCCCACCAACGCCATCTACCTCTCCAACCGCGCCGCCGCCCACTCGGCCGCCAAGGACCACGCCAGCGCCCGCACCGACGCCGAGGCCGCCGTCGCCATCGACCCCCACTACACCAAGGCCTGGTCCCGCCTGGGCCTCGCCAAGTTTGCCCTGGGCGACGCCCGCGGCGCCATGGACGCCTACCAGCAGGGCATTGCCTACGAGGGCAACGGCGGCAGCGATGCCATGAAGAAGGGCTACGAGACGGCCAAGCGGCGCGTGGACGAGCTGGCGGAGGAGGAAGAGGAGCAGTCGTCCCGGGATGCCGTGTCGGCCAGCGCGCCCGGCACAGGTGGCGGCGCCGGTGCTGGCGGCGTGCCCAACCTGGGCGACCTGGCCAGCATGCTTAGGGGCGGCGGTGCCGGCGGCGGCGCTGGTGGTGCCCCCGACTTTGCGTCCATCATGAACAACCCCATGTTCGCAGCCGCGGCCCAGGACTTCATGGACAACCCGGAGCGCATGGCCAACCTCTTGGGCAACCCGCGCGTGCGCGAGTTGGCGAGCCAGTTTGGCGGCGGCGGCGGCCTGCCCGACCTGTCCGCGCTCATGTCCGACCCCAGCATTGCCAACTTGGCGCGGGACTTCATGCGCGGCAGCGACGCTGGTGGTGCCGGTGCCGGTGCCGGTGCCGGTGCTGGCCGTGGCTCGGGCAACAATGAGTAGAGGATAGAAGAGAGACATTTTGCTATTGCTGTCTTATATTTTCACATTTTTGCAGTCACGATTGCCCTCGGTGAATAATAAATAAATCGGACAAGTACATATTCAATGCGTTGTGCATCTTCTAAGCAATGCAAGGCAAGCGCATATTTTGGTGGCATCGATAAAGCAATTTTTGATGCTATTATATTGACTCGGGTTCGGGATTATTAGGTACATGAACAACCTCACGCTACACATTACAGCCAGTACCACCGAATCAATGACACATTACGCCACCGTCTGGATTATACTGAGGGAGCTCCCGTTGGCACGAGCAAATGTAAATGCATGTGAAGATGCTTATGGCTATACTTTTTGTCGATGGTATCTCGCTCCATCATCTGTATCCATACGACAGCCGACATAGCCAGAGATCTGCCAAAAAAGAACACAACCAGAACATCCGGAGAAGCACCATGGTCGGCCACACGCCAACCTGGGACTCAACCTGATGCACAACACGTACCCAAACTGATGGACGCCGTCAAAGCCTTACAGAATTCAATCGAAATGATTTTAAAAGAGGTAATATTACTTACAGGATAACTACATTATTATTCGAATTAGGCACCATACAATTCCAACAGTTCGATGATAGCCGCGTGGCCATTCTTAACGGCAAACATCATTGCCGTCATTCCATCATTATCCTTCGCCTTAACATCGGCACCGTTGTCGAGTAGTAGTCGTACGACGGCCTCGAAACCCCTTATAGTAGCAAACGACAACGCCGTCAAACCACGATTATTCTTTACGTTAATATCGACACCTTTGTCGAGTAGTAACCGTACGACTGCCTCGTTACCCCTCCACCCGGAAGCATACGATAACACCGTTATACCACCAATATCCTTCGCCTCGATGTCGGCGCCCTTTTCGAGTAGTAACCGTACGACGGCCTCGTGACCTAACGCGGCGGCATGCGATAACGCCGTTAGACTATTATTATCCTTAGACTTAATATCGGCACCGTTGTCGAGTAGTGACCGTACGTTGGCGTCGTGACCTATCCGTGCGGCATGCGATAACGCCGTCGTACCCTGTATATTCTTCACGTTAATATCGACACCTTTGTCGAGTAATAGTCGTATGATACTCTCGTTACCCCCCACCCGGCGGTATACGATAACGCCGTTACACCATTATTATCCTTCGTCTTAACGTCGGCACCCTTTTCGAGTAGTAGTCGTACGATGGCCTCATGGCCCCACGCGGCGGCATTCAATAACGCCGTTATACCACTAATATCCTTCGACTTAATATCGGCGCCCTTATCGAGTAATAACCGTACAACGGCCTCGTGACCTAACGCGGCGGCAAACGACATCGCAGTCGAACCATCCTTAGCCTTTGCCTCGATGTCGGCGCCCTTGTCGAGTAATAGTTTGACCACGTGAGTCAGTCCAAAATATGACGCTAATAAAAGAGTTGTAACACTCGTAAGAGTATCCCATGGTCTAGTCTCTGAGTAAATGTTGAGCCATACTAAATTACTCGTCGAATCTGTGTCACAAAGTCCGAGAGCGAGAGTCACCATCGCGGAGTTACTTTCAATTTCAGCCTTGTTGAGATGAAAGGCCCAGTTTTTGGCCGAGTAATTCAAAAGGGCACCGTGATCGGCATCGTGGCTGGATGCCTCTTCCTCTTCGGAGAGAAACATGTTCAGATAGAACACGCAAATCTCAGCAAGAACAGTGTGTGCATGACGGGTGGTGATGGAGTGATGCCATCGTAGCTCTGGCGACGCTGCTGTAGATGACGACTCTATAAGGAACGCCCGGGCAGTTTGGTGAAGGAAGTAAACCTTGCCGTGATGAATGGAGATAAACAGGCCACACCACGTTCGGAGACGTGATCTGAAGTCTGCTTCTTCCTCGAGTTGGAGGTCGCGGAAAGTCTGTCCTTGGCCATTTATTTTTGTAGCAATGTTCATTTCCACGAGCGTCAACGGCCGCCTCGCTGCCAAAATGATACTCAAGACTTTCTTGACCATTGGGTCTTCCCTGGACTTATTCAGAATCCGCTCGTATACTTGGTTGATGCTCTTTGGTAGTGTCTGAACAGCAGCCTCGACTCCCTTTAGTGTCTTTTCAAAGCCTGTCTCTAAATAGTCGAACACAAGGTAAACCCAGAGGTATGTGCGGTGCTCCATTTCGAGCAACCGGTTTTCCAAAGAGGACTTGATCTTGTCTGAAAGCCGTTGTTTCCTCGCTAGTTGTTCGACTCGGTATCGGATGACGAGGTTGACTTCTTGACTGATGGTTTCCGACTTTTCCTCTCCTGGTATGCGAATGCGCGGGAAGGCGTCCAACAGGCCCCAGAACTCGTCCATGATTTGTTCGTACGGGCGGCTTGTCAAAAGAAACTTTAACTTTGTATTGTTGGCCGACTGTGTAAGACGGAATAGACTCTCTATATTCCGTATTAAGCCTTTAAACTCCGACTCGGCACATTCGTCTAGAGCGTCTAGAACGATTGTAACAGATCCGGCATGTGGATCTCGTACAGCATCTCCGAGGATCGTTCAAAACGACTTGTCGGACTGGGTTAGAGCTGGCCCCTTGTTTTTGAACAACTCTATGGTATGTTGAATAAGGGTCGGCTTTTAGGAGAATAACTGGTGGAGTACAGCACATAACGTTTGACGGGCCGTGTTCTGGTCTTAGTCTTTGAAGAAAAAGTAACAGATTATACCTGGCTGTTACGCCAACCCTATATCAATCAAGTACTTAACCAACACCGATTTTCCACACCCAGTGTCACGTAATAGTATAAAATAAGCTTAATTCTCCTATCTAATAACATCGCCACGGACGTGACGATGTTTATCTATCTACCCTTTGTCACGTAATAACGGGAACTAGTAGTCTAAGGTAGGAACTAGTGTTTAAGGTATTTGTTAATAGTGGGGGGGCCGGGAAAACCTTCGTTTTAAAGGAGGAGATAGAGAATTTAAACTAAAAGAAAGTAGAAAATGATCCGTAAGGGATTATAATAATAGAATAATAGATAATAAAAACCGTGTAAAATCGGTATAAGAGTAAAATAAAGTAAAAGTATTAATTAAA